TTATATCCTCTTATCATAAGCGGTCTTGTCTTGCTTGATCTTGTCTTGCTTGAGTCTTTGTTTGTTTGTTTGTTTTTCGTCAGTTTTAAGTTATTAGTTTATTCGTTTTTTTTTTTTCGAAAAAGGAACACATTCACTTCTCAACATGCGTACAACTCTAATTTTTCAAGAATGTTGTTTTTCTGGCCCAGGCTGTCTATTCCTTCTGCCGATGTTCGGGCTGAAAATATTCCTGTAATTATTCTTAAATGATATTGCTTATGACATTTCCGTTCCAGAGTATATTGGGGTATCAATTATAGTTAGTGCAGCCGTTTTTTCGTTCTGTTGGCTAAGCTTGGCTAGTTCAGTTTTGCATGTCGAGTAGAGAAAGGAATGAGTTGAAAAGGTATAATTGTACTGTTCAACAAACAAAACAATATCGTATATCCTTTTCAAAATCTCAGCCCAGGGTTTATTCTTAAAATATTCTTAAATCTTCGCAAATTTCAGCGTCGATATTTTTATAAAATATATTCTTATAAAAAAAGGCTAGTACGTACGGCGTAGTAGATTTATTTTTGTCCCTGATTAATTCATCCAGGAACGCCCCTTTCCGCACAGGTCAAACTCACTGACCTCTCCATGGTAAAATAATAGACAAACAGCGAAAAAAATGCTTTTTAGATGTTTCTCCTTGCTAGCTTCTCGTAGCTAGAGACGTTTCGCGAAGCGTCCCTGGCGTTGAGGAGCGAGTAGAGACCGGTGGACAGGGGCACCCAACGACAATTTTCGGAAGAATATCTGTTCGGAAGACAATTTGAGATCTAGAATTTTCGAAACATTTGTTGTAAAATTTCTTGCTTGCCTGCCTCCCTAGGATTTTCGAACAAGTAAAAAATGGTATAATTGCCTATTTTTTCGGGAGCCTTTTTTCTGGCTGAAATTTTCGAAAAAGTAAGTTTTGATCCCTATTATTTTCGGATCACTAGACTTTCAGCTAGGAAATCCGAACAGATGAAAAATTTTTAGGGGATAAAAATATGCCTATATCTACCGTTTAAATACTAAAATACGTTTAACAATGCTATGTTTAAGTGGTCTTAAACTATATTCTCGTTGGGTGCCCCTGGGTGGATATACCCTGAGATCATACCCTCTCCTTTGAAAAAACGCCTGATCGCAGGTTAAGACGGATATGAATGGATGGATACGGAGGCTACCGTGTGGCACGATATTTTAACGGGTTCTAATTTTTGTGATTTTTCCAGCGTCCCGCAAAAATAAGTTCCCACAAAAAAATATCCCCGCGAACATTTTTCCAGCAAAAATTTACTCCGAAGCAGTAAATATTCTCTATCTTGAATTCGCCTTTTTTTTGTTGTTGCAAAAAATGCATTGCTAAGAAATCGTGTCTGTTCGTGTTTGTAATCGAATGACAGAGAAAAGTAATTTGTTTTGCTCAGTAAAACATCGGTCGACACACACAGTGTTGTTGCTTGAAAATATTACTTCCATCCATGTACTCAATAAAAACGAAAATATCATCAATGATTTGTTCGGGACTTTCTGAAAATCGCAAAAAGTAATTCCCAGGAAAAAAGACCAATCTGTCCTAACCGCAATAGTTAGTTCCTGCAAAACACGAAAAATCGCCAATCCGCAAAAATGAACTCTCGCAAGAGTCGTGGCACACGGTAGTCCTTGTACATTACAGTCAACTCCTCTCTAAGATGGATAGCCTGGGGCCAGGCTCCGCAGTGGGGGAAAAGGCTAAGAACGGGATGGAATAGGAAAAATATTTATCGCGAGCCGAGCGGTCACGTTCTAGGAGGTGGAACGCGCGGCGTTACCCTTTCCCTCCCAAGAACGTGACCTACATTTCCGTTTTGGGGTATTTTTAACTACACAAAGAACTTTTCATTGTCCGTTGACGGTCCGTCTTAGAGGGGGTGTCCGTAAGAGTTGACTGTATCTTAGTTAAACGCCTGCAATACGCCTTCATCACGCCTTCAAACACTTAATCACTCCACGTGCACTGATTATCCGACCGCATGTGGAGAACGAAAGCGTGATAAAGCCCCAAGAACGTTCAAGAACACGTGTGCTGTCCAACACGTCACGGTGGCAAAAACATCTTTTCCTTTCAGTGTTCTCCTCGAAAGTTCTTACATTTTTCTCGCTTTCGTGTTTGAATTGTTTGTGGACGATTACCGGAAAGGAAACTAACAAGGCTTTTTCTAGGAGAGACTCTTATAAGTACTTATAATATTATAAGCACGTGCAGATTGTCCTCAAAAATAAGTTTTATTGTTATCCAACTACCGACTATGATTAGAAACATAGTGGGAAGAAAAAAAGGATGTCATTCCATAGTCATGTGCCCGACCGTCTGATTCTACAGTCAATAGAATTTTATTTCACACTTCTTGTAGAAACTGCACGTGTACACTTCATGTTAAGGAGGTAAGGTACGGTAGTAGTGGAATTATTACTGTCCGTCTGTAATTATGTGTCGCCCACTCAATTAGTACTTAACTACAAAATTCAAGAGATCGGTAAAACTAATAAACAGCTAACACCATCAATAAAAGCCTGCGGAGACAACCACCACTTATCGCGATCGCCCTTCGTCGCTGGGGACGTTTAGCAAAACTGAGGCTTTAAAAACCTTATTTTAGTCATTTTTTTTTTAATTGTACTTTTGTATAATGCCAATCCACAGCTTTGACATTAGAATGGCGCGGTAAGTATGCAGGATGAAGAAAAGTTGCGGATTCTGGAAAGCATTAACTTGAGTTTGTATCATCCTTGTATTTTGCGATCAGCCTTTTTTTTTTCATTGTACATTGCATGTAAGTTGGTCGCGCCTCTAGCATTTCGCCTACGTTCTTTTCTTTTGATAAGAATGTTGTCAGTTTCCAGCCCAGGCTGAATATTCTTATATTTCTGCCGCTTTTTATCCTGAAAATATTTTTGTATTTATCTATTCTTAAATTGTATGACTTTTCCGTTTTAGAATGTATTGAGGTATAATAATAAATTGCAGTTAATACAGATTTCCTGGTTTTTGTGGCTTCTATTTAGAGAAAGGGATAATTTCATACGGTTGAGTTCAAAACGTATAACTGTATTGTATTTACAGATTTTTAACACAAAACATTATACTTTTCCAAATCTCAGTGCCTTGGGTTTATTCCCCGGGGTTTATTCTTATCATATTCTTAAAATTTCGCTTAATTATAGCCTCCATATTCTCGGCTTATAAAATGTATTCTTATAACAAAAAATAGTAAGTACGGCGTAGTGATGTATTTTTGTCTGTGATTATGGGAGTGTCAGTATTCAGTTGGCTTCCAATACCAGAGGAGCAAACAATTTCGTCCGCTAAGCGGAAGTCCTATAATAACCTATACGGGGAGGCTCCACCTGAAATGCCGGGGTACCTTTTTCAGGCTTCAGGTCAGGTTATGGGCTCCTGTTCAGGTATATTAAAAGGTAAGCATTCACTAGCTGAAGTGTATAAAAGGGTAGGAAAATCCGTCTGTAACGCGGTCTTTGCCAGTAAAACGGGCAACAAAGAACGTGTAACTTGTTCTGCAACATGGCTGCAAAACTGGTTGAATAGCGATGTTGCGAGATTTACCACCGGCATTCGAACCTGTCTTCTAACAAATAAGGTTGCAAGGTGTTTTTTCGTGGATGGTACAAACGCGCAACATCGATCGCTATTCTACTCGTTTTGCAAAACAATTTGTATGTTTTTTGTTGCCCGTTTCACCATATTAAGAGGACTACCACGCACACTTTTATGGTTGTGAAACTGAGACAAGTATACTTCCTGGTTTGGTTATTTATTCATTTTTAAAAGACGCTGATGCATTTACAGCAACTAAAAGAGAAGCAGCGTTCCAAGCTGGTATGCGAAAAGGGTGCAAGGTTTACGAAAGGGGAGCTGCTTTACTGTCAAAATGGTATAATAAAACAATAAGGAGCCTTCAAGCGTAAAATTGTTTTCAAAGAACTTGTTCCCATTTCAGAAATAAAACAAGTCGTGTTATTAATTATTTTGACTGTTCAAAAAAGGGACCGTCCTGGGGAGAGGGGCGTAGGAACCCGGGGGGGTACTCCCCTTGATGGCCTATGCGGGGAGGCTCCGCCTGAAAGGGGTATCTTTTTCAGGCTTTAGGCATATTAAAGTGTAGAGATTCCACTTGTTGAAGTATAGAAAATGGTAGAGAAATCTGTCATTTGCTTCTGTGAAAGGGCCCAAACGGGCTAACAGATGAATTTTATCAGTTTTATGGCTTTGTAAAGTCGAGAAAACATTCTCTGATTTTCGTGATTGATTCCCATTTAAAAGAAAGTGCATTTACACCAGAAAAGAGATATGCAAAGTTCTAAACAAGGTATGTGAAAGAGGTACCTTTTTCGTGAAAAATGGTATATAAAAGGGTAAGTGGTTGGACCTCAGGGCGGAGCCTCCCCATATAAACATTAGTTGAATACCCCCCGCCCAGGGCATTAAAAAAGAGAGTGGTAGGGAGGGTGGGTAAGAGCTTGTTTGAGATATCATGGTCGTGGTACATGAGTATATTAGCTATGATAATGGTTGCCGTGAAGTCTGACTTTAAGTCGATACTAAGGACAAGGAAACGCCACTTTCTTTCGGGCCTTTACCAAACCTTTCCGTGCCACGGCACAATCCCTTATGTGAATGTGAATAGTCACGTTTATTCTTCAGGAACTGACAGGAACTAACACGATTGTGTCGCGTGACTGACGAACGCCTCACTTAATATAGAAATCTTGCTTCCGTTAACGTGAAAATTAGCCCCGGAAATTAAAACGCTGCTTGATTATCCTAGCAAAACTAAAAAAGCCACTGGGTTTTAGTTTCACCGACAAGCATTTTTCCTGATTTGCTATATTTTCATTGCCTTTGTTTCACTCCCAAAGCGTCATTTCTAGTGGTGTTTTTAATAACGATGGCAAAAATAAAAATAACATTGGCCAAAAGGGACAAGACTAGCATCTTTGCCTTGGAAGAAATAAACCTTTACGATTGTAAGATAATGTAAATAAAAAATTATGATCATGTGCTTACCACTTGCCAGCTTCAGTTAAGTTGGTTTTCACACTTATCTTATCCGGCTACACGTTTTCCCTAGACACTGCGGCTCTGCTATATGGACACGTGTTCAACGTGTCGCTTTCACTTAAGAAGAAAGTAAGGTCATAGGTCCGGACTGCACGCCCTGATTCAATCTACCACTCTAATTTCATACTTAATCCTCTTTTGCGTGCTCTCCCCGAACCGTTTATACGTGTTTATCAAGAAGCAGAAGCCGATACCTGCCGTGAACAAGGCTGTTTCTGTCATGATTATGCTAGCATTTTTCGAGCATTTTAAAGAAGTAAAAGCACAAAGTATTTTCCTAGCCTTTTAGTGGCATTTTTTCTCGGAAATACATTTTTTTTTCTAAGAGAAATAACACATTTGTAACAATAGACTAACGACGTAAACTCGAAATTAAATTTAACCCTTATACAGCCGTATAGAGGCTCGTTTTTGCTGTATTAAAACCATATTCACTTTTATACAGACTACTTGTACATTTTTATTAGCTTTAAACCCTCTCAGATGTCCTTAAGAATGGCTAAAAACAGCTTCTCTTGGATAGCCATTATCGAGCAATTTAGTGACTTTATGGGGGGAAACCGAGCATTTTAGTGGCAAAACTGAAGCGTTAATGTGGAGCATTTAAGTGGAAAAACAAAAGCATAATGTACAAAAGCGCCTATTACCTAGCCTGCGGTGCAGCCGGCCTTCGTATCGCATATAGTGTGGATATAGTCCAAGGTTTAAAGTGTCTGCGCGCAGGCTACTATTACCAGCTTTTCTTTTTCTTTCCTTTATGAAAACACGCTACTGCACGTCACTGCAGAAACGCCACGCCTTAACACGCGTTCACAGCTCACTAATCCTTTGTTGATTACCGGCAGGTAAAAATTTTCCACAGTGGTTACGCAATCTATAGGATGCGATTATGTCCTCCCTACATCCGGTCCCGGTTGTTCAAACACTCAGGATAGCGCTATCCACCGGATAAATAACTATTCAGCTGGCCCTGGTCGTTAAAACGTTGGATACGCTATCCACCGGATAAATCACTATCCAGTGGATAAGTATTACGGAAATAAAATAAGCCATACGCTGCAGAGTGATTCATCCGGTGGATAGCACTATCCAACGTTTGAACAACCGGACCCTGATAAATAACAGGGAAATCAATTGCGTCATCCAGTGGATAGAGATATATCCGGCCGATATGGGGCCTAATCTCCTTATATCTTTCGTGGGAAGAAGGGCGTTTTTTTTTTTCGCCTCTTTTCTTCAAAAAAAAACTGCATTTCCTTCGCAGGCTACGCAAAATGGCACCTCCCCAACTTCTCATACTGTCTGACCCGACGGTGGTCAAAATATAGATAACATCCTGTTCCACTATTCTACGTCCCCGACTGTTGGCATAATGGCCGCACGAAGGTAAATACATAAGTAGAGTCGGCCAGGGATTGTTTGGGGAATGTGCCATACTGTAAGCATGGACGTTAACGATCATTAACCGAAACTGAAGATTTCAAGCCATGATGATGATAATGACAGTGTATCAAACATACGAATGAAAATTTAATCATCAAAGCACTGAAAGTCAAAACAATTATTTATTCGTCTTACATCAAAAAATATCATACGTATACCACTATAGTCACTAACTGGCACGTATAAGTATTGACTAAGAATAGATTAGAGCGAATATATTATTTTCAGAGGACGCTCATTTAAAAAAATCGCATTTTTAAAGAAACTAGATCCGTCATCGGAATAAGCTATTAGGGAGTTTTAGCAACGGCGACGGCAACGACATGGAGAACGTCAGAAAAGCAATAGGTTAATTGAGCAAAACAACAAGTTTGCACGTGCATCACGCTTTTTTGTACATTTATTTGCTGTTACTGCACGGCTACTACGTGAAAATGCCTAATTTCATGTTTTATCAAGGGCGTAAACAAGCGAGGACGAAATTTTCTTTCTCTTTCTTAACTTGAGTGCGATCCCCTAGAAATCAAATTCAGTAACATTAGACATTTTCAGCGAATTGCAGTAAACGCGACAAAGCTTAAAAGAACGCCAATTCATTTTTAAAGTGACGTTTCCGCTGCCGTCGCCGTCGTCGATGCTAAAAGTCCCTATTATTTAATCCTTGAACCCCTACGAGAGAACAGCATTTAAATTCTCTTGAAAAATACTAGCGCTAATTCAAGCGTAACGACGATTATAAGAAAATAAAGTAGTAGTACCAAAGGAATTGCAAGGAGAACTGTAACAGTTTGATCACGTTAGAAGCAGGTTTCTGTTCTCTCGCACCAAAGCTATTGCAACATTATAGGGTTTGTACTCTTTTGAGCTCTGCAAATTCCATGACTTTCCATGGCTTTTTCCATGACCTCTTCAGGTTTTCCAAGACCCTAGGTTTAGCAGTCAGTTTAAAAAATATTAAAAACGTTCCTTGTTTTAGGGTATTTTTTGACCTTAAATAATTCAACAGACACAAACTCAGAATACGTGCCGTTTGCGCTGTTAATACTCTTCTCTATCTTACATTGTCTTTGCCCTGTCATCTGCAGTAACTAATTTATCAAACAAAACTTTCCAAAACCGACCATGACTTTCCAGGTTTTCTGAGATCTGTACGAACCCTGCATTAGGGTGAAGTTGCGGTTTAAAGCCTAATTAGGGAGTTTAAGATACCACGACGGTGACGGCCACGAAAACGTTGCTTAAAAAGTGAATTTGTGTTCTTTCAATTTCTATCGCTATTACTCCAACTCTGCATTTACTTGGTCAAATGCAAGCAAACTCTTTTTGAGCCGAATTCCTGAGGGCCATGTTCAAGTTCAGAAAGATAAAGAAAACTGTTAACCGTCGCTTGTTTACATCCTCCATAAAACGTGAAATTAGGCATTTTCCCGTCGTAGTCGTGCAGTGACGATAATTAAAAGAAATATACTGAGAAGCGTGCTGCACGTGCAGAGGTGTTGTTTTGCCTATTCAATCTAATAATTTTGCTTTTTTGATGTTGTCGTTGTCGCTCTTGTCACCGCCGCGGCATCTTAAAGTCCCTATTAGCAACCCGGGGAGGGGCGGGGGCGGAAGGTATACTGCTGTGAAGGGTATGGTTTGTAAGCAGTGTGGTCTGGGATAGAGAATAGAAATCAAAGAGATTGGGTCTAAAATATGGTACCACTTTCCAGGAAACTAGGAGTAGACTAGGGCAAAAGGGAAGTGACCATCCAAAAAATGAAATTGGTAAGTTTAAATTTACCCCTAACCCAGGTTGATATCAACAAAAGCACCGGACTCAGCAGTTTCTAAAAAATTGTGACTCTAGGATAAGGAAGGATTTTGGCATTTTGGTCAAGTAAGGGGTAGCAAAATTATTGAGCTGCACATTAAGTCTGGTATAGGCTAAGGGTTTGACCTCCCAGCAGCAGTACATCCCCACCCATGATTACTGCTAACCCACCAGGGTTAGTACTAATCATAGGTTGGATTTGAGCTAATCATCCTTTGAACAACCAACTCAGCGCTGGAATTAAAATACAACAATGAATCTTTTCTTCAGGGCTCTGCAGCTTTTCATCACACTCTTATGGAGAGCACCTTTATCCTAAGTAGACTAGTTGAAAGATGATCATCTCAAGGCTGCATACGCAGCGCTCCATCAAGCCGTATAACTTCGCCATTTATCATTGGGTTTTCAATAATACTCTGCACCAACTGCCCATACTCAGAAGGATCTCCCAAACGACTTGGAAATGGAACCTGCTTTCCTAACTGGTCTCGAACTTTCTCAGGTAAACCCATCAACAATGGAGTAAGAAACAGACCTGAAAATTAAACCAATCCTATGTTTTAGAGCTGAGCCTCTCAAAGGGAACAAAGGGATGGGGCCAAGACTGTTACTGGTTTATGACTGTAGTCAAGGGGTGACACTGGGGTTAAAGGGAACCTCCACTCTTACTACAGAATAAGTTTAAATCGAATAAAATTATGCTGATAAACAAATTTGTTCGAAATTTGTCTTAAAAAAAGTGTTTATATCAGGAAAAGTGAATTTTAAAATCGCTTATTTTCACTTTCAAATTTCGCGGGTGCCGCCATCTTGAATAACTGTGACGTGTTACGGTTGCTCTATTGTTCTGACACAAAGAGCTTTTGTTTAATAACAATAGGGCAACCATTACACGTCACAATTATTCAAGATGGCGACGCCCGCAAAATTTGAAAACAAAAATAGGCGAATCTAAAAGTTATTTCTTTCGGATACAAACGCTTTCTTTAAAAATATTTTAGATTGACTTGACTGTAACAGTTATTTTCTGTGATTTAAAGTTGTCTTTTTGTTGAAGTGGAGGTTCCCTTTAATGTACTTTGTTTTCAGTTACAGAGTATGATCTAGTCTAGCTAGTAGCAGTTTAAAAGGCACTCCACTTAACAGGTTTATAAAATACCCTCTGGTAATTACATGTATTGTATGAGCTAGGCCTGATCGAGGGCTAAACTTGTGACTACCCAGAAAAAAAACAGCAAGCCACTGATTTTACTACATACAAACAGACTGACCATTTACTGACCAACAAATTTGAATTGAAAAAAATTTTTCGTTGATGAATGTATTGTTCAAAACATTACATGCACATGCAGATGTTCACACATATGGTACGTGTACACAAAATGATATACACAATCTTTTTTATTCTTGAATAACGTCACTTGCCTTTTACTGTACACCTGATTGAAAAAAAGGTGTGTTCTTGCCTCCAATTCACTTTTTAAACAAACCTTTATTAAAGGTACCATGTGCTTAAAAGGACTCAGTCAGCTTTGAACCACATGGACATGGACACCACATGTAGTAAAAAATGAAAATCAAAGGTACACATCAAATACATCTAGAAATCTGCTTCAATTTTGCCTATTGTTTCATTCGATCTTTGATTTTTACTGAAACAGTGTTTCTGTCTGAGTATTCTTCTACTCATGCTATAATATTATATCATTTCATCATATTTGGTTAAAAACAGTATGATGCTGACACATATCTTGTGATATGCAAATCAGCTAGGAAATGGTAGATCTAATGTGCATGTGCATCACTCCCAGCTGACTGGGTTCTTTAGCATAACAAGATTCTGAGGTCTTTAAGTAGTAATATTTTTTCTGACACTTTCCAGCATAAGAAGTATAGATCTAGTTGAAACTGTAACCTACCAGGAGCAATTGTGTTGACTCGGATTCCATTTTGAGCCAGGTCTCGTGCTATTGGTAGAGTCATTCCAACAATGGCACCTTTTGAGGCAGAATATGCTGCTTGGCCAATTTGACCCTCATATGCAGCTACACTTGCCGTGTTGACAATCACCCCTCTCTCTCCTCCCTCATTTGGTTCATTTGTTGCCATTTGCTCTGCAACAAGTCGAATTACATTAAATGTTCCAATGGTATTTACCTATGGCGTGTAAAACATAAAATCAAAATCACTTCATTACAACTGCATGCACAGTTGTTTGTTGATTATGCACTAGTCAATGTAAACCTCTGCACCCCCTTGGTCATAGACATAGTGGGCGTTTGCGAGGAATTTTCCATTACTCGACGAGTGAAAGGGCTGCAAGTATAGGGGGCTTTGATGACTATTGCATGCCATCCAAGAACAGCAAGGGAATGGACCGGGGTATATCTTCCTCCAAGGTGGACAGGGTCATGGATCCTTGAAAGTTAAAGGTGTTCTTCAATCCTGTTCTACGAAACAGTGTGTTTGTTTAAATTTTGATCTACATTTTTAAAGTGCATTTACTAACATCTATCCCTCTTCCACTAGCATGTAGAATTGAGTCATACTTCTCAGAGACAAAGACACACAAATATTTTATACCACTTGAAAAGCTTTGTATGTAGCGACATATATGTGTTACGTCTTGACGTGACAAAATAAAGCTTTAATAAACCATTTACATTAGCCTGTGTCTTTTTGCAACAAAAATGGGGGATATGAGCTGAAAGAGAAAGTTACCTTTAAAACTTTTTCAAATTGATTAAGAGGGTGCACTCCCTTTTTCGAGAGAGTTCGCATTGCAATGCCTATTCCAGCGCAATTGACTGTGACAGTCAAGGGTCCAAACTTCTCATTAGCAAGCTTGATGGCTTGGCTAACATCAGCTTCTGAGGTAACCTAGAAAAAAAGGGGGGGAAAACATTGGGTAGGAAAATTGTTGGGAGGCTTAGGAATTAACTAAGAACAACTATCTGAGTCTTTCAGGCAAAAGAAATGTTATCATGCATGGTGTGGCAAATTATTACCCTCTCTTATATTATTCTAGAGAGGTAAAGATGGGGTGAAAATAAAGAAGGGTCGGCAAAAGCCAAATAAATTACCTCTCTTCTCCAAAGAGGTTTCTTTAGGTAAGTTGGAGATTAAGGAGAGGCAAAAAGAGGACATGTTTCCTTCATACATTCATGTCTACACTATGCAAAGCAGCCTCACCGCTATTCAGAACCTCTAATTTAATCAGACTCTGGCCCTATAGCTTGCGGCTCTTTAGTTTTTGGGCTAGACTCCATCATAGTCTCCTCCATTGTTAACTTGTTCACTAAAGGTGATGTTACACAGGATGATTCACAACGACAATTTTTAGCGCAACACAATGTTGCAACATTGTTGCGACATTGTTTCAAATGGTTGCAACATTGTTGCAACATTGCAATGCTGTGTTGCGCTAAAAATCGTCGTTGTGAATCGTCTCGTGTAACATCACCTAAACTTCCCAATCAATCCTGTGAGGTCTTAATTCCCAGAGCTGCAAGGTTGTTCGTGCAAAGGGGGGAGAGAAAAAATTACAAGGTTCTTGCACAAGGAAAGAATTCATGCACATGTACATGTGTGTAAGCAACTTTAATAGCAGTAATAGTCTGTTGATTGCCTTCCAAGGAATATGTAAGGTAAGAATATATTGCCCATCTAAACCAAAAATAGAATTTCGAGAAACGTGAAAGACACGGCCATGGCCGAAAGACACTCCCCTAACCCCACCCCCTCTTATGCCCTAAATTTTGACCTCCCGATTCCAGTATCTTTGACAGTATCTTTACAGTTCAAGGCTATTTTAGCTTGTATATACAAGCTTCTAGGATCTAGAAGCCTAGGAACGTCCCTTAATGTACATATTAAAAGATACGGTTAGTCTTTAGGAAACATTATTTTTATGCCGGCTTAAAGCTACTCACATCAGCTGGCGCGAAGCAACAATTCTCCCCAAGTTCCTTAGCTACATTTTCTCCATCGCTAGAAGGAAGATCAGCTATAACGACTCTTGCACCATGTCGTGCCAGTCTTTGAACAGTTGCCCGTCCCAATCCAGAGGCGCCTCCAGTAACAAGGCAAATGGCTTTCTGTACGGCAGCCATGTTGGTTCACACGTGTAATAGAGCCTGCGTATTATTCGTAGGAATGGCAGCGGTACTTCTAACAAAGAGTAACGAAACATCACGCTCTCTCGCGCAGAAAATCGACTTGCCTGCCCCGAGGTTCGTTATTTTCACATATGGCTTCTAACAATGCACCTTGTTTACCCCTAAAACTAGAAATACGTTTTAGCAAAGATCTCGCAAAGCTAACGGGGTCAGCAGTGAGAATAAACAGTAAAAAGCCAAAAAGAAAGAAAGAAAAAAAAAGAAGTAGCCACGCCGGGGTATGAATACAGTTGCACCCCAACTTCCTCCAGCGACCACTGCGCCGCGTACATGTCAAAAAAAAAAAGTGTTGATCAAGTATTTTTCTCTGCTATTCACACTGTTACAACCTTATGGAGCTGTATTTATCATGAATTCAAAGATACATTTGAGGAAAAATAGCTCAAACGAGTATTTCAAAACCATTTCGCATTCAGTTCCGTGTTTATTCACTCTCGGGCTTTATATAAGCCGCTCGATTAACGGACTGGTCTTCTTCTTCGCTCGCTGAAGTTAAGGTCACCGTTCTTTCGCTGTTAAACCTTTCACGGCAAGGATTTCCAGCCACTTGTCCAACTGGGCACTGTTGTGTTTGCAGCCCGCTGTTATTTGCCTCAGAAATACTTTGCGATTCGCCAACGTACAATAAACAGAGGATGAATAAGAAGTCGCTGGCCCTGTTACCTGGAAACCCAAAATGCACGATGACGTCATGTTGACCAAACCGATAGAGTCGCGGATGTGCACAAAGATGTAAAATGAGTTAAAAGCGCCTCAGTGAATATGCATAACTATGTCGGGAGGTGCTTGAGATTGAGATTGAGGATGAGATTGTATTTTGCTATCCTGAGGTGTTGGCAAGAGAAGTTTTTTGTGCGCTGATACTGATCCGCCCAAACCATCCGGGTGGTATCACAAATATATAGGGAACAGAACAATAGAGGAGATGTCAGCCAATCAGAAAATACTGACGTCACTATAACTGATAAAACTGATTGGACAATACTGCTTCTCTATCTGTAATTGGTTTGTTCGTTGTCGCGATTTGGAATGGCAAAGGGAAGTACCTTTGAATTAAACTTTTGCTGGCCTGCTCGTTTAATTCAAACTTTTTTTAAGAACTTAAAGTACGTTGAAAGAAACGGCATTCTGATTATCGATGCAGACATTCCGAGATTCGTTAAACGGCGACGCTTATATTACATCGAATTCTTCGTTGTTTTGGCGAGGATAGTAAACTGCCTTAATTACTATAAAGAACTAATCGAATATAACCGTGAAACTGTGAACATCAAATCATAATACAAGAAGGGAAAATCAACGACTGTCCCCTTAGCGGACCGGCGTTCATTTATAGTTTACTGTAACGTTAGCGATTTCACAGAACGACCAAAACTGTACTAATATTGATAGTTTTTTTTTTCTTTTGGTGCACACAAAGACTGTTTCATTTAACCACTGATTTTAAGCTAGAGAAGAGAATGACGACGTGTAAACGACGAAATTCAACAACGAGCTAACAACGCAAACTGACGCATTGGTTGTCGCCAAACCAAAATTGATTCATAGTGTGTTTATGCTTTTTTCCGAGTTTGTTTTTAAAATTCATAAAAACAAAACATCGAACGTGACTCATAACACCCTTTGTTTTAGATGAACAGTAACTACGCAAATTGTTATTGTGTTTGCGGAAACCATTCTGACCATTGTTGGTTAGTTGAGGTCGGTGGTGAGCTTAAAACAAGACTTACTATTTGTATTTTTTACTCGTTATATCTAAAAACGACCAACGCAAATAGACATTCTTTTAATGTCCCTGCCTCAGCACTTCTTTAGAGCCCGCAATGCAAAGTTCCTGACATCCTTTCTAACCACTGGCATTAGCGCTGTGACATGGTGACCGCGTACAGTTTTTTTTTAAAACTTTGGCGCAACAATGTCTCCTCGGAGCTCAACAAGCAAAGGCGTTTTTGAGCGACGCACGCGTCAAGGAAGTGAGACGTTTTTCTTTTTAAATATGTCATGAAGCCCAAATTTCTCTTACTAAGTGCCTTTAATTAGTCTTCTACAGTAGAACCTCGATAATTCGAACTCGGACAACTTGAATTCTCCGCTAAATCGAACTAAATTTCCCCTTTTTTCTATCAAAATTTCCCTGAAATTTACCCCGACGACTCGTATTCCCCTCTAACTCGAACTGTTTTTCGTTTCCCTTCACAGTTCGAGTTACCAGGGTTCTAATGTAGAACGCTTTTCCCGAAAATGTGGGCAGCGTACTGCCCAAACGAAGGATGCAAAAAGTTCACTTTCGGTTGACGTGCGTCGCTCAAAACAATCCCAGTTGAGAAAAATTTTCCAAAAACGTCCAGGCTCAGTCCTAGGAATATCCAAAAGACATAGAAAAGGATCGGCAGTGTAACAAGATTTTATTCTGGCCGCAAGAATTTCATTTTTTCCCTTCAGAGAATAGATTTTAGGAGTTTTCTGCTGTAACAAGACTTTCCGATGGCCCTGACAGTGTCAGCACGACTGCATAGGTATTGAAGACACTAAAGCTCTTTATTAATTTTCAGTAAATATATATTTCGCGGAGTTGCAAACTGTTCGCAGGATAAACTTAAAGGCTGACGAGAAAACGTCATTAAAGAATCGCGAGCTTTGAGAACACGCGCAATTTTAGGTGTGGCCTGCTAGCACTCCAACTTTTGCTTGTGAGATCAGACAAGAACGTCTACTCAAGCAGGCTGAACCACCGTCAGACCGTAATGAAATGACCGTTTACCTGAGAACCTTTGCAATATTTTTCGATTTTATGTTTTGGTTTTTGGAAAAAAAATATTGAGGATTGTTATTACAATTACAAAATACTTTAATTGGAGTTATAAAATATAAAGGATTCTTATTACAATATTTTTAACTTCAATAGCAAATACAAACAATTTTCTACAATTTTTCATGAAGCGTGCCTTTACTTTCACGTCTTCCCCACTATCTGAGAGCCTGGAACAGGCTGCCACACAAGCTAAAATCCACCTTATCAATAAAACAAACTGAACCCCAAAAGATGAGTACACTGCACTATCAGAGACCGTTATCACTACAGCTTTCTCTTATTTTACGCTTAGCCTAACACTTTGCTGATTTGAAATTCTTCAGCCTAATAAAGTCCATCCCTGCTTGAGGTAAGATCCTAACTTTTCCAGGTTTATGGCATTCGTACAGCACCATCAATCCTAATAATCTCGCCATTAATTGTTCTGTTTTCTATAATGCTTAGAGCAAGGTGTGCAAAGTCATCTGGGTCTGCAATACGCTTGGGAAATGGTATGATTTGGGCAGCACTTTCCTGCTGGGAGGGTTCTGGTCTTCCTTTGGTGAACATTGGCGTGAGGAACATACCTGATGTCAGATAAAGAAAACGTTTTAAAGAAATGACAGAGTAAAGATTCGGCTGTTGGAACATATATTTGCAAAGAAATGTTCTTCAACACCAACAAATTCTTCAAAGTTTTAAACTAGGCTACATGAAACTGCGTACTAGGCTATTAATGAACACCTGAATTCTGTGCAAGTCTGCGATCTTAGGTCTGCCGTGTCCAAAGACCCTAAGGGCGCAGGCCACTCCATTGACTGGGCCAGTGTAAAAATCATTGGCCAGGAAAAACCACCTACTTTCACACAAGCTATGCAAGACCATAAACGTTCATAATCAGCAAATAACAGCAAACAGCATTGATGAAGGGGTCTGGGTGCGTTCTGAAAGCTCTTCATAAATTTCAAGAATTTGTTGGTGTTGAAGAATATTTCTTTGCAATTTCAAAGAAATAATCTTTTGAGTTGCAATAAATGGGAAATTCGCACCCCCATCCCTGGCTGCCCCCCTACAGGAATGAAAGGAACAACCTAGGGTGAGGTATAGGTCCTGGTAGTAAGTAAAGTATCCCATTGTCTTTACCTGGAAAATACCAAAGTCAGACATCCGGGAAACTAGATGATCTAGGCGACAGGGTTAAAAAGTAGAAACTTCAGGTTTCCATGCCCCCAAAACAAAAGTGGTAGGACTCGCAAGAGCTGAGTATAAGGGGTACAGGAAATGTGGATTTACGTTGCCAGAACTGTTTATAAGTATATGCAAAAGAAAAGTCAATTTTCATTTTGTCCCAAACTTTGAATACTCAACCAAGGTGACAAAATATGTTCCACAAACTGTGCAATTCTTTCCACACATCTGCTGTTGCTGTTACTGGTTTTTTTTCTCTGCAAAGAGGTTAGCAGGACTGTTTTTTTTTCTTTTCATTCAAGGAGAGGAGAGTTTACACATGAAAAATCATTAGAAGCTTCCTTGCGAACTAGTCTTGTTATACTATGACCCTCCCTTTTGTGCCCTGCCAAACTGCTTCAGTCCCATAATTATAAAGCTACAGAAGCTTTCTACTTGAAGTACAATACAATACAATTCAGTTTCTTCCTATCCCATGGACTTTTTAAGGGGTCTAAGTCACATTTTAAGTAAACAATATCCACCTGGTGCAATTGCATTCACCCTGATGCCATACTGTGCCAGATCTCTGGCCATAGGGAGCGTCATACCACTGATTGCTCCTTTAGTTGCTGAGTACGCAACTTTTCCAGCTTGTCCTTCATAAGCATGAATACTGGAGGTGTTAATAATCACCCCTCTCTCCCCTCCCTCATCAGGTTCATTAGTTGCCATTTGCTCTGCTGCAAGGCGGGCCACATTAAATGACCCCGTTAGATTAATCTGCAAAACAAATCCTTTAGAGTAAGCTATGATGAATAATATATTCATTTCACTGGAACACAAATTCATCATTCAATTACTTTTTGAATGTGTTTGTGGAAATTGAATTGAATTTTCAGTATTAATCATGTGTGAAACAACATGTCTGGATTTGTGAGAGGCCATGAGGGCGAGAGGAATATTATTGTTTTAGTAAAATCCAACTAGTTGGTCAAAAATATCGAGACAAAACAACTTTAGCTAGTAAAACACGATTCAGCCACCATTGTTTTGGTTTTCAAAGCCAGCTCTTTTCGCTATTAGTGGGCTATAACAGCATTGATAATAGACCTTTAGTTGGATTTTACTAAAATCTGTTATCCCAACCTCTGCATCTGATTGTGATAGTAATTTATATGTGTTAATAAAGCTGGCACCTAATGCATGGTCTTGCCTGGTATAAATAGATTTTACTATACCTTTGTTATTTCCTCAAATAAGGAAAGAGAATGGGCCTCCCCAGTATCAGACAAAGTTCCTGCAATTTTCATTATCCCTGCAGTGTTCACAACTGCCCGCAAAGGACCACATTTATCTACAACCGTTTTGATAGCCTGTTTAACACTACTTTCTGATGAAACCTGTTCAATAAACAATGCAACATAAAGAAAATCAGTTTTCAGCAACTGTTGTTGGCAAACTATAATCCTTCATATTTTAGCACCTCCAACACTGACAATAGTGTGCAGTTATTAAAAGCAAATGAATAATTATTAAATTTCTTCAGGGACCTGTTAAACCAGATTGGAACCCCTTCCATGCCAAAAATGGATTTTTTTCTCTTTCCCCTCGAGAATATACCAAAGATCAAAATTGCTCTCACAGCCACCCCGTCAGAAAATCTCATCATCTTTACAAGCCGGAGGCGGGGGGTGGGAGGGGAGGGGCGGTGCGGCAAAGATATGGCCCAGGCCAGTTCCACTTACATCTGCTGGTGCGAAAATGCAGCTGTCTCCCAGATCTCGCGCCACCCTGTCACCGTCACTCGATGGTAGGTCCGCTAAAACGACTTTGTAGCCATTTTTAACAAGTCTCTTTCCTGCGGCCAGCCCTAAACCGCTTCCTCCTCCAAAAACGAGGGCACCGAAGCCTTTTCGCGCCGCCATTACCGCGCCAGCGACCCTGTTAAAGATGGCAGCGGAATAAACCAAACTTGGACATTTCGTTTACTATACATGACGTACTGACTTTTATCAATCGCACGTGCCCAAGATGGTGTACAAAACCTTGTGAAATATTTTTCACTTTAGTTTCCTTCCTTACTGAATGGTCCTTTCTCTTTACAAGACACTTTTGGCATTTTCTGAAGGACCAGTCTTGGAGAAATGTCGTTTTGCCCCGCCGGGTTTGAAGATTCAGACTCCGATGATGAGGGTTTTTTCATGGGAGGTTCAAATAGTTACAGTGCCAAAACGGTTAATAACAAGCCAGATATGAATGGTATGACTGGTGCTTCATCAAAAAACTTTACTGGAATATCTGCTGGAGCAGAATCTTGTAATCCACACCCTGAAGACGTAGAATTTGAAACATCGAAAGCTCAAACGGATGGAAGGAGAAGACAACACTCATCTCAGAAAACAAGTGACAATAGAAATGACGGAGCGACTGGTCTCGGCAGAGGCAGAGGACAGCTGCAACAAAGGGGAAAAGGAAGGGGAGGGTTTCCAAGGCCTCCATCATCGTACAGTAGTAGGGGAAAATCATCAAGAAGGTTTGGATGGGATGAATAATACCCAGGAATAATATTACATTGACGCCCGGGGGGGGTACTCCCATACATTACCTATACGGGTATGTGCCGCCCAAAGGGGTCGTGATTTTGAAGCTTCTGGTTTAGAACGGGGTATCCATTTCAGACGCGGTTTCTAGAACGGGGTATAATATTTCGAACGCATGAAAGCTCTCCACTTTTGTAAGCAGGCATTTGAAAGCCTTCAAAGACAGATTGCTTTTCAAAATAAGGTTCAGTGCGTTAACAAGCAAACCGTTGTACTCTTGTTGCACCCTAGAACGGAGCATAAAAAATTGGTCCATTTCTAGAACGGGGTGTTAGTTTTAGGGCGAATTCTAGAACGGGGTATAAAAAATTGGCCTATTTCTAGAACGGGGTATCAATTTTAGGGGAATTTTTTTCTAGAACGGGGTGCCAATTTGGAATCCCAGGCGGCACATACCCACCCAAAAAATACCCAAGTGCCCCCCCCGGGCATTGACGCCTTTGATTCAGTAGACTTATCAAGCCTAACGCACCTGTCAATCAACAATGTTATCCCTAAGGGGTGGCTGGGACCATGGGCTGAGAAGGGAATCAGAAAATAAATTTTTAGTCAAATTCGCCCCTCCCTCTAAATTTCAGGGCTTGGAAAAAACTTGAATTCCAGCTTGCTCTTTCTTGCCAAAAGATTGAGCCACTTCTTGCTGGGCTTTGGTAATATTTTATTTAGAGGACAACTTGCCTGGAACCTCACCCATTGAGCAAGAAAGCTTGAAAAGTTACTTGCCCAGCAAGAAAATTTACCTATCCTGGACTACCTTTGGCACAGCCAGCCCCTAGACAGAGTTACGCCCCCATGGCTGGCAAACCCGCGCCCTCCAGCCATGAGCCCCCACGCCAAAGGAACCAGGCACCTGTCACACTGATTTAACAGTGGAAGAATTAAGGGGGGGAGGGCTGGGGGTAAAAGAATGATCCAAAGGCTAAACGAAGAGAATGGCCGCTGCAAAAACACTGTACTGAGCACAAGGAGACGATGCAAGCAAGGGTGACCATGCTTGAGCCAAACGACTGACCGCTGACCACGCTCGCGCTCCTTGTCGTTAACTCTGTTAAATAAATATTTACTTAACCTCATTCAAATAGTTCTTCTTGACTGAAGGGAAAAGATAGACTTTTGCTCTCCCTTGTTCCATCACTCTATATACTTTGTAATACAAATTTTCAAATGCGATCTACAGGAGTAATTTCTCACCAAACAAATCTACACAAGCAGAGACCCGAAAAGCATCATTATCACTAGCTGTTGATGACTTGCGAGTTGCAGTTGAGAAAGGGAACATCGCTGCAGTTCAAAAGTATTTAGATGATGGTGAGTGTTTTTTGACTGTAGACTCTCTAAGTTTCTTGGAATAATATTATGAGTCACTCCGAATTGGATCAGTTGGTGGATTCATTCCATTAGTGGTATGAGAGTTAGTTCCTTCAATCCTGAACTGCAACTAACCACCTGCATTGAACGACGTCTCTTGTACTACTTATGATGTCATCAGTTTTAACAGTCATAGACATCTTCAATGTCTTTTTAGTGCCGGGGGGAGTATTTTAAACCATACCAGAATAAGCACAATTTAGTCAAACAGGCTGGAGAAAAAATACGTAAAACAATGCAGCACAAAGATAAGCATCCAAAAAGTGCATTCAATATCTTTGTCCAAAATTTCTGTACCTAACTGCATCTGGATCGACTGTGTACCAGAAGAATTTCGTAGCTGTTAAATTCCTATGCCTACTAACCGCATATAGATTTCAAGTTGCCAGGTTTAAATACCCAGAAACTTGAAATCTTTGTGACATCCCTGGAATAATTATGTGTTACAGGTCAAATTTGATCTCAGGTTAATTTTGATTTAACCTATTTTAGGTTGATTCTCAATTTCCTATGTCTCCTAGCCCTAGAAAACAAAAAAAATTGAGAATGAACCTACAATCTTGGACAAAACTGTTGAGAAAATATCACATTCTCAGAGCATTTTTCCTAACATCCTCGCTATACCGCGTTCTCCCTTCCCCCCTCCCCTTGGAAGTAATGTTGTTGTGTGTTCTAAAGCAACCCTGATCCTTAGACATTTGTAGGAAACAACATTGACCTTGTTGAAATAGTGTTGTTGCATTTGATAGTGTGCATGGAGGGGTACAAATTCTCAAGTAGTTTTGTCCAGGATTGAAGGTTAAAATTTTTTATCCTGAAATCGAATTTGACCTGTAACATACAGTGTATACGTGAGTTAGAAGCCTTATTATCCATTATTGGATTGATTGTTGTTTCCTATTAAGCATATTTCTCTTTGTTTATTTGGTTTACATTTTCTTAAACATTCTTAAGATCTTTTTGCAAGCTTCCAAAATTAATGAAATATTTTTTGTCTTGCAGGGATTGATCCTGATGTCCATTTAAAGTCTGGCTGGACCTGTCTGATGTTAGCAGCTAGTTCATCATCATATGAATTAATGGAATTTCTCGTAAACAGAGGGGCCAATGTTAACTTCCATAAAGGTATACTTTTTAGAGGAAATGGGATAAGTTTGAAACAATGTTGTTTAGCTTTTTTATTTGCATTCTATAGGTAACTTTCCTTTTCCTAAAGTTGGATAGTGATGAGGTAAATTGCTCACTGTTAAACATTTTAATGCTCACAGTGGCCAGTGTAAAACTTCACAAAAATTCCTTTTTTTTTTAAATCAGGACTAAATAGTAACTGTAACACACAAAAGTTCTGCCAAAGACGTTTTATTTGAATGGCAACAGCAAAATAATTCATCCACAGATTTAAAACAAGTTAAAGTGACAAAACACACTGCCACAACTTAGTGACACCACTACTAGTTTTCGCGCAAAATGATGTCTGAGGAATGTCTGCAGAAATGCCATTCTAATGGTGTGTCACTGCCAAGACCTGGGTAGTACTTCTGATTGGTTGAGGCAAATTTCCCTTGTGGCAAGACCAATCAGAAGTACTACCCAGATCAGGATAGTGACACGTCATCAGTATGGAATTCCCCAATTCAATCATCCCCGTGACTTGAAATACGGAATACCCCAGTGTCAATTCACAAGGAAACCAGTGGTGACATTGCAGAATGTCAGCTGTTTCCTCAGGCTACCTCTTTTGGGAAATTCTCTCTGAATAAGACCTAACCCATAGAAATTTACAATGTACCTCAAACCATCATTTTTGTTATGACTGGTTTCACATACATGTATCAGTGCAGTTGATATTAGGTCACTTATGACTCCTTTTTAATGCAGAGATGTACACTGTGCTGATGGCAACATGTGCAACATCTGCACGCATTCCAGAAGAACAGGTTTTCAAGTGTGTTGAACTGCTGCTACAGAAGAATGCCAGAGTCAATGTTTACGATAAGTAAGCTGTTTTAATAATGATGCTATTAAAACATTCTTTGTGAATGAACCCCTTCCTTCTGTTCATATATTCTGCAATTCTTTTTTCTGCGAACTACCTAGATATCGCATGTCTCCATTGATGTACGCTGCAAGAGAAGGAAGAGTTAAAGTTTGCGAGAAGCTGTTAGAACAGGGTGCTGAGATCAACAAGCAAGATATGCGTGGGTGGACGGTGAGTGTAGTAAGCAAGAGCAAACACTAGTTTCATCTTCAGGACTCATAATAACTGTTATTATGAGTCCTGAAGATGAAACTAGTTTTTGCTCTTGCTTTAACTTCTTGGAAACATTAGGATCTGTTTTTTTAAGCTTTGTATCACACAGATGTGTTCCTCAGCAGTTTTTTGAATTTCACTGTATATAAATATCAAAATTGTGTTCTAATGTGTTTCTTAGTCTTTGTCATTTGCGGCAAGCCGTGGTCATGGTCGAGTTGTACGCACCTTGCTGGATCTCGGGGCAGACCCTAAGGTTTATTCAAATGATGGACAAACTGCAAGTGATATTGCCTACTCTAACGAATATCATGCTGTAAGTTCACATGAGTTGATCTTTTGTCAGTTCTTAGTCACATAAAATAGGACAGTAAATAATATTATTCCTGATTTCTGTTGCTAATTTTTAGAGTTGTCTAACATTTTAAATGAAATAATAAGATTTCAGATATTATTTCCTTTGTGGCGAGTGGAAAACAGGTGGCTAGTACAGAAGCTGTTACTGAGGAAGCTATGGAGCAAAGAAGGTTAGAGAACAAGGCTCAGTGTTAATGCTCTTAACTTCTGAAAAATGCACACATCCTTTTGCTGGGTAGAAAATAATTTAGTGGCAAATACTAGCAAAACTGGACTTCATAAGCCAACCCTAACCCCTAACCCCTAAACAAATTCTGTTTGCGAAAGGAAGTGAATCAGGGTTCTTTAATAAGGTCTCTTGTGATAAACAGTGTGGCAAAAAAGGTCTTGGTGGCGCACCTCTACCCCAGCTTCCGTTGACTTCCCCGCCTCCCGGGTGATGAACTTTGTGTTGAAATTTTTCTTTTTTTGCCATTGCTTGTAGTGTTAATATAACCGAAGACAGCTCACTCAGTTACGGTAGCCTGGAGTTATTTCTTGCTGGACATGAACTAACACATCTATTGCCCAAATTTCAGGTAAAATGTTACCATGAAACTATTTGCTTGTTCATGAAATAATTTATTATGGCCCACATATAATGGAATTGAACGAATGTAAGTGCTTCAGGGCTGTAGCCAGACTTCAGAACAAGAAGAGGCAAGTTTCGAGCGCTGAAGGTGCAAGGTGCTAGGGGAGTCTGATGGGGTGCCCCCCTAGAAAATTTTAAAATCTAGAGGCTCAGAAATGCTCTTGTAAGCATTTTCCGTGGTATTTTTCTTCAGAAAAGTCAATCTTGGGCAAGTGTAGAAGTTCACTTTTTTATTGCTTAGCGATACTGGTGCCAAGTTAATGACCATCTGCATTTTAAAGCATTTGAAAAACCACTACCCACGGTTCACATGAAATGAATTAACCTCATCAAAAAGCTTTTCCCCTCAATACATCCACCTTATATTGGCTGGTTTTATCTTAACCAATCCAATTTTTTCTAGGGATTATTTTCTCAATTAAACGTTTCTTCCCAAAAAAAGGCTAAAATCAAGACGAGGCGACTGCTAGCTACAGCCCTGTGCTTTTCTTGAAAGCTGGTTTTCACTAGCGATGATGTCAGAGTCAGAGTCTTAATCAGAAGGGTACAACATGACGATCCAGTGAAAACAGTTTTCTGATTCTTCTTACGACTGTGTCGCGTACGATCTAGTGAAAAACAGGTTGTCTGAATCGCAAGCAGAAGCGGAAGAGCAAAATCAATCCTTCCCCTTCTGCTTCTGAGTTCACTTGACAAAACAGCCAACAATGCACAAAGCTACCACTGGTTTCCCCGCGAAATAAAGTCTGTGGAATGAGTGTGAAAATTCCGTACTGATGACGCGTCACTACCCAGATCTGGGTAGTGCCGGCTTCTGATTGGTTGAAAATTTGCTTCATACTTCAACCTTTAGAGAATACACCAGTAAAGAGTTGTATTATTTCATTGTTCAGGAACACAAGGTTACATTTGATGGTTTCTTGAGTCTGACAGAAAAGGAACTGGACCAGGTACATACCTATTAACAGTCGTCTGAAGTTAGCTTTAAGCCCTGGCCAAACCTACCCTGGGTAGCAGAAGCTTTTCTCGCGTACGGCGGGAATTTTCGGTGTCGGCCGAAGGCCGACACATCTTCGGCCGTAGGCGGAAGCCACGAGCGCGGGTCACTATAAAGACTTGACAGAAACCGGAAACCGCGCTAGAAAAGTCTCTGGCACCCAGGGTAGGCCAAACACAGTTCTCAAAATGATTTTCAGACGGTGGCCGTACGCAATGACCAGCAGCCGCCGTAGCCGACGCGATCGTTAGCGCGAGCAAAGGTTTGGCTGAGGAGCTGCGAAGTCGTGCGCAGAATGGGTAGTTAACTATTCCTTGTGTAATTTTCTATCGAAATTTTTAGAAAGAGACAATAATGAGGATTTGGTTGTTTGTTCAAGAATGAGAGTCTGTGTGACCAGTGAACATGACTGGCAATTGGAGTTTCGGGCCGGACAAGTCGCCATATTGACTAGAAATTATCCGTTGCCAGCCGTTATTTTGAGCCCTGCAAACCAATGCAACTTGTTGATACAGCAGTTAAGATAGAACGACCATGTGTAGAAAACTGCCTCATGCAACTCTTGGTTGTCTAGGTATCTGTTCAATCAAAAGTTTATGGACATTTATTGTTAACGTGATAGTTATCTGCTTTATTCAATCAGATGGGAATAACCCAAATAGGTGTGCGAACTAAAATCCTGGATTCCATACGAGAAATTCACAAGAAAGAATGGGATGTAACCAGCTTACAGGCCATGGAGAAACATTCATTAAGGTACGGTTAGTATTTCAAGCTCGGGTACGAATAGCCTGTGAACAGGCTCTCTGTTTGGAGAAAAATAGCAAGGAAAGGGAAGGGAAAGGGGAGGAGAGACCTCTTTTCGCTTTTCCCTCTCCCCACCCCGCTCGACTAAAGGCCTCTTCACAGGCTAGGGTACGAAACTCCAGCAAAAGTGTCTCCTTTCAGGCTAAGCTGAAGTAATTATCATATTATAATTATTAACACTTCAATTCACGTGCTGAAAGTTCAGTTTATCTTGGGTATGACCTCTACTGAACTTCAATTGCCTTAGCTTTTCCATTTTGCGTTTTAGTTCTTTATGGATAATTGATACCATCTTCTGTTTTTTGACAGAGCAGTATAGCGCCCCGTTTTGCTAAAAGAAGTAAACCCCCTCTCCAATAACTTCCCTCTCCATTCAGCCTCCCCCACCCCCTCAAATGCACTTGAAGTACTTAATAAGTCCCCTGGGGGTGGTGGTTAAAAGAGGATTTACAGTAATCACCTCCCAATGACCCTGAGTATACATTTTTTCTCGTACAGTGCCGCTGAAGTTACCGTCATTCTTGCTAATGTGTCCAAGTACTTAACGTACGTAAGAAGCAGTGTATCCTATGTACAGAAACACTTAAACTCTGTCCGTGAGCCTCTGGAATTTGTACAGGTAAATATTTTACTGAATACCTGTTCGGCATATGAGGATGTTCAAAGAATTAGCTATTTTGTGGCTGATCATTATAATTATGGAGAAGAGAAGTCGTTACGTCATGTTGCCATGGTAGCAAAATTTCTGGATGATAACAAACCAAAACGTCACCGGCTTAAAAAGTGGATTCGCACTGTTTCAAATAGCCTGCGAAAACATCCGCTTCTCCTCGCTCTTCGCCGCCGGGGACGTTTCGCGAGGAGGAACGTCTGCGACTCAGCGGCAGAAATTCCATACTGATGACGCAAACCAATGTTTACATCATGAATCCAGTAGTCATGGGGTTTCAAATACAAATTTGTCCAATTTTACGTGTCTTCTGGTCGATTTTGGTAAGTGTTGTGTTCATCTGCCAACGAGCTCCAACAAAACTCAAATGCTTCTTCTAGAGAAGACTATATTCCACAAATATTGACTGTTTTGTTAGAGATTCTTCGCGTTTACATTTGACCTTTGTGGCCTTTTGTCTTTGGTCTGTCATTCGTAAACAATAGCTAAAACAATGTAACTACTCCGTCGACCAATCAGCGCTTCTGACCGGATTTCGGACAGATTTTACGTCATCAGTATGGAATTTCTGTCGCTGAGTGGCAGACGTTCCTCCGCGCGAAACGTCCCCATCGGCGAAGAGCGAGGAGAAATGGATGTTTCCGCAGGCTATGTTTCAAACTCCATCGATCTTATTTAATGTCATTTTATTTGTCAAATGTTGGCGAAATTTTGTGGGTTAAATCCGAAAGGACCATGTCTAAGTTTAGAAAACGAAAATTTCTGTGTTGTGCTCACATACTCTTTAAAACGGGCGTGTGAAATCAGGAAGTTTCATATCGCAGTCGTGCAACAACGGCTAAGACATGTACAAAAAAGTTGGTTTTTTTGTCAATCTAAACCTATTGTTTTTTTGCTGTTCGCCGTCGCCGTTGCAAAAACTCTCTGTTGTTGTGATCCAGAAATTTTGCTACCATAGTAACGCGACGTCACACTTCTCCTCTCATTTCTTGGACTATCATTTCTTTCAAGGATCTGTGTCTCGAAATTTGTCAAAATTAAAACCGTGAGAACTGTCACCAAACTGAGTAAAACATGAAAATAGCCGCTCAAAACATGGAAAGAAGTTATGAATAACACTGTAAATACATAAGGCGACACGGTTGGATCAAACTTGAAGAAGATTGAAACGGGTTGCACTGATTGTGGTTTTGCAAACCTTTTAGCCTAACAGTTTTTCAAAGCGGTTCATTTTTGTTGTTTGTAACGTTTGATATAATGCTTGAGAGTCATACTTGTCTCACACTAAGCTGTCATTTTCTCATTCGCAAGTAATTTCTCAAGTTCCATAACGAGCAAGGACCGATAATTGGCATTTTTGACAAAATGACTTAGATAGCGGCGACACAGCCCCTATAATTAATTGGTTATTGCAAGAAGACCCAATGGCCAAGATGGCCAATGATAATGTAAGCTCGATACGGAATCAGCCGCTGCTCAGGAAAGGAGCCTGCGCTCCTCCCCTCCTCCTCCTCCCTTGTCGGTGATGAACGAGACCAAACCTGAGAGACCAAGTTCTTCACCAGGTAGCAGGCGTAGTAAGCTCAGCTTAAGTACGCACATGCAGAAGGAGAAGTCTGTAAAGCGCTAGCCCGCTTGTCGCACAAGCTCTGCCTCCAATCATGTGCCACCGTTTCTCGCCTATCAAGAACAAAACCAGTAAATTTTCACTGAAGCACCCGACTTCGAGTGGAGTTCTTTGGAGAACGTTAAGACAGTTTTTTGTCTGTTACGATAAATTTGATGATACCATTTCAAGTGAAAATTATCAAGAAATGTTTTGCGGCAGAGCATTCTTGAGGCTATACTATGTGGTTCTTAGCATTAGATCCTCGAGAGAGAGAGCGTTGCAATGTCAATGTTTTCTATTTTCAGGATGTAACATTAGCAGAAGGAATGGTTATGTACTCCAGGGAAGCAACCGAAGCTGTTCAGAGCTTAAGTGAGGAGCTCAGCTCTGTTAAAACACAAATTTCACAGGTTTGTCCTTGGTCGATTTTGTCAGTTTGTGGAGCAATTACAGCGTTTGAACTAAAGTTGAAACATAAGAAAATGACTTGGTCTCTGGCTAACAAATTGAATAGTCCGGTCTCTTAGTGCAAAATATAGGCCGGATCGTTACAGACGTGACAAAAGTGTCAAATTTGGCACAGAGCTTCCTTAGCACCTACTGATTAATACTGGAGGGGGTGCCCGTTACAAATGGTCCAAATTACAGATAAAAGGGGGGGTTAACTTTCACCTATAATAGCAGATTGGGTTCCCTGTGGTGAGTACTCTTCTTGTTTGATTTGGCTAAAAAACATTTGTTGCAAATTTTTAAGTTTTTAATTTGGTAATGTTTAGTTGTTGTTACACTATTCAAAATAGTTTTACATATACATAATACTGACAAGTGCCCAGTCTCCACACGGTAAGTGTGGCCATGTTCATTGTGCGGACTGTGCGGCTATCAGTGTCACTGCTAAGACTTGCCAGTGATAATATCATTACATATCAATTTAAACAGATCACAAAGCCAGCTTTCAAAGATGTCATACAATAACATAAAACGCAAATGTATCACATCCTAAACGACAGAATCGTTAAAGTTTGAAATGCCACATGAACGACCTCATGAACCGTAACTGACAACGCGCCCACTTTGTAATTGTGCAGCTAAGATTAGATTATAATTTGCTTCGTTGGTAACCCTGTCCTTGAGATAATGATTAAAACATTATCATTATCCATCATATCTGAAAGTTTCAAAGCTATAGCTTAAAACCTGTCCCGACTGGAGGTCGGTCAATTTTGATTTTTGCGTCTAAAATAGAGTGAGAGAAAATCAGCTCTAAAGATTTAGCGCGAGCTCCACGCTTGGCTGGTTAGCTCAGAAAAGGCTCATTTTAGAAGGGTTAAAAAGCACTTTCTGATTTTCTTTTTCTGCCAAAATAAAATTTATGACTCCCTCATGCCAGAAATCCAAAAAAACCAAAATCGAGCAATGCACTAAAATTTCAATTTACCGAGACCTTAAAAAGAAGTGCATGAGGTCCCTGCATGCCTAGACACCTGTAAGCGGCTCATTCACTTCAGAGCCCTTGGACCAGAGTGTTAATGGTAGGTCTATAGGATCTTTCAAAAAAAAGGAAGGTCGTTTACAAACAATCTAACTTCAGAAGAGCTGAAATTTACAGGAACAAGGCCTCTTTTAGCAAACCAATGATGCATCATTTATGAAAATGAATGTAATTTGTTTGATGCAATTAGGCGAATACCCCGTGGCTACGAAATCTTACGATCATGAATTCCTCAAGAGCAATTCAGTTACCAACGTTTCACAAAATAATGCTGTGGAAAATTACAGAAAATACCAAAAAAGCAAGGGTCAACAATAATTGTGGCCTGGTCCCTTATAATAATGGAGTGGTCATTATAAAGAAGCCCATCAGCCCCAACTTTGACCACTCAAACAGATTTTTGACAGATTACATACTGCAAAACTTTGCATTCACTCATGCCTATGTTGCCACACCAGGAGCCTAGAAATCGGCTCCTGGTCACACCTTGTTTTTATTGCTGAATATCATTCTAAAGAGCTTTTCGAAATATTTTGTTAGTAGGGGTGTTTTGAACATGATTGATATTTAGAGATGGTGACAAAAACGAACACAGAAAAAGTCACAAAACGAGACGCATGAAACAACCGCAATCTAATATTCGTTTTACACCGATATAATGGCTTCTTTGGCTGCTATGCTGACATTCTTGAAGATGGCCGGTAGTTTCAAAGCTCGTCCCGGGTTAGGTATACCGTTTATTACCAGTTTCACGGTTCCTGAGACTTAGGGCCTGTTAACATAAAGGTGGGGGACCCCAGGTAGGTGAGGTAACCTGCTTAGGTGGGGTAAAAAAATAACCCTTCTTTACATGCAGTCTTACAACCCCACCATCCTGGGGTGCAGTTTCTCAAGATTATTGAATGGTCGCTAAGCATGTAAACAAGAAAAATGCTGGCAAACCACGTCTACGCTCAATTGCTGCTCTTGCTACAACCTTCAGTGTTGTGGCTTTCTATTGTTACCATTAATAATTATGTGAAGCCACCCAGCGCCAAAGTGAATTTTGCGCGAATTTGATGTATCACGAATCCGACCCCGACTAGCCTGGGTTTCCTCACCTTGAAACGTTGACATGGAAAAATTTGACCTCAGCTGAGAGGGTTACCTGGTGTGGCAGACCGGGCTACCCACCTTGAAGGGTGACCCCACCTATCATGTAAACGTGATCAAATTAAAATGAGAGATTATATGGACAAGCGGGTTACCCCACCTAAGTGGGTTACCATTCCTACCTGGGGTCCCCCCTCCTCCATGTGAACAGGCCCTAAAAGTTAGCCCGGCCCCCTTTCTACAGTTTCAGCAGTTAAACCATTCACCATTTATCATTTGAGTCAATCTTGTACCACTTGAGTCTCACTTTTACGACTTGATAAGCTGTTATTATTTTTGGACATGAGTGCTTCAGTGCCAAATGTAGAGGCTTCATGATAAACTGTACTGTTTTTTGAAGCTTGGGCTAACTTGTTTCTTTTTTTCGTTTATGAGACCAGATTCTTTTTTGTTTGTTTTTGCTTTGTAAAGCTTAGACAAACTGCGGAAATTGTAAATGATATGACTTGTGCCACGGTGCTTGCTTCTCTGTCAAAATATGCACTTGCGTCCAGCAGATAACTGGATAAAGAGAGACTGAAAGGCATCCAGGCCTATGTTAAGCTGAAAAATTAATTACCTCCCTAGGAAAGAACTATTTTGGGTTCTGGCATTTCGTTATTTGCTCTTCATGAATAGCTGTCATAAATCCCTGATAATATGTGATACAACAGACTCTTTGACAATTTCTTTTTTCTGAAATTTTGTGTGTGAATCGCTATGCCATACGCTTTCTTCAGTTTAAAGTGACATGTAATGACAAGTAATATTTGATAAATAAGGCTTAAGCCACACAATAAGGCCTTCTCTAATTGAAATACATTAGAAAAGGAGAAAAGACCCCAGAAGCTGAGTACTTGCAAGTTATGAAGCAAAGACGAGGCCATCTTAGAAATGACTTATAAAAATGTGGGCGGACTGTGGACTTGCTTTAAGGGCACAGTAATAATCAACTTAATTATACAATCAATAAGCAAAAATGGATGGGAATGCCAGATGTTTGAGTGAAATTGTTGTTTACAACCTGAGAATAGAATTCAGAGTGATTTAAGGTATTAAATAACAATTTTCAATCAAAACACCACAGGGACCCCAGCAGGTGAAATGTGCAATAATTAAATCCTGTTTAGCTCGCTTCAGTGGCATATTTTTGCAGTGGGCACCCCCTCTAATATTCATGGTACTGCAATAAGCTATCGCTGTGCAAAGTTTGGTGCTTTTGTCAACTCTGTAACGATCCTGACCCTAAGAGACCTGACTAAAAGAGATATTGGGGTGACTAAGGGCCGGTCAGAAAAATAAACGAAAACCCGGCCTGTTTTTATCTTATCATGAATTCTTAACTGGCTTTCTGTTTAAGAGAAACGAGATTTTTTCACTTTTCCATTTTTTTCTTCACGAGTAGAGATATTTGTCATGTTTGTGTAACCGGATTGATAAACTGGGACGATTCTACTGTCATTGAATACCCCATGCTAGACGCAAAGCTTCATGCCGGTTATTTCAAAAGCGCTTATTCTCTCAGTCTGCTTGCTCTCAGTATTTAACGTGGTTATATGATCATAAATCAACACTTGATCTGGATCTTGTTTTCTTTTTTTGGCAGATCAGCTCCAAAGTATCAAATACAGCTCCAGATCTGGTTAACTATCAGAAACCACAGTCATCCCATTCTTCATCACGGGTTGGCGTCACACTAGTAGCAGGGGTGGCTACTGTCGCATTGGGTGCCTTTGTGTTTCACAGGGTTTGGAGCAATTCATGACAACGAAAAGAAGACCTTAACAGATGACACGGTGTCCATGCGTGACAACGTTTTACTACGTCTTACTTCGCTGAGAGCCCAATTGTCAAGTGTGTAATAGCTAGTGCACATGAACCTCCTGGGACTTTGAAGAGCAGATGTGGAGGGTCTTGTTTCTCCTGTAATGATACTGTTACTTTGGGAAAAAGAGCTTTGCAACATCTGTGTTTGCAGTCCGCCCTGTCCCCAGTACTATCGTTCCTAGGGCCTCCCTTCTTAGTAAGGCCTTTTCGCTTGCCCAAAAATTTGGCCAGTCCACTCCCGGTTGACGTGCGGCACCTAGCCTGCGTGGCAGGTGCTTGGAAGTAGTGGGCAAAAGAGAGAACGGGCGCGCGCGAGGGAGACACGCGTGTCTCCTTCTCCCGCGCCCGTTTTTTCTTGTGCCCACTACTTCCAAGCGCCTGCTACGCAGGCTATGCGTCACCTAAAAACGTCTTTGCTTAAGCGCCTTTCGTAGCTTCAAAAGAAGCTAACTTTTTTTCTTGTGTTTTTGTCTTTGGCGAAAAGTGTGGGAGTCAAAATCTAAAACATTTTAATATGTAACGTTTATCGGCTCGCGCAAAATGCATCGTAAATTTTATTTTTGTTCTTAATACTATTGGAGATCATTGTGTTTCTCTGTGATAATTCTAATTAAAGAAAGTGTTATGGTTGTCAAATAAAAATTATTATAGTACTTATTGTAAAGGAAATAAATGATTTGCTGGACAAAAGGTGAGAAGAGTGCTTCTTCACTGTACCGGTATGTTAATATGAGGGTGATAAATGAAATATTAGCCCTTTGTTATAAGTGCAAATAAGGCTATGTTCACACTGCAGTATGTGGTCCTTGGTCCGGACGAAAAAGACCTAAATAAGTTTTTTTTGTCTTAGAAGAGGAGTAGTTAGCTGAAATTTGTCCTGTTAGTTGCCGTAACATTTTACTAACTTGTGACAAACCGACAACTTCTGAGCTTTGCGGAAAATCCTGCATCATACAAAATAACCGCTACGTTTGAAGGTCCCTGGTCCTGCCAGCGGCTCCTTGGTCCGGCCACTTTGGCCACATTGTAAGCCCGCAAGCAAACTGTGCGCAAAAAGAAACCTTTGAAGCACCAACTGATCTAAATTCCTGTATATTTTCTGTAGGCATCATTTTAACTTCGAAACCAAAATGAGATGTCTGTGTAAAGAGCTATAGTTTGCAATTGGTCTCATGAAGAATTACTAATTTCGTTTCTGTGCGAATGTGTGTCGTGCAGTTATCGATGCAGTTACGATGCAACGGTAACGATATGGCCACTACTTTAAATGAATTAAGTCAGATTTCAGAGGGATAGAACAATTAAATTTGTCGTCGCTTGTTTACGACCTCAAAAAAAGTTCCCTTCTAGAAATTTTATGTCTTAAGGTGATGTTACACGAGACGATCCGCAACGACGATTTTTAGCGCAACACGACGTTGCACATTGCAGCGACATTGTTTTGAACAGTTACAACATTGTTCTAACATTGCAACGCCGTGTTGCGCTAAAAATCGTCGTTGCGAATCGTCCCATGTAACATCACCTTTGGCCTTGCAGCAACGGCACAGAAATCCGACGTGCGCCATCATGCACGTGCAGTCTGTGCAGAGTAATGTTTTGCTTGTTAAAAACTGTTGCCTTGATTTTTTGACTTTTGACTGATGTTTGTGAACGACTTGTTCCAGTTCTGTGTCGTTGCTGTTCATACTCTACTGGATAGCTTTCCTGGGGCGGATCTAGGGGGAGGGTGCAGGGGGTGCGCACCCCCCCTCCCCCGAGATGACCTGCGGTTTTCTAATACAACTGGTATTCTGCGAAAAAAAAACTATGTGGTTTACTGGTGTTGAAGTAGAGCAAGAGACGAGTGCACCCCCTCCTAAAAAAAAATCCTGGATCCGCCCCTGCTTTCCTTGTAGACACCGAAATCTATCCAGTATAGTGCGTACATAGCCTAAAGGTGATATTTGTTACACGGGGATTTACTCGGGACGATTTGCAACGACGATTTTCAGTGCAACACAGCGTTGCAATGTTGGAACAATGTTACAACCATTCGAAGCAATGTCGCAACAATGCTGTAGTGCTGTTTTGCGCTGAAAATCGTCTTTGCAAATCGTCCCGTGTAACATCACCTTAAGACCTACTTTTTTTTTTCGTTTTAGTAGCAGCAGCAGCAGCAGCAGCAGTAGTAGCAGTAGCAGTAGCAGTAGCAGTAGTAGTAGTAGTTGTAGTGGTATTTTTTTTTTCGTTTTGCGTAAACTACCCAAGAGACCTTTGCATGGATAGGTACCGTCATTGAAAACTAATTGGGCCAAAATCAGTATGATTAGATCGAAGTTTCGAGAGGCATGATCGAATGGTCTTTAATCTCTTATATCACTTGGCTAGTTGACATCAGTTTTTCAACAACAACAATCTTTTATTCCACCTATTAATTCGTTTACAGTTTTATTCAATAAAAAAAAAATTAGGGAGTCGTAGTGAGAAACTTACTAACCATCGGCGAGGTAACATAATGGAAGAACAAAAATGGCGGAGCTCGTAAAAACGTGGCCATCCGCCATAATGCCATGCGCATTAATCCACTTCCTTCATACTTACTTTAATCATCATTTTGGTTCATACCTTATTACATGAAATTTTGGCGACACTTTAATTTAGCGAATTTGGCCATTATTTTTAAAGTTTCAGTACGTATGATTTAATTTAAATGAAGTTGTTGACGTTTATGATTTCATCACAAAACTGTTCTATTGTCGTCGTAAAAATTTTGAATACCTTAATTCGCCAAAGTTTCTCTAAATTTGAGCGTCGCCAAATTTTCATGTAATAAGGTAATAATAATGGTAAAAATAATAATATTTATTAACGAATGTTGCGCAAATATCAATCAAGAATTTCCATCTTCGCATTACACACATTTTTGAACAAACTCTAGTTTTATAGATCTTAAAATAGTGACAAGCTAATAAAATGACATCTACCTAATTATTCTAACAATCCTATTTACAAGTCCTATTTAGTAATGAAAACTTAAAATGCACTTCTAGTGCAAGTCGTAGTTCTACAAATTCTAAAATCAATAACTGGTTATTCTTCAAAATCCTATTTAGAAATTCTATTTAATGATTTATATATACAACAATATTTGCGAGAGCATGTGTACAGCAAATCTGGAATTAAGGCGAGAAAAGTTATCTGACACAACCTGATCACGGGGGCTTTACCCTTGCAAATAGCACAGCGCACGAATGACGTCACCGTGACTAATTTACAATTTTTGTAAAATGACAAAACTAAGACAAACATGACATTTTAGTGACAAAAGACAAACAAAAGTGAGGAATTCGCTTACGCTTTAATTTCTAGTACAAACATTAACCACAAAGGACTGCAAAGGACCGTAAACGAATATGCCGAAGAACGTACGATCGACAAAGACCTGATCAGCAAAACTGATAAGTAGAAATATTAAATTCTGCAAACAGAATACTGCAATGCTGATCGTACTACGTGAAAATTAACTCTGCAAGACATGAACTCGACACCGAAAGAACTCAAGACAGAGCGGGATTGTAGCCATAGACAGCTGTTTCGCCCTTTTTGCGTGGTTCTGTCCATATTTTAGAGGTTGGTTTTGGCCAATCCTTTATTTTCCCTGCGAGACATCAACTTGACACTTGGACCCTTGCCCCCAAGAAGGCACGTGGTATCGCGTGATTCTAGGCTTAAATCAGAGTGCGCGGATATTTTTCATCAGAGCTTTCTCTGGTTGTTACGCCATACTGACGAGCCCCAAAAAGGGCGAAACAGCTGTCTATGGCTACAATCCCGCTCTGTTTTGAGTTCTTTCGGTGTCGTGTTGATGTCTTGCACAGTAAATTTCCACGTAGTACGATCAGCATTGCAGTATTCTGTTTGCAGAATTTAATGTCTACTTTAATTTCTATTTATTTGTCTGTGTTTCAGTTCTATAAACAGTAACTGTGCGCAGCGCTATCGGGAGCGAAGAGACGCTTTCTCCCGCCCTCTCAGAAACGGCAAGGAAAACGCTCGAGGAAAGAGGATGATTCTTACAGGTTGACCTGTTTCTTGACTAGTCCCTGGTTAGCGCTTTCCCAGGGCTTAGTTTCACAACCAGGTATCTCAGTCAAAGCTGCAGACAATTCCTTACTTTTGAAACGAAAAGGCAACTGGAGCCGAAATGCGTCCCGCAAGTGTTTTTGGGAACGTTACAGGGGACGCGCAGGTCAGCTATTGGCCAATTTTTGCCCCTGTCCCTAGTAACAGTCCCAGAAGACTTTGCGAAAGTTCACTCGGCCCAGTTTCCTTCTCGTTTCTAAAGTGGCGAATTCACCGGCAAACGTGTTTATTAACTACTCTCTCACAAGTCTTGCAGTTTACTCGGCAACACCAATGAAACGTGCACGTACAATCGTAGCTCTCAGGGACTTGAAAGGTATTATAGCCGCGCCCACAACACAAAATCCTGCAATTCCCGGGACCTGGGGCGGTCTTGTTACAGCGTCTTCCCGTGGTACCCAACGATCCCGTGATGCTGTTGGGCACGCAATAGTCCGGGGACTCTACCAAGAACCAAAGATCATCTTTTAATAGCTCTTCTGCCTTTGTCCCATCGACCGCAACGAGCTTGTTTTCGCTCTGATGGATTGTTACTCTGACAGCGTTGTAATATTTTCCACGAAGATACGCACCTACCACACCAAACGGTTCTACCATTCTGTAGCACGTCCTATGCGTGCAAGAAGCTGAAATTCCGTGGCATTTGCAGTTCGGTCTCATATGGATCTTCACAGCCTACATAAAGCAAAAAGAAACACAGTCGAACCCTCTTGTGAGCGACCATCCAAAATGCCAAGATTTAGGGGTGGCTTACGGGAGGTAGTCGCGTACGGGAGTCCAACCACAAGGGGTCTCTTCCGAGAAGAGGTCCGGACACATCTTACTTATGGAAGAGAATTCCTTGCATGCAATTCCTTACAGTGTTCAGTTCCATGTTTATATCACCAAAAGTTCTTTGTATGATCTGAGAAGTATAGTACATTTACAGCAAACATAGAGATCAGACCACTCGTCAAGTGGCCTGGTCGCTTACAAGAGTTTAACAACAATGAGAATTGTAAAAATAGTTACTCTAAAAGTGGTGGTGGCAAGTCCCGACCGCTTACGAAAGGTGGTCGCTTTATACGAGAGGCCAAGTTTCAATTGTAGGCTTTGACTAGGAAAATTTTTGGTGTTTTGGATAAGTGGTCTCTTAGGGGAAATCGTCGCTTACGAGAGGTGCTCGCACATGGAGGTGCGACTGTATTTCTTATGAAAATAACTCGGCCAAAAGGATACTAACTAAACAATGTTTCTCTAGAGATATTTTTTTAAAAGCTATATTTCGTGTATCCGTAGAACTCACTGACAAGTTTGGTGCTGGCTTACATTACCACACAACCGGACTGATCATTAGGATGCAGTTCGGCACGCACAAAAAACGAATCGTAAACCCAACCAAAAACACAAAGATGATGAAAGACGGATGAAATATTCTCAAATTGTGTCTGAAAGTTGAAGACGACAAGTAAAACCCTGTGAGGTGGGACAGCTGTCACGTGGCTATTTCTGACCATTGAAATTTGTCGCTTAAAAAGCTCATGACGGGACGCAGGAAAATTCAGTAGGAGTTACTTTGGCTCAATAATTTTGCCTTTTTTCCGTTCCGCGAAAGAAGAAAAGGCAATAAAATTGTGATGTCAGATCCTAATAAACTAAGATTGTTTAAGTCCGTTTCTGTCATTCAAACACATGTTCATATTTTTGCGAACATTCAACCATTATCTGTATGTGATGTCTTTCAAGAAACCGCACTACCCTGGGCCAAGACCCTCGCATCCGTATTCTAGAACAACCCTAGGGTGTTGACAAAAGAGAAAAACTTTCTTGCTTTAAAAATAACTTTAGCAGGAACTTTACAGGGCAGAACTAAGCTCGCTCGTAACATAGGAGAAGTGACCCATGGTACCATCACAAATATCCGACATTCCAATACGACTATTTCTAGCGACAAGAGTTTTGCAACGCATTAAAAACGCTGATTTCATGGTGATTTTATAGTTCGTTAAATCTGTTATGAAAACAATGGAATATAAATGCTATGATAATGGGAAAAAGCAGCTTTCCCACGAAATGAAGCGATTTAATGTAGCCCAACTAATAAGGCCTCAGTTTATTCAAAGTACTTCCTTTGATTACGCTTAGTAAAAAAAGACCTCATGCATTCCCAACAGGGAAAATCTTTTCCTCGGAGAGTTTAATTCTCATATAAAGTTAGTGTTTTTTAATTAAGAGGTAATTTTGTAATGAAGGGACTTCACTAGACCGTGATTTGATTAAGGTTTTTCAATGGAGGCGTCAAGACGACAGTACTTTTATACATAATGTATTATATACAGACATGAAAGTATACCTATAGCTATGATTGTAAACAAGTGAGTACTCAAGGCAAATAGGCTTCTTGGGAAAGCACTTAAGTTAATTAAAAGTGGTTTGGGACCCTGCGTATAAATGATCCCGTCTTATTGAGTGTTATAACTGGCCGGCATTTTGAACTGATTGCAGTGAAGGGAATTGGCCATTTTGTTTTGAAGTTTCTCGTGCATATATCTCAAAAAAAAGAAACATGGCGAGGGCTTGAAAACATGCGGGGGAATTAATAGGGCCACTAAACGATTCTAATTTACATAGATAAAAACTTAACTATTTTTATATGATTCCTTTATTATGTTTGTTTCGAAGACGTTATGATTGAGATTTCAAACCTCTCTGCACAATATACAAAATACGCCACAGAATATTCAGGACTTAATATGGGCAAACGTATTGTGATTTCTTCAGTTTTTAGACCGGGAGGCCCGTTCATACCGAAAAAGTAGTCAAAAATAGGTAGAAAAATAAAATGTTAAGGAAACTCGTTTAGAAGAATCGGGCACAAAGCTTTAAAATTTGAATTTATCGCAGTTAGTCGTTAGCCTGAGGGTGAGATCAAGAGCAGAGAACTTAAGAACTTAAGAACTTAAGTTTCACAGTTTTAAGACAGAAGATTGCGTAAAAAGGTGAAAATTGCGTGAAAATGGTTTACCACGTAGTCTGCAGTGTTACTAATATGTCTTACTGACCACAATCGAACCAAACTATAAGAAATTTTTTGGGACAAGGTGTTTTTTCAAACAAAAGCAAAAAAACAATTAAAGAAACATAAGATGAAAACTTCATAATGATAACTTTATTTACCCTCAGAAGTATTCATAGCAAAGGCTAGTGAGGCCGGGCAATTCAGGGGCAAAAACAAATAGCCTCAAACATTTTAGGCTCAGAAAGACGTGGTTTCTGAAGAATGTATCGGATCATCCGATTCATTCTTCAGAAACCACGTCTTTCTGAGCCTAAAGGCATCTGAGACCCTTCCACAGTTTTTTCCCTGTAACTTTTCATAAAGAGCAGTAAGCGAATAACCATCGACACTGCCTGAAAGAGAACCTTAAAATAAAGGTCACTTACCAAGTTTAAAGGAGATAAGTCCAAAGAGAGCGAAGATATTGGTCCACAAAGTCGCGAAATTTTACAGACGTTTGTGGTGGGGGCATGAACTTGCCCCCCACCATACAAACGTCTCGTAAAATAACGCGCCTTTGTGGAGCTGTATCTTCGTAAGTTTTCAATAAATCACTTTCAAACTTGGCAACTTTGCTGATTTTTAGTCGTTCTTTCCAGCCGTGTTGATGGATTTTCGCTAACTGGTCCCAGCTCAATCTCTCTTGCTCCCAGTCAGTATTAGATGATGTACTCACATGTCGCCCCACAAAGTTGTTGTGAAGGTTAATTTTTGCTCTGGCGTCTTGTTCCTTTTCTCGAGAATCTATAAACTCACTGGCGTATTTCAGACCGTATTCAATGTTGTCATTGCAACCACCCCACTGGAAGCCTCGACCATTTCTTCCTTGATGCCATGTATTATTGCAAACACATTCCCTCAGTAAACCACGAGCACAAGCTTTTGTAATTTCGTGAACAACTCCAGAGGAAGTTATAGCATAGACAAAGGCGGTCTCTCGGGAAGCTAAAAAACGCCACAACATTTCAATGTCAAAACTGAATCAGGGAAAAAACAATGAAACGAGAGCAATTTGTGTGAACACTTAGAGGACATAAAAAACAACGATTTATGGAGAGAGGTTGCCGTAGACGATTCACGGTTTTCTCGCAAGGGCAAGAAAAATGTATTAATAGCAGGAGCCTATGGGCTCTAGTTAATGGAGCAGTGGCGGCGGATCTAGACCTTCAGATAAGGAAGGACCCGGTCATCCAGACCCTAAGATAAGGGGGCTCTTCCCTGGGTAGTTTACTAGTGTAGAACCACTAAAATAAGCATTTCTCAACGTTTTCGCTACACCAAGCCTTGCATGGAGCAAGATAAAAAATGCTGCAAGACAAAATCAAGAAGTTCAAGGGCTATTCAAATAGACAGGGACTTGGCAACTTGTCGCACAAATGCAAGTCCCAGGAGAAATTGCCTTGTCGAACAGGGCATTAACACTGTTGGTAGCTTAAAACTTAAACATTTTTAGCCATTATTAACCCGAGATATATTCTTCTTGTAACATTCTCCTTTAAATTCCGTACAATTTTTTCGTGCTGAACTACGGCAATTAAGTAATTCTTTTACCTTTTAGGAGAACTTTACCGAAAAGGCGGACATCACGAGAAATTGTAGAACAATTCCATAATTCCATCTTGAGCTGTTTCTGGCATTCGGATACACTAAGTTTTGCACCCTTTCCAACACTAATCGCAATATCAGGATATCCTTCACAAAATTGTCTCTGTTCTTTAACTAAGCCAGCCACGCTACACATTACCTTGGCATCAAAGTCGCGCACTTGAGACATAAACCTATTGAAACAAACGTGCAAATTAACTATTGCGCAAACGGTTTCACTTATGAGCTAAATTCTAATAATCATTAAGACGTTTAAACTTACCACCAATGAGAACAAGAAAGTAATGGAAATGATAACAGAAAGACAGCGTAAAAGCAGGTCGAGTTCTGCATGTTCTTTTACACGTTATGTCCTGTGGGTGATTCTTGTACGCAGTTTAAAAAGAATCTCGTTCGCGTCTGAATGATCAAAACTGAACGATCACACGACAATGAGCTTTTCCGATTCAGTGAAAAGCATTCTTGCTCTTTCAGCCATGCCAAGTATCAATTCATGATTGACAATAATGAAATATCATATAAGATACAGTTTACTGAATTCGCATCCGGTTTCTTAACAGCCAATCAAGAAAATGGTCGTCGTCGGCTCTATATAAGCAAACCCCACTTCAGAGGCGGTAGTTTTAAAAGAGTATGTATCAGAGCAAGAGTCACAGTATAACTGATAAGAGTTGGTGTATCAACAAAGGGATATTCGTAAACACTCAAATGTCGGGTCTTGAAATGCATTGACTAGACTTTTCCTGAAAAATGTCTTCTAGCCTCAGGCACTAAGTCTTCTAACTTTTTTGTTAGTTTTTCATCCGCCAGTTAAAGTGCTACTATGATCAAAATTTTGCTTGCCCTTTTCTTTTCAGCTTTCGAAAGTAGAAGTAATAAATACTCAGTTATCTCGCCAAATTTCAATTTCAAAACTAAGGCCCTCAAAAAATATTTTCGGTTTAAAAATAATTAATGATAATACACTGTAATTATTAATGAGAGGAACCCAACTCACCAGGGAGGTTTTCAGTAGGGTCTCTCTATTCTGTGTATACATGCCTGTCCTGCAAGTAAAAAAAATTGAAAGCAGACTTTTCACAAAGGCGATTCCGGAAAAAAGATGTGTGGTGGCGGGGGGGAATTGATTAATCATCTGATTGGTTGTCACATGACCACGTGATTTTGCAGATATTGTTCACAAATTAGGAATTTTAAAAGCTTTGATAACCCGTACTCTCTTTCTTGTTATTTTTTTATTATTTTAACAGCATTGAAGACAATCTTTTGCTTTAAAAACAGCTTTATAGAGAGACATCTGTGAACAGGGAATACGTTAGCACCAGGAGCACAGAAATTGTCGGCGTATTTCTGTAATTATCCATCGTTCTGTTGATACGGCTAGCTTCATTACCGGTCGTAGAATTGACAAAAACAGAAATATATCATGCCCAACTACATTGCTTAGGAAAACTTGTTTGGTATATGTCCCTCTTACTCGCATCCGGCCTTCGACCACACTAGCCTAGTAGATAACCCTCACGAATGTCTATTAAACCAAGAGGTCGCAGATTCAAGAGTGCTAAGGAACTCTATGACAAGTTTATCGCCATTTCCTTTGAAAGCGGGTTCAGAAAGAATCATAGACTTTCTTAGGGCTCAAAAAATTCTGAAAACATTTTGACCGCCATTTCACTTCTCGAGTCATAGGGGGCTATGTGGCGGAGCCTGGGAACTGCTGAAAACTTCCAAACAAACTTCCTGACAGATCGAGATCTTAGACGATTTCTGAGCAAAAATAGGTACCTGCTTGTGCGAAAATACTACCACCCCATTGAGACTCTAACCTCACCTGCTACGCAGGCTAATAAATCACACAACAAGAATTTTGGGGTCTTGGATCTAAATTAGACTTAAGAAAAGAAAGAGCACAGATATTATACGACTAAAAATTTAACCCTGCTTTACTTTAAACTTTTAATACAAGTGACAGCAAAGCTTATGAAACTTTAGATTCGTTCCGAAGCATTCACTGGTACATATTTTTCTTAGGTTTCTCGTGTAGACTTAAATGTAACAAGACGCACGAGTGCGTGAACCCGGCCTTCTTTTAGTTCATAAAATGATAGAGCGCCGGGGGAAAATGTGCACTATGCAGTAATGCACCACAACCCATATGAACTTTGATGAAGAATTGATGAATAATAAATGGAACATACTACCGGATAGCAAATCAGACTGGGAAGACTAGAACGTTCCAAAGGGGTGTACTTGACCATGACTGCATAATGCTTCAAAGTAGTGTTGCAGTAGTTTTCCTTTTCTTTAAATTAGCATGAGTTTCAGTCACAATGTTAGGTGGTAAACTAATATTTTGAGGGAAAAAACTTTGAAATAACACCCTGTATAAAGAGGAAGAGAAAATAATGGTTGGAATAATTATGTAAGGATTTTAAATTTGTTTTGGTTGCTGAAGTGATTATTGTACATGCTAAATTACTACAAAGGAGTAAGATCTTTATTCATATTGTTGTCACTCTGATACAGGTACTTCAAAGACAAACTACAGGCATCTCCATTTCGTTAATTCATCATTGGAAAACTTCGAAAAGTGTTGCTGCACTTATTGTTTGATTTGGGATCAAGTTCATCTTCTCTGAAAAAAAAAGGAAATAAATCAAGGATATGTCAATATTTCATTGCCTTGTTATAGATTCAACAACAAGCAAAGAAGCAACCACAGAAAACCCAAACCTATACTGTGTACCTCGTTGAGGATAATCCCGAAACCAATTTAAGTACAGAATATTATAATCGATTTGTCGATTCTTTAATTGCAAGTTTGAATGTACAGAAGCTGAACACAGCAAAGAGAAAAATTTATAGCATAGATAATTTTGAAATTTCTAATAATGTTGGATCGATCAAAATGGAGTTTTGCAAGATCGAAATTCGATAGTAAGCAATCGCCCATCTTTAAAAGAGCTATAAGCTTTAATACATGTAATCTTTGATTTAATTTAACAATGAGATGTTTGATCAATCAAGACCATGTCGAATTTTAGCATCAAACAACGCTACGTGCTTTACCCACCCGCCGCTTCCTTGCGAGCTTGATACAAGTTAATCCATATATGCCAAAAAAAGTCAAAGAATATTTCTTTCCCTCGATATAGTAAGTTTCCGTTTTTACACGACACATCCGAGAAGCACAAGACTTGGACCAAGCATAAACTTCTGCGATGAACAGTCAGATTTGTTTGTTTTGATGAATGAAAAGTACTGCCACTTTCCTGCAACTAGGTGCAAACTATGCTATATTACTAAATCAGAGCAATTTCTCTACTTTTAAATTTTCTAATGTGTCATACTGCTTCGAGATAAAAGCTATAAAGCATAATTACAGTGACGTGTGTGGACGTGTTTTTGCACAGATCGAACAGTCAAGTCGTCCGTACTAATTAGCACAAAAACGGTCCATACGTTTCAGGGGCACCCAACAAGAATATAGATCAAAACCACTTAAACATAGCATTGTTAAACGTATTTTAGTATTTAAATGGTAGATATAGGTATATTTTTATCCCCTAAAAATTTTTCATCTGTTCGGATTTCCTAGCTGAAAGCCCAAAGTCCAGTGATCCAAAACTTATAGGGATCAAAACTTACCTTTTCGAAAATTTCAGCCAGAAAAAAAGGCTCCCGAAAGTTCTAGGTGACCTTTTTAGGGTAAAAATCCGTTAAAAATGGGCAATTTCACCACTTTGTAGATGTTCGAAAATCTTAGGAGAGGCAGGCAAGCATGAAATTTTACAACAAATGTTCTGAAGATTCTAGATCTCAAACTGCGTCTTCCGAACAGATATTTTCCGAAAATTGACGTTGGGTGCCACTGACGTTTTACAAAACTGCCTCTTCGTTGCACCTCGGTACACGCTTACTCGCCAAAACAAAGCCCAAATGGTGTTTCTTCAACTGCTATATAAATTCTCGTGACTTGCACTAAACATAAAAAGAGAAAATTACCCACCTTTTTAACGCCGATCTCGATTAAACGGATCGTGCCACTGTGTTTGTCTGACAGTTCCGGGATGCATTATTCTCTAGACAACACATATCACTAAACATTTCGACCAACATAATTGTCGATCTCTCATAGAGGCTACAAAACCACAACGTTAACGCTACCGACTGACAAAAGCCTACCCGTGTTCAAGCTTGTTGTACTCGACTTTGTTCAAAGAGATTTTGCCTCTAAGCCAATGAAATTGCCGGAAATCGATCACGTGATAATTCGCCAGCACAGGCATGCGCTTTAAAGAGCAGACGACGAAGGAAAAACCAAGGCCAGGGGCCCGTTTCTCGAAAGTCCCGGTAACTTTTCGGGCCCGAAATCAAATATTCAAATCGAAATATAAAGAATAAGAGCGCGGGTCCTGGCTAGCAAACTACTCCATTTTTTTTCACTAACTGATAGTTTTATCATGCTAGATGCAAAACTACTGAAACCTCGATCTTTAATGTAAACGGAGACAGCTCACCGGGCCCGTTAATTATCGGGACTTTCGAGAAACGGGCCCCTGGGCCCAGTTGTTCGAAGGCCGATTAGCGCTTAACCCGGGGTTAAATTTAACCCAGGTTTCTTTTTCTTGTGTTCAAAAGAATTTTCTCGGATAATTTTCTTTGTTATATTTAGAGCTTTCAAACATCTACTTGTAGACAAAAAGAATTAAAACTGAACTGCTTTTTAAGCTTTCAAATCTGAATTCAAATCTCGCACTAACCGTGGGTTTTCTTAACCTAGCTTTGAACTACTCGACCCAGAACTATACCCGTCTCTTCCTGAAAGGAAGGCCGGGTAATAAACGACCCTAAATGTAATAAAGTCCTAAATGTAATGAAGTTCTAAATGTGATAACTTTTTGGCCTAATTGTAATTAACTCTTAAGCCTGATGACGTTAGGCCTTAAATGTTTTAGCGACATCAGTGACGTGTAACACGTCATTTTAAAGGGGCGGTGTCACGGCTGCCTGCTTCATTACGCTAATTTTTTTAGGCCAAAAACGACAGTTGAAGCTTTCACCTGATGTACAATATGAGACGTAAATTTAGATACTAGGATTTTTATAGGCCTTTGAAGTTGACCTTTATTTCACCTCAACCAAAAAGTTAAGATTGAAAGTTACTTATTTCAGCGGGTTTTTATATTGCCTTAAAAATAACAAAATTACATGAAGTTTACATTTTGCAAAAGACAAAGGGACCTTTTACCAATGTGCAAAATAGCAAACCGAGAATTCAATGCATTGTCGCTTACGAAGTTAGCAAAGTTGCAGAATTTTTCATTGTTTTTCCGGGGGGTCGGGGGCCGCCTTGGTGTAATTTGAACTTTTTCTGGGAAAACCAAAGCGCGATGGAACTTTTTATTTCCATTTTTGAAAAAAGTTCACCAAAAGGGTCTGTTAGTTCGAATAAAATAAATTATGAAATTTTGCAACTGTCGGCGGACTCTCGATATTTACAGTCAGGGTCTCTTAGTAAGGCCTAATTAATGTTATCACTCTTAAGGGTTTATTATATTTAGGGCAAAAAGTTATTACGTTAAGGACTTTATTACATTTAGGGTCGTTTATTACATTTAAGCCTCCTACAACTCGTACCTTCAGAGTCGCGGTGAATTTCGGCAACGTAGATTTCGCTGGCGCTTAAATTTCTTTCACTGTAACGGTGGAGGTATTTGAGGACGCTTTGAGCAATATGAAGAGATGAGCAAATACTCCTCGCGTTCGACTTGAATCTGCCTTTACGGGAAAAATGCCGGCGAATAGTGTCCGATTGCAAATAGCACAGCCCACGAATGACGTCACCGTGACTAATTTACAATCTTTGTCTGACTTTTGTCAATAAAATTACAAAACTAAGATAAACATGACATTTTAATGACAAAAGGCAAACAAAAGTGAGGAATTCGCTTATGCTTTAATTTCTATTTATTTTGTCTGTGTTTCAGTTCTATAAGCAGTAACTGTGCGCAGAGTATTGAGAGCGAAGAGACGCCTTCTCCCGCCCTCTCAGATACGGCAAGGAAAAAGCCTGGGGAAAGAGGATGATTCTTACAGGTTGACCTGTTTCTTGACTAGTCCCTGGTTAGCGCTTTCCCAGGGCTTAGTTTCACAACCAGGCATCTCAGTCAAAGCTGCAGACAATTCCTTACTTTAGAAACGAGAAGGCAACTGGAGCCGAAATGCGTCCCGCAAGTGTTTCTGGGAACGTTACTGGCGACGCGCTGGTCAGCTATAGATCGTTTTCACTGTCACGCAACAAAAAAATAAATTGGAAACCGTCCAGTGGAAGAAGCCAAGAAAATGAAATGTTATAAAAGATTAATTTTTGAACAATTTGTCGAAGTCTCAGGTCTTTGTGGCCCATAGTTTCTGAGTTAGTTGCCGAAATGTTTCACGCACCTTTATAGAGCTTTGTCTGGAGACGCCATATTGGTGAACCGTTTTGGTGCACCAAGTGGCCTCCTGAAATTAACAAAAGCATTTGGAGTTCACTTTTTCTATGAAAGCTCTTTCTTTTCAGTCGAGAACTAGCATACGTGCGCATAAACATATCTTCTAATACTTGAAATGGTTATACTGCTGAAAATCAAGAGGAGAGACTTTTTTTCAACAAGAGAGCATTCCTATTTTGGTGTCACGCACTGTCAAAACTCGTAAGTTCAAATTGCTGTATTTTCGAAATGAAAGGAGCTACGGGAATGGAAACTTGTACAAAGATTTACCTTTTGTTTATCTTCAACCTCGTGTAAATAAGAATTCGTAAAACCTCGCTATTTTGAGTTTACAATTTGATGGCGTCACTGTGAAAACCAGCGATTGGCCAATTTTTGCCCCTGTCCCTAGTAACAGTCCCAGAAGACTTTGCGAAAGTTCACTCGGCCTAGTTTCCTTCTCGTTTCTAAAGTGGCGAATTCACCGGCAAACGTGTTTATTAACTACTCTTTCACAAGTCTTGCAGTTTACTCGGCAACACCAATGAAACGTGCACGTACAATCGTAGCTCTCAGGGACTTGAAAGGTATTGTAGCCGCGCCCACAACACAAAATCCTGCAATTCCCGGGACCTGGGGCGGTCTTGTAACAGCGTCTTCCCGTGGTACCCAACGATCCCGTGATGCTGTTGGGCACGCAATAGTCCGGGGACTCTACCAAGAACCAAAGATCATCTTTTAATAGCTCTTCTGTCTTTTTCCCATCGACCGCAACGAGCTGGTTTTCGCTCTGATGGATTGTTACTCTGACAGCGTTGTAATATTTTGCACGAAGATACGCACCTACCACACCAAACGGCCTTACCATTCTGTAGCACGTCCTATACGTGCACGAATCTGAAATTCCGTGGCACTTGCAGACCGGTCTCATATGGATCTTCACAGCCTACGTAAAGCAAAAAGAAACACAGTCGAACCCTCTTGTAAGCGACCAACCAAAATGCCAAGATTTAGGGTTTGCTTACGGGAGGTGGTCGCGTACGGGCGTCCAACCACAAGGGGTCTCTTCCGGGAATGGGTTCCGACACATCTTACTTGTGGAAGAGAATTCATTGCATGCAATTTCTAAATTATGATACAGTGTTCAGTTCCCTGTTTATATCACCAAAAGTTCTTTGTATGATCTATAAGTATAGTACATATGATCTATAAGTATAGTACATTTACAGCAAACATAGAGATCAGACCACTCGTCAAGTGGCCTGGTCGCTTACAAGAGTTTAACAACAATGAAAATTGTAAAAATAGTTGCTCCAAAAGCGGTGGCGGCAAGTCCCGGCCGCTTACGAAAGGTGGTCGCTTTATACGAGAGGCCAGGTTTCAATTGTAGGCTTTGACTGGGAAAATTTTTGGTGTTTTGGATGAGTGCTCTCTTAGGGGAAATCGTCGCTTACGAGAGGTGCTCGTACATGGAGGTGCGACAGTATTTCTTATGAAAATAACTCGGCCAAAAGGATACTAACTAAACAATGTTTCTCTAGAGATATTTTTTATAGCTATATTTCGTCATGTTCGTGTATCCGTAGAACGCACTGACAAGTCTGGTGCTGTTAACTGCCATTACCACGCAGCCGGACTGGCCATTAGGATGCAGGCACGCACAAAAAACGAATCGTAAATCCACCCAAAAACACAAAGATGATGAAAGAATATATGAAATATTCCAAAATTGTGTCTGAAAGTTGAAGACGACAAGTAGAACCCTGTGAGGTTGGACAGCTGTCACGTGGCTATTTCTGACCAATGAGAGATTTGTCGCCGTTAAAATGCTCATGGCGGACGCGGGAAAATTCAGTTCGAGTTACTTTGGCTCAATAATTTTGCCTTTCTTCCGTTCCGCGAAAGAAGAAAAGGCAATAAAATTGTGATGTCAGATCCTAATAAACTAAGATTGTATAAGTCCGTTTCTGTCATTCAAACCCATGTTCATATTTTTGCCAACATTTAACCATTATCTGTATGTGATGTCTTTCAAGAAACCGCACTACCCTGGGCCATGACCCTCGCATCTATTTTAGAACAACCCGAGGGTGTTGACAAAAGGGAATAACTTTCTTGCTTTAAAAATAACTTTAGCAGAAACTTAACAGGGCAGAACTAAACTCGCACGTAACATAGGAGAAGTGACCCATGGTACCATCACAAATATCCGACGTTCCAATACGGCTATTTTTAGCGACAAGAATTTTGCAACGCATTAAAAACGCTGATTTCATGGTGATTTTATAGTTCATTAAATCTGTTATGAAAACAATGGAATATAAATGCTATGATAATGGGAAAAAGCGGCTTTCCCATGAAATAAAGGGATTTAATGTAGGCCAACTAATAAGGCCTCAGTTTATTCAAAGTACTTCCTTTGATTACGCTCAGTAAAAAAGACCTCTTTCCCAATAGAGAAAATCTTTTCCTCGGAGACTTTAATTCTCATATAAAGTTAGTTTGTTTTAAAACCGTCTTCCTTATACAGTTAAAAGAACTCTAGTGGGAAACCAGTTAAGAAGTAATTTTGTAATGAAGGGACTTCACTAGACCGTGATTTGATTAAGGTTTTTCAATGGAGGCGTCAAGAGGACAGTACTTATATACATAATGTATTATATACAGACATGAAAGTATCCGACCCGCCGTAGCTATGATTGTAAACAAGTGAGTACTCAAAGCAAATAGGCTTCTTGAGAAAGCACTTGAGTTAATTAAAACTGGTTTGGGTCCCTGCGTATAAATGATCACGTCTTATTGAGTGTTATAACTGGCCGGCATTTTGAACTGATTGCAGTGAAGGGAATTGGCCATTTTGTTTTGAAGTTTCTCGTGCATATATCTGAAAAAAAGAAACATGGCGAGGGCTTGAAAACATGTGGGGGAATAAATAGGGCCACTAAACGATTCTAATTTAGATAGATAAGAACTTAACTATTTTTGTATGATTCCTTTATTATGTTTGTTTCGAAGACGTTTTAATTGAGATTTCAAACCTCTCTCAGGACTTAATATGGGCAAACGTATTGTGATTTCTTCAGTTTTTAGGCGGGGAGGCCTGTTCACACCGAAAAAGTAGTCAAAAATAGGTGGAAAAATAAAATGTTAAGGAAACTCGTTTAGAAGAATCGGGCACAAAGCTTTAAAATTTGAATTTATCGCAGTTAGTCGTTAGCCTGAGGGTGTGATCAAGAGCAGAGAACTAAAGACAGAAGGTTGCATAAAAAGGCGAAAATTGCGTGAAAATGGTTTACCACGTACTCAGTGTTACTAATATGTCTTACTGACACAATCGAACCAAACTATCAGAAAGTTTTTGGGACAAGGTGTTTTTCAAACAAAAGCAAACAAACAATTAAAGAAACATAAGATGAAGACTTGACAATGATAACTTTATTTACCCTCAGGGCCCGGTTCCTTGAAAGATGGTTAAGTTTAACCCAGGATTAAGCCAAATTTCAAGCACGATTTTCTCGTCTAAGAACATGCAACTTGAGGTTACAAAATACTGTTGAGCCTTTACTACGAGATATAGTAATAATAACACAAAATGTTACCCTAAGCAATGCATAGGAATGTAAAATACAAAAACGGAACAAAATGTTAATCCTGGATTAACTCTAATCGGCCTTTCAGGAACCGGGCCTAGCAGTATTCATAGCAAAGGCTTGTGAGGCCGGGCAAATCAGGGACAGAAACATCCGAGACCCTTCTACAGTTTCTTTCCTGCGACTTTTCATAAAGCGCAGTAAGCGAATAACCATCGACACTGCCTGAAAGAGAACCTTAAAATAAGGTAACTTACCAAGTTTAAAGGAGATAAGTCCAAAGAGAGCGAGGATATTGGTCCACAAAGTGGCGAAATTTTACAGACGTTTGCATGGTGGGGCCACGAGCTTGCCCCCCACCATACAAACGTCTCGTAAAATAACGCGACTTTGTGGAGCTATACCTTTGTTAGTTTTCAACAAATCGCTTTCAAACTTGTCAATTTTGCTAATTTTAAGGCGTTCTTTCCCGCCGTGTTGACGGATTTTCCCTAACTGGTCCCAGCTCAATCTCTCTTGCTCCCAGTCAAAAATTGAATAAATCGTGGAATGGCTTATTAGATGTTGTACTCACATGTCGTCCCACAAAGTTGTTGTGAAGGTTGATTTTTGCTCTGGCGTCTTGTTCCTTTTCTCGAGAATCTATAAACTCACTGGCGTATTTCAGACCGTATTCAATGTTGTCATTGCAACCACCCCACTGGAAGCCTCGACCATTTCTTCCTTGATGCCGTGTATTATTGCAAACACATTCTCTCAGTAAACCACGGGCACAAGCTTTTGTAATTTCGTGAACAACTCCAGAGGAAGTTATAGCATAGACAAAGGCGGTCTCTCGGGAAGCTAAAAAAAAGCCACAACTTTTCAATGTAAGAACTGAATCAGGAAAAGAAAATGAAACGAGCAATTTGTGCGAACTCTTAGAGGACATAAAAAACAACGATTTATGAAGAGAGGTTGCCTTAGACGATTCACGGTTTTCTCGTAAGGGCAAGAAAACTGTATTAATAGCAGGAGCCTATGGGCTCTAGTTAGTGGAGCTTTGGCAGATGCAGACCTTCAGATAAGGGGGGACCCGGTCATCCGGACCCTAAGATAAGGGGGCTCTTCCCTGGGTAGTGTAGTAGTGTAGAACCACTGAAATAAGCATTTCTCAACGTTTTCGCTACACCAAGCCTTGCATGGAGCAAGATAAAAAATGCTGCAAGACAAAATCAAGAAGTTCAAGGGCTATTCAAATAGACAGGGACTTGGCAAATTGTCGCACAAATGCAAGTCCCACGAGAAATTGCCTTGTCGAACAGGGCATTAACACTTGTGTTACCCTTGGCCCACTTCTGTTTTTGATATATATCAATGACATGCCTAATTGTTTGGAAAAGGCAAATATTAGAACATTTGCTGATGACACCACTCTCTTCTACTCTTCCAATTCTCTACAGGACCTTGAAAAAACTAAATGAGGAATTCAACCATCTTCTTAGCTACTGCTCAGCTAATAAACTTTCTGTAAACTTTAAGAAAACCCCTTATATGACAGTCTCCTCCCCCCAAAAAGCAAATAAACTTAAGCTTAGTTTACACAATATTGAAGAAAAGAACTACATCAAATACCTAGGTATCTACACTGACAAAAATCTAAATTGGGCTCCCCACATTCAGCACATTAACAGCAAAATATCTAAAAACTTGGGAATCCTTTTCAGATTACGCCATTTCTTAACTTTAAACACCCTCAAACAAATATATTACTCACTTATCTACCCATACCTTCATTATGGAATTATGAGTTGGGGAAACACATACCCAAGTAGATCAACTTAAGTTTAAACAAAACAAAATAAATGTATACGCTGCATATTGTTTAGCCATAATAGAGAAAGTAGTGCACCCTACCTCAAACTTCTAGATATACGTAGCATAGATAGCATTTTTAAACTCAAAATCTCCTTGCTAGCTCACAAAATCTCACAAAATGAAGCCAATATCCCTGAAGTGTTTCAAAACTACCTAGTAAAGGTGTCTGATATTCACTCACACAATACCAGATATGCCTCAAATCTTAACTTTCATGTACCACGTGTAAGGTCAAATTACGGCAAACACGCATTTAAGTTTGCCATAACCAAAACTTGGGAAGAGATTCCTACTAAGGTAAAAACACTTAGCTACTACAAGTTCAAAAAAGAATATAAGCGAATTCTAGTTAACTCTCAAAGGTAATAATTGTAATATGACTGTCTCACATAACCTGACTGCTGGCATGATCGTCCGTAGTTGCCATGGCACCAAGTGCACGTTTATTATGTATTTCCAATCATAATATAGCGGTGGTTAGCTCGAAAGCTAAGCTCCTCTGACCACCGTACACTTCTACCCAAGCCATTGATTTTCTTTTTTTTTTCCTTCTTCTTCTACTTTATTAGTGTATTTTTACCCTACTATATATAATGTTAATATTTTATTAAGTGTGAATAATAAAATTGAATTGAATTGAATTGAATTGTTGGTAGCTTAAAACTTAAACATTTTTAACCATCATTAGCACGAGATATATTCTTTTTTTAACATTCCGTACAATTTTTTCACGCTGAACTACCATAACGGCAATTAAGAAATTTCTTTACCTTTTCGCAGAACTTTACCGAAAAGGCTGACATCACGAGAAATTGTAGAACAATTCCATAATTCCATCTTGAGTTGTTTCTTGCATTCGGTTATACCAAGTTTTGCACCCTTTCCAACACTGATCGCAATATCAGGATATCCTTCACAAAACTGTCTCTGTTCCTTAACTAAACCAGACATGCTACACATTACCTTGGCATCAAGGTCGTGTACTTGAGACATACTCCTGTTGAAACAAACGTGCAAATTAACTATTGCCAAAACGGTTTCACTTATGAGCTAAAATTCTAATAATCATTAAGACGTTTAAACTTACCACCAATGAGAATAAGAAAGTATTGGAAACGTTAACTGAAAAACAGCGTAAAAGCAGGTCGAGTTCCGCATCTTCTTTTACACGTATCTGTGCGTGATTCTTGCGCGCAGTTTAAAAAGAATCTCGCGCATGTCTGAATGATAACTGAATGATCAAAACTGAATGATCACGCTACAATGAGCTTTTCCGATTCAGTGAAAAGCATTCTTGCTCTTTCAGCCATGCCAAGTAAGTAACAATTCATGATTGACAATAACGAAACATCATATAAGATACCGTTTACTGAATACGCATCCGGTCTCTTCAACAGCCCATCAAGAAAATGCTCGTCGTCGACTCCATATAAGCAAATCCCACTTCAGAGGCGGTAGTTTTAAAAGAGTACGTATTAGAGCAAGAGAGTATAATTGATAAGAGTTGGTTTATCAGCAAAACCGTTTAAGTGAATTAGTTAAGGGATATTTTTAATTCGTAAACACTCAAATGTCAGGTCTTTTAGCCCCAGGTACTAAGTCTTCTTATCTTTTTTCGTAGAAGTAATAAATACTTATCTCGCCAAATTTCAATTTCAAAACTAACGCCCTCAAAAAATATTTTCGGCTTAAAAATCATAATGATAATAGACTGTAATAATTAATAAGTGGAACCCATCTCCCCAAGGAGGTTTTCAGTGGGGCCTCTATTATGTCTATAAATGCCTGTCCTGCAAGCATAGTTGTTAGAGGAGACTGGTTATGAAAAGCGGCAAACATCAATGATAAGAACAACAGTGCTGCAGTTTATGTTGGAAGTACCGTGAAAGTGCACAATCCTTTGTTTTCTGTTGGCAAATTGTTACGGAATAAATTAATGCAACGTTTTTATTGGTCAATACAATAAAAATGATAGGAATTGTTTTGAACGTTGTGCACTTTCAGGTCCACAAAAACATATAACAAAGGAGTCTGACGGGTTTCATAACCATTCCACTCAATTACCTATGCTGCAAGTAAAAAAAATTGAAAGCAGACTTTTGACAAAGGTTAGCATTAGGTAACATCGGCTGAAGTCAGATTGTTTCTTTCGGTAAAAGTACATGAAGAACAACTTAAGTCCAACTTAAGTGTGTAATATAAAAGTGAAATAGAAAAACTCCACTGTGATGCTTTGAACCCGGGTCACTTGCTTTATAGCCTACATCCATATCTACTACACCATCGAGGACTAGCTGCCAAATCCAGTAATTTTTAAAATATACATGTTCTTATATATGCCGTACCCCATTACAATATTTGAAAGCTAACCGTTTTCAGTTCAGTGCTTAACCCTAATCACTGCAGATCAGTGCTTAACTCTCTACTGTGTTCTCTCCATAACTGGCGCTCTGTAGTTTTGGTTTCTTCAGCTATTTTAGCCTCATTCTACATTCCAGTCTCGTTCCATTATGAAAATAATGCGTTGTGTAAAATTCATAACGTGTCCAATCTGGCTTCACTCGATGTTATCTAATGCTAACCTTTCACAAAGGCGAAAAAAAGGGGGTAAAATCATCTGATTGGTTGTCACATGACCACGTGATTTTGCAGACATTGTTCACAAATTAGGAATTTTAAAAGCTTTGATCAACCAGGACTCGCTTTCTTGTAATTTTTTTATTATTTTAACAGCATTGAAGACAATCCTTTTCTTTAAAAAAAGCCTTATAGAGGGACATCTTTGGGTCTCAATGGGGTGGTGGCATTTACGGTTATCGGCTAAAATTTTGGCTCTTTTACGGCTATCGGTTAATTTTTTTCAGTTACGTTAACTATAAAGTTAAAAATTAATTTCTTTGTTTCAAAGAGTTAAATATTAATAAACCTATATTTTTTTTTTGTATCTTTATAAAAGCAAAATAGATTTCTTACGATCATCTCGGGATGAAATAAGTTATTCTTCTGAAAATTTTTAATATTTCATAAATCATGCTTTTCGAGTATTCCACTTCTAATATCATTTTACGCATAGAAATGTCAACTACGAAAAAGTTTGTCTTCTTTTGCATCTTGGCGTGATTTCCTTTTCTTCAGGGGCTACTGATCCGTTCTTCGCGTCGCTTTGTATTTTCTACCCTCTTCTCTTTTTACTACCACGCTAGGGTCTTCACCCTACTGAAGAACAGATTGTACAACAAACAAAAAAGAACAAGCATACACATTGAGACTCGAACATTTCTGTGACTCTCACATTTACAAGTGTCGGAGCCAAGTTGAGAAGTACGCGGCTTTGAAGATCTTTGCCGCAGTTTTCTCACTCTCTTAAAATGACATGAACTCTTTGTTTAAAATAGAAACAAAAGGTTAAGCTATTGCCAGTCAACTAAAATTTTTGTGAGCCATGAAAAGGACCATTCCTCATAAGAGACATAACAGTTTATTTGAATAGAATCTTCTTGAAAAGTAAAACTAGCAGAAACGGGAACGTAAAGAGTCAAAGTAGCCGCGAAATAAGAAACACAACCGTTCTAAGTGAGTTTAGCACGTTCCTCAAATTATCAAATCTAAGGAGCAAAATTTTTTTACGGTTAACTCTTTTTACCCAATTTACGGCTAACGGTTAAAATGTTTCAATTTTTACGGCTATCGACTAAATTTTGGGTCGTTTTACGCCTATCGGTTAACCCCATTGAGGCCCTCTGAGCAGGAGTTGCACAGAAATTGTCGGCGTTATTTCTGTAATCATCCATCGTTCTGTTGATACCGCTAGTTTCATTACTGGTCGTAAAATTTACAAAAACAGTTATATATCAACTACATTGCATAGGAAAACTTGTTTGGGTCATGTCCCTCGCACTCTCGTCCGACTTTCGACTACAGCCTAGTACATAACCGTCACGAATGTCTATTAAACCAAGAGGTCGCAGATTCAAGAACGCTAAGGAACTCTATAACAAGTTTATCGCCATTTCCTTTGAAAGCGCGTTCAGAAAGAATCATAGACTTTCTTAGGGCTCAAAAATTCTGAAAACATTTTGACCGCCATTTCACTTCGCGAGTCCCAGTAGGGGGCTATGCGGCGGGGCCTGGGAACTGCTAAAAACTTCCAAACAAACTTCCCAAAAGATCGAGATCTCAGACGCTTTCTAGGCAAAAATAGGTAGCTGCCCTGTGCGAAAATACTACCACCCCATTGAGACTCTAACCTCACCAGCTACGCAGGCTAATAAATCACACAACAAGAATTTTTAGGTCTTGGATCTAAATTAGACTTTAGAAAAGAAAGAGCGCAGATATTATACGACTAAAGATTTAACCCTGGTTTACTTTAAACTTTTAATTCAAGTGACAGCAAAGCTTATGAAAATGCTAGTTCGTTCCGAAGCATTCACTGGTGCATATTTTTCTTTGGTTACTCGTGTAGAAGGCCTAAATGTAATAAAGTCCTAAATGTAATAACATTTTGCACTAAATGTAATAAAGCCCTAAATGTGATAACTTTTTGCCCTAAATGTAATTAACTCTTAAGACTGATAACATTAGGTCTCTTAAAAATGTTTTAACGACATCAACGGACGTAAGCAATACGTCATTTTAAAGGGGCGGTGTCACGGCTGCCTGCTTCATTATGCTAATTTTTTGGGCCAAAAACGAGAGTTGAACCTTTTACCTGATGTACAATATGAGAAGTAAATTTAGGTACTAGGATTTTTATAGGCCTTTTAAGTTGACCTTTATTTCACCTCAACCAAAAAGGTAAGATTGAAAGTTAGTTATTTCAGCGGGTTTTTATGTTGCCTTAAACATAACAAAATTACATGAAGCTCATACATTTTGCAAAAGACAAAGGGACCTTTTACCAATGTACAAAATAGCAAATCGAGAATTCAACGCATTGTCGCTTACGAAGTTAGCAAAGTTGCAGAATTTTTTATTGTTTTTCCGGGGGGGTCGGGGGCCGCCTTGGTGTAATTTGAACTTTTGGATTTTTCAGAAAAACCAAAGCGCGATGGAACTTTTTATTTCCATTTTTGAAAATAGTTCACCAAAAGGGTCTTTTAGGTCGAATAAAATAAGTTATGAAATTTTGCAACTGTCGGCGGACTCTCGATATTTACAGTCAGGGCCTCTTAATAAGGCCTAATTAATGTTATCACTCTTAATAGTTTATTACATTTAGGGCAAAAAGTTATTACATTAAGGACTTTATTACATTTAGGGTCGTTTATTACATTTAGGCCTCCTACAACTCGTACCTTCAGAGTCGCGGCGAATTTCGGCAACGTAGATTTCGCTAGCGCTTAAGTTTCTTTCACTGTAACGGTGGAGGTATTTGAGGACGCTTTGAGCAATATGAAGAGATGAGCAAATACTCCTCGCATTCGACTTGAATCTGCCCCTACGGGAAAAATGCCGGCGAAAAGTGTCCGCTTGAATTTTTATTGCATGTGACCCAGATAACGGGATGGGAAAATACTTGTCAATAAAAAGGCTTGCCGGGTTAAATTTAGCGTTGTTAAGCTGAGCAAAATCACTACTAGTAAGTTGCAGTTGTTATTTTTTATTATTGTTGATGGAAAATGCTAGAAGAAAATATCAAGTGGAATATTAACCTCTTCACGCGCTAACTTTCTGATATTTTTGCTTTACCTGGGTAGCCAGCTCTTTACTGAGCTGTTGTTATCTGTGGACAGAATAACAATCTCTCCATGGGCTAACTTATAAATTCTGCTTTATCTGGCTAGCCAGCTCTTTACTGAGCTGTTGTTATCTGCGGACAGAATAACAATCTCTCCATGCGCTAACTTATAAATTCTGTTTTACCTGGGTAGTCAGCTCTTTACTGAGCTGTTGTTATCTTCTTACCTGTGGGCAGAATATTAAAACCCCACCACGCGCTAACTTATATTTTGTTTGTGCTCGACGAAGGAGAACTGTGATCATGCGAGTACTTTTTACCCGCGGGATCACGCTGTCCTGCGGGTACTGTTCTGGATGCCATATGATTTCATGGTTTGTCCGCCTTCTCCTAACGACTGACTGACTAGCTGGGTGGCTCCCGCATTTAGCCTCAATCTCATGCCTTATCTCCATCGGGAACTGGTATCTATTTTGTGCCACGCTCGTTTACTACCGATGAAACATTGACAAGTTTTTGCTTACAGGAGAGGATTGCTTATCGCTTTTTCCTTACAACTGAGCTTCGTTGTCCGTATTTTTTTATAGGAACTTAACAACGTATTCGGCACACTGTACAATTTTGCTTTCATGGATGCGATCCTGTTGTTTACTCAAGGGTTTAGCCAAATATAGTATATGAAATATAAAGGACGCTTTGGTATTTATGAGGCAAAGTGAAAGGGCAATGTATTCCAAAGTGGGAGGGTAAACAATACGGGAAAATAACACTGATCTCAGTTATTGAGATCATATTGAGGAAGGCCAACTTTTGACAATTGACCTCTGCGATCTACTTCTATTTTACGTCTAGAGTTTAGAGTTAGTAGTATAGAGTTTTGATTGTAGTTTGTGGATTAAAACCAGACGTAAAATATCAAGAGAATATGACAACCAGGACATAATATCATACTTATCACTCCTTGTACACCCTTACCTCCTCCTCTCACTCCCCCTCCCCCTCCCCTTCCTCCTTGCCTTACCAATCCTCCCTGCCGAACACACTCCCTTAATTTGCAATTATTACTAGTTTACCTGGATAATCACCTCTTAACTGAGCTGTTGTTTTCTGTGGGCAGAATATATATACACATCCCCACGCGCAAACTCAGCAAGCTTAAGCATTTTTTAAAGATGTATTTAATCAGGAGGCGATTAGTTGTCGGCTCCAGATATTATTCGATATTTCATCCTGGCTTCATGATTGAGGGGAGAAAGAAAGTTAGACCTCTCGTAGACTGCGATCAGTCTCTCTTTTTCTCCAGATTTATAGAGGGGAGTGCAAGCGCACGCGAGCGTCGAGCGGCAAAGCCGCGAGACGCGAGAAACGAGGACGGCTTTTTCCGCACCTCTCCCGCTTAGCGCCTTCAGTCTCGCATGTGTTCATTTTCGTCTCTCGCGCGTTTCGCTCGACGGACTAAGAAAAAAGAGAGACTGCTCTCAGTCTAGACCTCTCGTGGCTAACTGAACTTTTTTTCTTTTGCAGTGAATTCAACTTACGAAGAGGACTATTTGCCTCAACTTTTTTTATCTTTTAAAATAGTGCAGCGTACAGTAATCTCCGTTTATTTATTTATTTATTTATTTATTTATTTTTGAAAAGAAGTGCCACATCACGCAAATAACACTTCTGGAATTACTTTAAAAAAAATATTTTCTCTTTTCAATGTGCCGGAAAATTCCTAACCGCAAATAATATAAGCGACACCTCGCTCGTACTAACTTTCAACTGTAGGTGCGAACTAAGTTCTTATACTACCTATATTACATCTCTGCTACGGTTATTAGCCTAAATTTTTTGTCGACGCCTTAGCTCGTCGTGTTAGCTCAAAGCGCGTAACCCAAACAAATTGATAGGTCGCCCTTTAAATTAAGGCCTAGAGACTACTATTAAGGCCTAAGGACTATGCAGGCATGTTTAGATTACAACCTTGTGTAAAGCTGCGCTCAAATCACCGGCAAACGTGTCTATCAACTATTCTACTGCAGGTGTTGCAGTTTATTCGGCAACACCAATGAAACTTGCATGAACATTCATACTCTTCACGGACTTGAAGGGTATTATAGCCGCGCCCACAGCACAAAATCCTGCAATTCCCAGTTCCCGAGACGGTCTTGTGGCAACGTCTTCCCGTGGTGCCCAGCGATCCGGTGCTGTTGTTGGGCATGCAATAATCCGGGGACTCTTCCAAGAACCAAAGATCTTTTTCCAAGGTCTTTTCTCGATTTTTTCTATCGGCCGCAACGAGCTGGTTTTTGTCCTGATGGACTGTTACTTTGGTAGCGTTGTAATATTTGTCGTGAAGATACCCGCCTACAGCACCAAACGGTCCCAAGGTTTTAAGGCACGTTCTATATGAACACGAACCTGAAAATCCATGACATTTGCAGACCAGCCTCATATGGCTCTTTACAGCCTACAGGAAACAAAAAGCAACGACTAAGGCAAAAACAGACTGACTAAACAAAGTTTCTCTTCAGTAGTTTAATATTGAGGTGGGGGTGCCAGGACAGTCATAAACGTACTCTTTCTGTTTAGCTAAAATTAGCTGTAAATTACATTCACGGCCTCAAAGAGATTTGTGTCTGAAAATTTAAATCGTTTTCAATCAAAGAAATGTGAATGATAAACTTGTTTCTGGCAAATCCTCCAAGCGCTTGTACACAGTTATGTTATGCGCCACGTATAAGTTACTGTACGTCCACACTTATCAACTTTGTGTCCATAATTTAGGTCAAACAAGAAATTTTCTCTTTCGTGGTCTTTGAGTTTTTGATGCTTGTTTGAGAGAGTAAAACGAGAATTTCAGTTTTGCTTTAATACTTTCAAATTAGCTGTTCCACAGAATGTCAGTGAACACACACGTAACGCATAAGGGTATCGAACTACCGTAAAATTCCGAAAATAAGCCCCGAGGCTTATATTTTTTCAAAGGCCCTTTTGGAGGGGCTTATGTACGGAGGGAAATTTGCGTTTCAAAATCGATTGGGCTAGCTTATAGTTGGAAGGAAATTTACACTGAGTTTTTGCTTTGTTTTACTTTGTATTTGAGGGCAATTTCCAAGTAAAAGCCCCCAGGGGACCTATATTCGGAGGGGCGATGTAACGGAGGGTTTTTTGCGTCACGAGTTTGGGGGGCTTATATTTGGAGGGGCTTATTTTCGGAATTTTACGGTATGACTTTACAACGACTGTCACAAAATCAATCCAAGCGGTCCCTTTGGGGATTTTCTGTTTTACGTCATCCTAAACAATAGAAACGTCATTATTACCCCACGATTCCTCGCGGCCCCTGTTCAAGCAAATCGAGCTTTTTTTTGGTATACTAACTGCGTATGTCAACTGTAAGTACTTTCCTTTATACACGCGCAAGCTACTAGGATGCGGGGGCAATGATATCATGATCTCATGGTCTGATATCACGATATCAGGAATGATATCATGATATCGACTTTTGAACGCGATGGCCTGCCATATTATGTCATATAGTTCTACCCAGCGACCATTAAGTATACATTATCAAAGGCAATTTTAAGCGGCGGGCTTTTCCCTTCGAGTGCTCGGTTGTTAGGTAAATTTAAAAACAATGGAATATCACGAGCTCTGCTGAAACGTAAATGATAAAACAATCGAATATCACATGTAAAACAATATTACATTCTTGAAAATCCCTAACAACGGACGACTCTCAACCTAAGTTGTAAAACAGTTTCCTAAGCTGCTGGTTGTTAGGTTTTTTCAGGAATGTGCCTGTTGCCAGGTGCTGTTTGGAATTTAGTTATAATGCAACAACTTTACGCATTTGCGTATTTCATTTGCGTTTGAATCCGAGTTTTGGGTACCTCGCATACATGAAAAACGTTCTGTGATGCCGAGATAAAGCGAGGCGTCACAGAACCCCCTTATCTCATGTGTGTCTTTGGAACGAGAGAGTTCTTGACACAAAAACAACTCAGAAAACATTTTACTCAACTAAATAAATGAAGTCAGCAGTTTTTAAAGATAAAATCGGATGCCATTGAGACAAGTCAACTTAACCCAGTTCTTGCGACAAAAAAAAAAAAACATTACACCGTTCAGACGATGTATACTCACCTGTCGTCCCACAAAGTTGTTGTGAAGGTTAACTTTTGCTCTTACGTCTTGTTCCTTTTCTCTAGAATCTATAAACTTACTGGCGTATTTCAAACCATATTCAATGTTGTCATTACATCCACACCACTCGAATCCTCGACTATCATATGTTCCTTCAGCTAGCTGAGTATTATTGCAAGCACAATTTCTCAGTACACCGCGAGCACAAGCTTTTGTTATTTTGTGAACAACCCCGGAAGAGGTTATGGCATAAATAAAGGCGGTCTCTCGAGATGCTGAAACAAAGGCAGATCATTCCAATGTCAGAACTGAATCAGTAAAAATAACGGAAAGAAAAACAACAATCGCAGGACGTGAAAAAACAACAATATACGGATAAAGGCTGTAACACTGAACAAGTTTTTTTGCAAACTTTTCCTGTGATTTAGTTGAGACACAATTTGCAAGAAAAATTACGACGTATTAAAATTCGAAGAAAAATTCACCAGTCGAACGGGGCCAGCGGTTCCTCTAAACATCGTGAAGTTTAATCCTGGGTTTAACCCAAATTTTATAAGCAAATTTTTTTCGTCTAGGAACATACTGTTGGAGCTTATAAAATATTTTTGAGCCTTTACTCTCGATCTAAGATAAGGTTATGATAACCGACACAGAATGTATGATACTAAAAACAATCTTTTGGAAGGTAAGTTGCGATAACTGGCCTTTCAAGCACCTGGGCCTTAAGGAGCGGGCTAAACACTCATAGAGGTCTTTAGAAATGACTAAGACATTTTTAACCATCGTTTGTTATATAACATGTTATATACCCTCTTGTAATTTTCTCTTTCAAAGTACATACATTATGCTAAACAGTTTATTTGCCAAATTTTCTTTTATCTGGCTTTCCCGCACGCGTGGTTGGATGGTGTTAAGTAATACCTCGTGATAGCTCGCTTTCCGACAGCCCACTATAACTGTTTCTTTTACCTTTTCGCAGAACTTTTCCGAAAACGCTGACATCCCGAGCAACTGTTGAACAATTCCATAACTCTTCCTTTAACTGTTTCTGACATTCTTGCACACCAAGTCTCGCACCTTTCCCGATACTGATCGCAATATCAGGATGTTCTTCGCAAAATCGTTTTTGGTCTTTATCTAAACCAGCTCTGTTACACATAACTTGAACATCAAGATCGTAAACTTGAGACATAAACCTAATACATGCATAACAGAAACAAATTATATATAGTCATCAAGACTTTCCACTTACGTCTTACTTTTAACACTTCTTGCATTATTTTGGAGAACAAATTTCCGGTGGAACTCGTGAGAATTCTTATATTCAGTTAGACGTTTAAACTTACCACCAGTAAGAACATGACAGTCTTGGAAAGGATAACACAAGAACAGCAAAAAAACAGACCGAGTTTCCCATGTTCCCAGTTCGGTGTCTTACGCGCAGTTTACAAAGACTGAGACGTCTCAGTTGAAAGTTTTTCCGCTCAAAACTATTTGATTGCAACACAATGGTGTTTTTTTTTTTTTTTTCTGGAAGAACATTCTCTCACCATTGGCCACTTGTTTACGTAAGTGATCATCATCGTACTTGAAAATGACAACAATGAAACATCATCGTAAGAAGTTTAATTCATATCCGGTAGCCGATCAAAAAAAACGTTTCTTATGCAGTTTATAAAAACAAACCTCACTTCAGAGACGGTAGCTTTAAAAAAAATACATAGAAGAGTTCAGTCTTTCAAGGAAACTGCCGGCCTGCTTAACTTAACTATTTGAGGGATATCCCTAAACACTCAAATGTTTTGCATTGACAGGACGTTTTGTCAGTATAATCAATACATTCAAATGTATTTCGCCTCAGGCCCTTTTGTTGTTTGTAAGTTTTAGAGCCGACGATAAATATCGTTCTTTTATAAACATATTATTATTAGGAAGTCATTAAGTGCTAAAGACTACGCTCTCAAAAATATTTTCGTTTGATATCTCTAATAAAAATTCAGTAGATCGCCGGTAACTCGAACTCTGACGGGAAACGAAAAACAGTTCGAGTTAGTGGGGATTCGAGTTATCGGAATCGATCGAAATTTCAATACGCCACTTTAAGCTACTTTAATAAACGATAGTTACTTATTTTTCAGCACTTCAGTGTCTATAGTGCAGTGCGATTTACTTACTCCATAAAAAACGGTAACATGATTATTAGCCTTAGCGTTTTTACCGATTAAATAACTAGAAGAGCTAATGGGATGGCATCCGAGTGGGGTTACAAGAACCAGAATTCGAGTCATCGGGATAAATTTCGGTGAAATTTTGATCAAGGGAAAGGAAATTTAGTTCGAGTTAGCGGAAGTTCGAGTCAGCGGAAGTTCGAGTTATCGAGTTTCTACTGTAGTACTAACAGTAACAGGAAGCTTAAGCGACGACGACGGCGACGGCAACAAGAACGGCAAAAAAGCAATAGGTTTAGATTAGTAAAACAACAACTTTGCAAGTGCACCACGCTTTTTTTGTACATTTTTTTGCACGACTACAAGGTGAAAGTGCCTAAATTCAAGTTTTGTCGAGGACAGGAACACAAGACGACAACTTTCCTTTTTCTTTTCCTGAACTTTGACACAGTCCTTTAGAATTCAACTCTTAAAACATTTGCCAACATTTGACGAAGTAAACGAGATGGAATACGCGCGATAAAGTTTGAAGCAATGCGAATTCACTTTCTTAAGTGACGTTTTCGTTGCCGTCGCCGCCGTTGTTGCTTAAGCTCCCTATTGCAAAAGTGCCTAATTTCACGTTTCGTCGAGGACGGAAACACAAGACAACAACTTTCTTTTTCTTTTTCTGAACTTTGATACAGTTCTTTAGAATTCAACTCCAAAAAAATTGCCAACATTTGACGAATTAAACGAGATGGAATAAGCGCGAAAAAGTTTTAGGCAGCGTAGCCGTCGCCGTCGGTGTTGCTTAAGGTGGCCAATATTTAATGACTGGAACCCAATTAGCCAACAGGCGGTTTTCAGTGAGGTCTCTCTGTTCTGTGTGTGTGTTTTTTTGTTTTGTTTTGTTTTTGGTTTTGTTTTGTTTTTTTTTTCATCAATATTTATCCAGGGGCATCCAATTAAGCATACTGAGCTAGTTTCAGGGGCACCCTACGACTGTTTTCTCTAAAATATCTGCTCGGAGAAGCAAATATTACGTAAATATTGCCTAGAATTTTCTGTAACTTGAGCACGGCTAAAAATTTCCAGATGGCGGTTCCATTCATGTACAATTTTCAAATATTTTCCAATAAATCCGCTACGATTTTCTGAAGTCTAATTTTTCACATTTTACTCCCCAGGTTGGGCTATTTTTCGTAGTGAAAAGGAAACCTAAAATTTTCGGATTCAAAAACGCGATGTAAAGAGAAATGACGAAAATTCTCACTTTCGAAAAACGTTATATTGCATCTAAAATTTTCGGGAAAGTAATATTAGAGCCCTAACCATTTCGAAAATACTCAAGTTCCCATAAGATGACCGAACAGATACAAATTTTATAGTTCCACAAGGCATGCATTTCAAGAGATCTAAAAGTGCTCTGGATAGCCTTAAAAAGTGTTCTCAATCTATTTAGGAGGAAACCGTCGTTGGGTGCCCCTGTAGTTTAATGGCGGCCCTGACACAACACAAAACCAAAGACACTAAAACTAGAAAATTAATTAAGTTACAAATGCAACATGTACCACAGGCGTTACTGATTAAAAAGGCGCTTTATCTTGATTTTAAATTCGCTGAGCGTCTCTACTTGTTTAATGATTCTCGGTATGGTGTTGTAGGTCCGAGCACCGTTTGCACCGTTTGTGTAAACATATACTCTTGAGGTATATGTTTTGTCATAAATGCCCGGCGTTGTAGGAGTCCATAAAATCGACAGCGGACTCTGAACCCAACAGAAAAGCGAAAAAGAAGGGGAAAGCTTTATCGGCTAACAACATCATGGCGGAGTTGCTCGAATGATACCTGTAATTAGCGCAAATCCAAGGATAGTTACTATGACAACTTATTTGCTCCGTTTACAGTTAACTCGGGATTAGGGTTCACTGAGCTTCGAAATACCCGGCCCTGATCGGTTAACACAAGACCAGGTGGTTTTTAAGCTACGCATGCGCAGTTAATGATCCGGTAAGAAGGGAAGCAACTTATTTTGTTATGGCGCAATACGCTTTCCCTAGAAAGGAATTTTTTCATTTTCACATAGAGAATGCACATTAAACCTACATAAAGGCAGTTTAGAAAATAAAATGTATTTAAACTCCATTTTTAAAGGGTGATTTTTTGTGTTAAAAGATTTCGACCAATCATAAGAGTTAAAAACAACAGCCAAGAAAAGTTTACAATTTTACGTGTTCCTCAGATAGGATTTCTGTGTTACTTAGACTCAGAAGAGATTTTGTTATAAGGAAGTAGTTGGTTAGAAAACAAAGGATTAATATACATGCTCTTTGCGAAGATTTCGTAAAGTCTGATGTTTAAACCCATCACAAACGTTGTATAGCACCTTTTTGCATGCCGAAGTGTTCTTTGCGTGTTGTTCTTTCCTTCTTATCTGGACCATAACTTAAAAAGTTTTGATACTTGTGCTTTTATGTGCGCCTGTGCTTATGTTTGTGTCTAGGCCCTTTTGAGGGCGAAATGAGGACTTTTATGCTTGCGCTTATGCCTGGGTAGCCAGTGAGAACCAGTTATTAACAGGGAATGGATGAGCTGACTGGAGTAGCCTGACGTAGGTTAAGGGTACTGTGGGGGCGTAACTACCTGTACGCAAAGACGCATTTGCGTATTTGAAAAAAAAGAATTTGAAGAATAATAAAAACAAAGACAAAGCAAAGGAAATAAAAAGCGGTTACCTCGTGATGCGCATAAAATGATTTGAGAGGCGGGTTAGGATGGATTTGAAAAACTCTGCGTACCTCTGCAAAGTTTCTAGCTAAGCCCCTCAATAGATCTGCGATTTTCTTCAAAACCTTCGTCAGTTATCGTTTAGTTTCTTTAAATTAGGTGCTTTTACACTTATTTTCAGAAGCGTGCCAGTCAAAGAGTGTGTCGTTAAAATGGAATATTGCCTTGAGGTATACAAGTGCCTAGGATCATTCTTGAGCGGTCCGAGCTCGCCTGCTCAAATTCCAGTTCACTTTGAAGCCTCGCTGCTGTTTTTTTAACGTCGGAATGCAACCAAACAGTTGAGATATTGAAAGTTTTGTCTAATCTGAATCAACTGTTTTCTTCAACAATTTTTTCGTCTCCAATTTTTCTTGAATAGCTGAGGATGGGTGCGGACGTCAATGGGTAACCACATAAAGCCATGGAGGTTATGCCATTTTTACCCAAAATGATGCGGAAATAAGCTCTGTTATTATGCAGATAGTTCAGATTGTTTGGATACACCAACATGGAAACCCTGACGTCATATGCATAAGCGCCATTTGAAGACGCATAGAACAGAACAGAGCACTTTATTTAAACTCGAGATTTACTGAACGTTTTACAGTTCGTCGAACAGCTCATTTTCGGTATGACGGGAAAAAAATACAATATGTAAACTAAGTGTGACAGGGTCACTAGACCTATAATTTCACTACTCTCAGTTATATCAAGAAATGCATTACTTTTTTTATATTTTGCTTCTAATAGTTTTGCGCTTAGGAATTTTCCGGTTTGATTTAGCAAGCTTGTGCATCGCTTAGGAATGATTTTGCGTGTGCCTTGTCTAAATGCTGTAGTGGATATTAGCTTTTTGTGGTTTTTCTTTTCGGTGGATTGTTTTAATCAGTTAACTGACCTTATCTTTTTAAGATTAGTGGGATTGTGAAAGGTTTGAACCTAGGAGTCATTTCAAAAGTAGGTTGAGTTTGATCGTCCGGGTGAAAGTAGTCCTAAATAGGACTGTTGTTGTTGACAGTGACTGACGTTTCGACAACCTGTGCGGTAGTCATCTTCAGAGTCAAGGTTAGTTGTATCACGTCCGTTGATGGTATTATACTCCGGTTATTGATCTGATTGGTCAATTACGTCACGATGTTATTGGTCGTCTGTCAGTTAAGCCGTGATGTTATTAGCTATGAACACTCGTAATCAGTAATTGGTGCGTTTCCATCCGTCTATTCTCACAGTTAAACAGTTCTCTATTGTTAGTCAAATTGTCAGTTCTCCAGTCGTTCTCTCGTAGTAAGTTTTGCTTGATCTTGTCAATAAGTCGTTTGTACGGCGCCGGTAACTGTTGGCTACGATTCAGTGGCGTTTGTTCTAAGTTTAATAGTAAACCAGCTTTCTAATGTCCCAGTCAATTTCATGTTTCGTCTGTCAATGGTGCTCAGCAATGTGATTGTTGACGTCACCATTGCTGTATTGCTGATGAATTTGAGTTTCTAATAAATTGCTGTGGAAAATCCTTGAATCCTTCTCGTTCCTGCCGCTGACCGCCCCGTCCTGTAAGACAAACTTTTCTAAGACGCTAAGCAACAACATTAAAAATTCATATCATCATAAATATTAAAATGTAAAAATTCAGTATACTAAACAAGCTAAAATCGGTTATTCACTAAAATTTGTTTGATAAATGTTGGTTGCTGACCTTACTTTGTCTGTTAAACTGAACAGATGACCTCGTGGTATCTATTTTCCTCTGCTTAAGGCAACATTAACCCTTTAAGCCCTAAGAAAGATCAGCATGAAATTTCAAATTTTAGAAAGCAGAGTGGTTATGAGAATTGAAAATTGAGTACATGATCAGGACAGATGAGTCTAATTAATATTTTAACAAATTCTCCCCACTACTTCTATCAAAAAAGTATAGGGACAGTAAATGAGAATTTTAATTTTTATATTAGGAATTATAGGGTTAAAGAGAAGTAAGGGTATTGAAAAATACCTTAACAGAGGCTGTTGATAACAAAGGAAAAATCCAGGGTTAATGGTAGGAGTTGTTTAGTCCTAGATCAGGCGTTAGAACGTGGTGACGTTTGTCTCGCGCTTTTTTTCTTCCTTTTTTCATTCTTCCCAAATTATAGCCTACTTTGACAACTGACCAGGACCACGAAAAAAGCAATCATTTGCCAAAGTCGCGGCTCAATTCGCCATTCCAGAAAAAAAAAAAACGGAATTTTAGAATAACTGAGCGATTTCTCCCGCGCTGATTGGTCTGATAAGAGAACAGATCATAGAAATGACGTGATGGTGGCGCAATTTGTTTTTCTCTTTCTTGTGCGCGCGATTTTCCGAGAAACTTCAACGGAAATGGACGTCAAAAACCGTCAATGTTATTATAAAAAATCGACAACAATTTTTCAATGGTCTATACTTTGCCGCTTGTTGTTTCACTTGAGTTTTGAACATTTTGAAGTCATTTCTATGATCGATAAGAGTACAAACCTTGGAGAAGTATTGTCGATTTGTTAAGTTGCATGTAAGCGAGGCTTAATAGACCTTGGACAAAGCAAAAAAGCGATAGCAGATATTAAAGAAAATAAACCTATTGGTCCTAAATAACGTACACGTGCATACTGTAATAACCGAAGTAGAAGTTGTAAATGAAAGTTCAGCTCTATTTTCAGTCCGTTCGTGACCATTGTTTGTCGTTGACAACGACAACGAAGACGGCAACAAAAAGGTCACTAGTATGGTGAATTTACGTTCTTTCAAAACTTCGTCGTTATTTGAGACCTCACCTATGTCCAGAATGAGAGCCGAGGAGGAAGTCGACGAGTGTTCAAATCCTCCACAAAACGTTAGGTTAGAGAATTTCACACAGGTGGGGGATCGTGGGGGCTTCAGACCCCCCTTACACGTACCCATCAGACCAGGAAAGGTTTCATGATTGGCTATTTTGATGTTGCACGTGACTGAGGGGGGGTGATGTGTCTGCGGGATTGTTTTGGTGGACCAACTTTGACCCAGTTTTCTGTGCAACCTCGCAGTCGAAGCGATAGTGTCCCCTAAACAGTCTCGAAATGGCCAATTGCTAGCATTTTAGGTTCTACTTAATTAAAATTTAATACTAGGAAATAACGTCTAACGGCCATGTCGGATAAAAATTATTTATTGTAGAATAGTTTTAACGGTGCGCGGGTTTGGACCTCTCCAGCGATAATGCAGAGGCTACGCCGGGGTTCGAATCCCATTGAAGGCCTTAAAAGACGTTTAATTATCATTTTCTATAGGCCTGAAAAGATTTTTAGCTTAGTGTGCAATTACCTAATTGCGATTAGAATTCTCCTGATAATATCTTCATTTAAATTTATTTTTCTATGATTACCAGTCACGTGTGTGTCCACTTTTTTCCAGAATATTTAATGGTTAAGGCTGAAAGACACGATTTACGCTTTAATATACGTCTTATGTTTAAGTAGCTTGCGTGGCAGGCGCCGGTTAGTTTCTTTGGTTAGGTTAGCTTTTGCAAAACGCGCGAGGGGAACACGCGAGGGGGAGAGGAGGCACTTCTCCATTTTTCTCTTCTCGTGCGCGCGCGCATCCTCAATATTTATCATTCGCCCTAAAAAACTGACGCCTGCTATGCGGGCTAATGTTTGAATGGCGTACATTATTTTCTACCTGAGCTGTCAAGGGCGGTTGGAAGTGATCAACATTTGTCATGAGCGCGCAAGTTTAGTCTCAGGGGAATCCACACAATTTTTTTGTGCACTGATTGTAATATGGCATTTGCACATTTGCACGATGGCGTCACTTTACTACTTCGACCAGTATCCTCTCCATTTTTCCTGTCATATTTAAATTTGGCAATCCCAAGGAGGTTTAAATAACGATAACCCCAATCTTGAAGGATTCTGGTATTAGTAGTAAAATGACGTCATCATGCAAATGGCCTATTTTATAATTAATGTACTGTATTTACCGTTTGCTTCATTTTTATCGATATATCGCTTAATATGTGCATGGATCAATGATAAACGTTGTATTACCTTACCTACGGTAAATTGTCGTCCTTTTTCAAAATCCATCAAAATCGTTCAAAACTACCATTTCTGAGGCAAAAGGGAGAACACTTACTATGCAGTTACAAAAGGATTGTGGTAAGCATGGTACTGCACATTGGGTAAATACGGTTCACACGGTATAGCAAGAGGATTTTAGGTAAGCATGATACTAGATGAGAATTGGAGATAACAATACGGTATTGCAAGATGATTTTGAGCAGGCATGATACTGAAAGAGGATTGTAGGTCTGGGGAGGAGTACTCCCTTATATGGCCTATACGGGGATGTGCCACTGGGCAGGGTATGTTTTAATTTTTAGCTCTCTATCCTAAACAGTGTAATATATAATTTCGTTGGAGTCTGTCCTAATTATAAACAGGGTATTACTTGCAAGATTGATTTGATTTGCTAGATGAAATTTGTTTGTATCCCAAGTATACAAAAGCAATTATGTAAATTTGCTTTATCGCAATTGCCAAAACAAGGCGGCATGCCTTGTGTCCTTTGTCCTAAACAGGGTAATAAAATGGAGGGTGTTGTCCTAAACAGAGTATGTATTCTAAGAATTTTTTGTCCTAAACAGGGCCAGGGTTTGAAACCCTCAGCGGCTCACCTATACCCAAATATTGGTCAAGTAACACCTCCGAATCTAAAGGTTAGAATATAAAGGTCTCTAGTTTCACAGCCATTCATCTCAGTCAAAGCTGCAGGCTTCATGATATTCACCGGCAAACGTGTTCGTCAACTACTCTCCCACAAATCTCGCAGTTTACCCGGCAGCACCAATAAAACTTGCAGGTACAATCGTACTTCTCAGGGACTTGAAAGCTGTTATAGCCACGCCCACAACACAAATTCCTGCAATTTCCGGGGCCTGGGGCGGTCTTGTAACAACGTCTTCCCGTGGTACCCAGAGATCCCGTGCTGTTGTTGGGAACGCAATAATCCGGGGACTCTTCCAAGAACCAAAGATCATCTTCTAAGAGCTCTTCTGTAGTTTTCCCATCGACCGTAACGAGCTGGTTTTTGCTCTGATGGACTGTTACTTTGGCAGCGTTGTAATATTTTTCACGAAGATACACGCCTACCTCACCAAACGGTGGAACCCTTTTGTAGCACGTCTTATACAGGCAAGAAGCTGAATGTCCATGACATTTGCAGACCGGCCTCATGTGGATCTTAACAGCCTACATAAAACAAAAAGAAATAAAGTCGAACTTCCCGCACGTAATCGACCTCCCAAATGCCAAGATTTAGTGGTCACTAAATGGGAGGTGGTTAGTGTCCAGACACGAGGGGTCTTGCCGAGTGGCCTGTTCACAGACCTTCTATTTCCTCAACACACGAGGGATTTATTGACCACAGGTGAAAGGGATGGGGGTGTGTTCTGTCGTAATTTGTAATAATTTTGTCGTAATTTGTAAAACCTGTAGCAATTTGTAAGGACTTTGTCGTAATTTGTAAAAAAAAAAAAAGCTGTCATAATTTGTAACAAGCAAACCTCTCATAATTTGCGAGCAGTGTACCTTAGTTTTTCTTTCAAAATTTAACAGGTTGTTCCTAAAAAAGAGCTGAAATCATTGTGTCCTTTCATATCAACCTTGTACTGTCCCCTTGACGATCAAAAACCACTCTCGAAACAAGTCCCTTAAGTGTAAAGAATGCTTATTATTACAAACCAAGACAAAGATATTACAAATTGCGTCAGCTTTTCTTATTAATTACTAATTACTAATTAGGGAAAGTTCATTTAATATGACAAGGGGGGGGATGAAGATATTGAAACTCGAAGCTTGAAATTTTAGCAGCCCCCCTCGCTAGCGATTCAATTTTTTAGGAGCCCCCTCCTTGGTAGTCGAAAAAATTTCAGAGCCCCCCCCCCCCTCCTCCTTCAATTCCTTTGCTCCCCTCAAAAAAAGATCGCTAGACTGTATTAAATATATTTACCGTTATTGTCTTCAATGGTTTATACTATGACAAACTTGAGATACAGTTGTGATACAATTTTCTAAAGCATTTTTGGGATGAACAAGAGTGTAATAATTACTGAGACTACATTTGTTATATCTGTAAACCACGTGATATAGCTGAGTTGCACTGGTCAGTAAATTGTTGAGTTGAAAACCATCCGATCTGTATGATGATGTCATGTGTTGGTTTTGAAGTATACAAATTTTCGGAGCCCCCACTCCTAGCGCAACAATTTTTTCAGAGCCCCCCCTTCGGGTGTCTAAAAATTTTCGGAGCCCCCCCTCAATATCTTCATCCCCCCCTTGTCATATTAAATGAACTTTCCCTTAGAACAAAGTTCTTACAATTTTGCAATATGTGTTACAAAACACGACAAAATTAGTACAAATTACTACAGAACAGGGTGGAAGAGAAAATAGACATTCCTTTCCGTTTTTTTTTTTTTTTTTCTCTCGCGCTGTCGAATAATTTGTCGAAAAAAAGGAAAGCCTTCTGTGTACAGGCTACTTCGGAGAAAAGGTTCCGATGCACCTCACTTATGGAAGAGAATTTGTTGCGTGCAATTTTCTACTTAAAATGCTGTGTGCAGTTCCTTGTTTATATCAACGAAAGTTCTTTGTATGGTCTGAGTAGCATAGTACATACAGAGAACATAAAGATCAGACCACGCGCCAAACGGCCTGGTCGCTTCAGTACAATCAAACATGTGTTCATATTTTTTCGAAGATTCAACCGTTATCTGTATTTATTGTGGGATGTCCAAAAAAACCGAATTGTCTTTCAAGAAACACTGCTTCGCTGTTCCATGACTCTCGCCTCCCATATATCCTCCCGAAAATCATTCTAGAACAGCCTTAGGGTGTTTACAAATTAAAAACGGAACACGTTTCTTGCTTCAAAAATAACTGTACTACGAACCACAGTGCCAGAACTTAAGTCGCTCGTATTAGAGAAGTGACCCATGGTAACATCGCCAATATTCGACATTCCAATACGGCTATTTTTAGCGACAAGCCTGAGTTAAATTTGCAACAAAGTAAAATCACGTTTTCCATATTTGGACTTCTGGTGATTTTATAGTTCGTTAATTCTGTTATGAAAACAATGAAATATAAGTGCCATGATAATGGGAAAAAGCGGCTTTCCCACGCAATAAAGTGAATTAATGTAGCCTAATAGCTATAGGCCTCAGTCTATTCAAAGTACATGTTCTTATCACGCTCAACAAAGACCTCGTTCCCAATCAAAAGGGAACTGAGATCTTTTCCTCGGAGTATTTAAAAAGCTTATCTTATATTAAAGTTTTGTTTCTAAACCCTCCTGCGTATTGGGAAACCTGCTAAGAGGTAATTGTAATGTCGGGACCTCACTGGACCGTGATTTGATTAAGTTTTCAATAGAAGCGTCAACAGGACAGTACTTTTGTATATTGTATAATATACAGATATTTATTTACTATCCTTCAATACCTATAGCTATGATTGTAAACTGAGTGTGTACTTAAGGAAAATAAACTACTTAAGAAAGCATATATAGCTATGATTGTAAACTGAGTGTCTACTTAAGGAGAAATGAGCTTCTTAAGAAAGCATATATAGCTATGATTGTAAACTGAGTGTCTACTTAAGGAGAAATAAGCTTCTTAAGAAAGCATATATAGCTATGATTGTAAACTGAGTGTCTACTTAAGGAGAAATAAGCTTCTTAAGAAAGCATATATAGCTATGATTGTAAACTGAGTGTGTACTTAAGGCAAATAAGTTTCTTAACAAAGTAGTATATAGCTATGATTGTTAACTGACGGTACACTTAAGGCAAATAATATTCTTGGGAAAGCGCTTGAGTTAATTAAAAGTGGTTTGGGACCCCACGCATTACCCTGCAAGCAGAGGTTTCCCTCAGTTACATGGCTATTCAGTTAATGTTTACGAAGTCGTTCGCGTCTCTTGTTAGCCACATACGCGACAGACAAGCGACGCAAGAACGACTTCGTAAACGCGCTAAAAGCCATGCAAGGGAGAATCTCTGCTGGCGGGGTACAGGCTACCCACGTATAAATGAACACGTCTTATTGTATGTTTTAGTAACTGGTGAGGTGAAGAGAATTGGCCACTTCGGTTTCAAGTTTTTCAGTCATGCATGTGACTGTGGAAAAATAGATGCCGAGGGCTTGAAGACATGCAGAAAAATTGAAAAGTACCACAAAAAGATACTCGTTCAGATAGTAGATAAGCATTTAACTATTGAAGAAGTTATAATTGAAAGGACTTCAAACCAACGTCTTGATCTGCTCAATATACGAAATACGTCACAGACTACTGATTCAGGAGGAAATATTGGGGCAAGTTATTCGCGTCTCAAAAAAGAGGTGGAAAATAAATATTAAGGCACTCGTTTAGAAAAATCGAGCACAGACAGACTGTTTAAAATGTGAATTCATCGCAGTAAAGTTACCCTAGGGCTGTGACCAGGGACAGAAAACTACGAAAAAAAGGTAAAAATGGCGTAAAAATGGTTTGCCACGTTTTCAGCGTCGCTAATATGTCTTACTGATCACTATCGATTCAAACGAACACAAAGTTTTGGGGACAAGGTTGTTTTTGACAGAAAATCAAACAAACAATTAGACCAACATAATAATGAAAACGCAATAATAAATCTTTATTTACCCTCGACAGTATTCATAGCACAAAGGCCAGTATAGTGTGGGCCGGGCAAATCAGGAGCAAAAACAAACAACTTCCAATATTTGGGCTCAGAATGACGTGGTTTCTGAAGAATGAATCTGATGCTCTGATAGACACCCTTCCACGGTTTTTTTCCCAACTTTTGCTGTATACAGATCACTAAGCGAATAACCATCGACACTACTGGAAAAAGAACCTAAAAATAGGGTGCCTTGCTAGGTTTAAAGGCGATACGTTTAAAACAAGCGAAGATATTTCTCCAAAAATGCGCGAAATTTTACAAACGTTTCATGGTTCTTGCCTCCACCATACAAAATGTCTGTAAAATTTCGCGCCTTTGCAGAGCTGTATCTTCGTAAGTTTTTAATAAATCACTTTCAAACTTGGCAACTTTGCTGATTTTTAGTTGTTCTTTCCAGCCGTGTTGACGGATTTTCGCTAACTTGTCCCAGCTCATTCTCTCTCGGTCCCAGTCAAAAGTTGAAGAAACCCTGGAATGGTGTATTAGATGATGTACTCACATGTCTTCCAACAAAGTTGTTGTGGAGGTTAATTTTTGCTCTTACGTCTTGTTCCTTTTCTCGAGAATCTATAAACTCACTGGCGTATTTCAGACCGTGTTCAATGCTGTCGTTGCAACCACCCCACTGGAAGCCTCGACCATTTCTTCCTTGATGCTGTGTATTATTGCAAACACATTCTCTCAGTAAACCACGAGAACAAGCTTTTGTAACCTCGTGAACAACTCCAGCGGAAGTTATAGCATAGACAAAGGCGGTCTCTCGGGAAGCTAAAAAAAGCCACAACATTTCAATGTCAAAACTGAATCAGGAAAACCTAATGAATGGGAAAGTTTGCACGAACACTCAGCGAAAGTGAAAAACGTCAATTTGGGGACAGAGGCTTATGCATTAGACGACTCTCACGGTTTTCTCGCAAATTGTCTCATGATTTTATTTGCGACGCATAGAGTTGTAGTAAGAACTCATGGCCTCCTTTTAATAGGTAAGTATAAATGCAGACTAATGTAAAACCTCCGAAAAAAAAGCGCTTCTCGACGTTTCCGTCTTACCAAGCCTTGCACGGAGCAAAATAAAGAATGTTGCAAGATAAAGTCAGGAATTTCAAGGGCTGTTACAATAGGCAGAGTCTTAGTAACTTGTTGTACAATGATGCGATCTGATAATTAGCGAGAGAAATAACCTTGTCGAACAGAGCATTAACAATTGTGCTGGTAGCTTATAACTTAAACGTTTTTAACCATTATGTGGTATATATTCTTCTTTTAACTTTCTCCTAAAAATTCCGTACGTTGTTTTCATGCTGAACCATGGTAATTAAGACATTCCTTTACCTTTTCGCAGAACTTTACCGAAAAGGCTGACATCACGAGTGTTTGTAGAACAATTCCATAATTCCTCCTTGAGTTGTTTCTTACATTCTGTTATACTAAGTTTCGCACCCTTTCCAATGCTGATCGCAATATCAGGATTTTCTTCACAAAATTGTCGTTGTTCTTTAACTAAATCAGCGCTGTTGCACCTAACCTTGGAATCAAGGTCGTACACTTGAGACATAAACCTAGTGAAACAAACGCGAGCAATGATCGATGAATATATGAATTTATATCAAATAGACCTTGTCACGGTTTTCGACGCCATCTCGACGAGTAGGCAAACGCGTGAGAAATTACAGTGTTTGTATGAGAATCTAATGTCGAATAATTTCCGTAAAACGGCTGTTCTGAACAAAATATCAATTCGCAGAAGGTTTCACTTTTGACTGAGCTCGAATTCTAAATCAATTAGACGTTTAAACTTACCACCAATCAGAGGACGAAAGTATTGGAAAAGTTAGCAGAAAAGCAGCGAAAAAGCAGGTCGGGTTCCGCCCCATGTTCTCTACAAGTACGACTGTGTTGATCGTGATTCTTGTACGCAGTAATCAAAAAGAGATGCGAGTGTCTGATTTATAATTTGTTCCACTCAAACCTGTCTCATCACGGTACAATGAGCAGTTTTCGATTCAGTAAAGAACATTCTTGCTCTCTCGGCCATACTATCTAAGTAACAATTGCTGAATGACAACGACAATGAAACATCCTATAATAAGATATGGTTATTTACTGAATTCGTATCCGGTCTCCATAATAGCTCATCAAGACTGAAAACTCCCATCGTCGACTCTTTGTAAGCAAACTCCACTTCAGAGCCGGTGGTTTTAAAAGTATTAAAGCAAGAGAGAAAAATTGATAAGAGCTACTATTTTAATAAAATCGTAAACCGTAACAAAATCGTAAAACCCTTTTCTCCTAACCATTTCACTACATCATAAAGAGAGAAGGTTAGGAGAATCAATAAAATGATCATCAAAGGAAAATGTTTTGATCGTCTAGCAAATTCTCCCAGCTAATTCCTCAAGGTAATGTATGGGGAACAGTCTTGAGAAATTGTATGCTCACTGATTGGTGCCTTAAGGTTAAGTGAATTAGTAAGGAATATCGGTAAACACACAAATATCGTCTCTTGAATTGCATTGGCAAATTGACTTTCCGGCTGCAAATGTCTTTTAGCCTCAGGCATAAAGTCTTCTTATCTTTTGTTAGTTAACCATCCGACACTTAACGTTTCCTTTTATAAAACTAACGCCTTAAAATATTTTCTTCATAAAAACAATGACAATAATAGAAATAATAACATTTCATGACTAGAGCCAAACTCGCCAAGGTGGTTTTCAGTCGAGGCCTCTCTATTCCGTTTATATATGAATGTCTAAAAGTACGTAAAATTAGAAAACAAGCTTTGCCACAAAAGCAATGTCAAAACGAAAGGGAAAAATCACTGAAACATCTGATTGGTTAACAGTTGACCACGTGACTTTATCACGACGCATGCGCAGACAGGTTTGCAAATAAAGAAAAAAATTGATTCTTGTGCTTGAATTTACGAGTGTGCTTATATTTATCACTAGACCGTTTTGTTTTTTGTGCTGAAATGAAGAATCCTTATGCTTGCGTAGCTGGTGAGAAGCAGTTAACGTTTTCAATGAATAGGGTGGACTGGATGACAAAAGGAGCAACTGTCTTAAGTTAATGACGGTTAACGGAATGAATATTAAGCAAACACTTTTAAAAGACATCTCGGCTCTCAGGGTTAGGTTTTCATTGGCAATATGATAACAGTTTACATATTACTCATGTCCGACCGCTCACTAATACTTTTGGTATGAAAAAGCTTCATTTGAAAGTGTCCATTTTCCGTATTACCGGTGTCATTATAAGCATGTGTAAGAGAAAATATTTCGAGGTTTCCATCGCCAGGAACAAAGAAAACTGTCTGTCATAAATTCGGGGTGTGTGCATTAAGCAGGTGCCCGAAAAGTGCTAAACCAGTTTCCTAACAAATTGCCGATATGCATTCGATCAGATAACATGATAACCAGTTCAGAGCTAATTGGTTTTCCATAGTATTCTGAACTTGAATGGCAGTTAGACGTCTTTCTCTCGATTTGCGCGCAAAGGAAGGCCGGAAGGAGAAGGCTTTGCCTCTCATTTTTATATTTCCCATAGTCCCTGGAGCCTCGTCACCAGTCACTCAAGTGTCACTCGCGTTTCGCGCTCGCCTCTGTGTGAAAAACGAAGTGCCTGAGGAGGAGGCTGATTATGAGTATATACCGTCCGATGCGTTCCATCCTCGGAGACCCAGAGGCAGATAGTGGGGGTGAGGGAAAGTCTAAACGGGCGGAAAAATATGGCACGAAGAAAAGTAAAGAACGGCGAGAAGAGCCCCTGCGGACAATGTCTTAACAGACCAGTTCCAAACGGTCGCCGCCGTTCTGCCTTCTGATTGGTGCCAGAAAACTTTTGTGTTTTTCTGCCCAATCAGAAGGCAGAACGGCGGCGACCGTTTGGAACTGGTCTGGTAAGACATTGTACCCACGGGCTCTCTCGCCGTTCTTTACTTTTCTTCGTGCCATACTTTTCCGCCCGTTTAGACTTTCTCTCGCCCCCACTATCTGCCCCTGGGTCTCCAAGGATGGATGCGTTCAGGCGTCTAAGAAAAAGCAGAGAGGCTTAAGCGCAGAACAGGTGATATCCATACAAAGCCCTAAATGTTACTGAAATAGGCTCTGTTGATATGCTAATATTTCACATTGTTTGGGTACCGACCAACATGGTTACACTGAGGTTATGTGCATTCGCCAGAACGTACAGATGACGTCATGGTGTACATTCATTTCCCTCTTTTTTGAGGAACATTAAAAGAGAACTAGAGGTAACAGCATATGTAACATGCGCTTGGAAGTAATGTTTGCAAGAAAGAACGCTCGCGTTCCTCATCGTGTGCCCGTTCTTTCGAGCATATAACTTTCAAGCGCCTGCTATGCAGGCTATAGAAGTATCAGGAAATAGCTTAACAAATCAGAGGCTGGACTCATACAGCAAAGGCTTATCCTCCAAGGCAGCTAAAAAATTATTCTGACAGCTTGAACCAGAAGGAAGCCTACTTCTTCCTAAGTCTTTGTACGGCATTTTCCCACGCTTTCACGACCACCGTGAAGTACATTACCGACGTTCAGCTCGGAGCTCGCGGTAACCTGGCCGAACATAGGCCTAAGGACTATTTAGGTCTGTTTAGATTATAAACGTTTGTATAGATAGCGGCAATTTACCGACAAAAGTAACTATCAACCATTCTCCTGCAAGTATTGCATTTTACTCGGCAACACCAATAAAACTTGCACGAACATTCATACTCTTCACGGACTTGAAGGGTGTTATAGCCACGCCCACAGCACAAAATCCTGCAATTCCCGGGGCCTGGGGCGGTCTTGTGGCAACGTCTTCCCGTGGTACCCAGAGATCCCGTGCTGTTGTTGGGCACGCAATAATCCGGGGACTCTTCCAAGAACCAAAGATCACCTTCTAAGAGCTTTCCTGGATATTTTCCATCGGCTACAATGAGTTGGTTTCTGCCCTGATGGACTGTTACTTTGGTAGCGTTGAGATATTTGTTGTAAAGATGCCCACCTACAGCACCAAACGGTCCCAAGGTTCTAAGGCACGTTCTATATGAGCACGAGGCTGAAATCCCATGACATTTGCATACCAGCCTCATATGGCTCTTCACAGCCTACGGGAAACAAAAACATACGACTAAAGCAAAAGGAGACTGCAGCTGATTAAACAAAGTTTCTCTCAAGTAGTTCAATATTGAGGTGGAAGTTACCTGGAGATTCATAAATCAGTTTTATTAACTTCTTTTTTTTTTATCATTTTGGTACTCTTTCTGGTTAGCTAAAATTCGGTATTAATCATAACAGTGCAATCGGCGCCTCCATCTCTAGATGTGTGGGTAAAAAAACCTTTCCACAAAAGCATTTTATCATCGCTTAGCTCAAAGCATTGGCCGTCACTACGCTTAGATAATGAGTTAAGCTCATGCGTAAGGAAGCGAAGCCTGAGGCCCTTTCAGGAACGTGAGGCCGCTGCTAAAGAAAGAAATCTTTCAAGCAGGGGAGGGGTCGAAGAGGCGACTGGCCGGGGTCCAAAATGCTGGTAAAATAGTTGGTTCCATAAAATGGTTTCAAAAGCCGGCTACAAACGTTAGCAAACATTTGGTACCATCAAAAATGGAAGATAGCAAAATTTGGTCCCAAAATTCTGCCAAAAATGTTTGCAAAACGAAAGGTGGTAAAATTTTGAGCCCAAAATTGGTCACAAAATGGGAATATTTGAGCGGCCTATTACTTTGGCATTTGAGATTACCATATGTAGTAAATAAAATATATAAATATATCTACACGAATATCAGCTAGTAACGACGTTTTGCTCTCACGACCTTCATCAGCCATACATGAAGTATACAACTGAGACTTGAACATCAATAACCTTACTCTAGTTACCTAGCAAATTGAAAGCAAAAACTGACTTCGAAGTTAGAGCAAAAAAGCAAAAATGAATGATAGGGACAGTCATTAATTGCAACGTTGAAATTCACAATAATTGTCTTAGTATCTCCGACCTTTTAGTAGGATAAAACTCTGTACAATACGATGATTATGATTTTTTGAATTGAGTAATGATGGGGGTTTTCTTTGTGCGAAACTGTTGCCCTCGAAAGCGTATTTCATTTTCTACGACACTATGTGGGCATAAAATTCGAGGGAACAGTAAAAATCACAGTAAGTACATGTTGCAAAATGTTTGAATGACCAAAACAATGAGACACACAAATAAAAGACAGAAACAGACAAAAACAGGTGATGCGTTGCAATATATTAATTGATAAATCAAGTTTTACCACACAGTGAGCTATGTCCCGGAACGTGTGATATAAACTTTATTATACCAAAGGAATTATTTCAGTTCATTGCAGTTATGAATTTTTAATATAATTTTTCACAAATTTATCTTCCACAGGAATAGATCAATAATAATTTCATAATGATTGAACTGTGTTCCTCTTTAGTTTTTTCGTAATTCAACCAATACTTTTTCGTAAGTTGTATAAATTTAGCCGTTTTTTTTATGATAAGTTTTGATTTTGCTGGATGTCTTAAGAAACAATTCAGCTTCAGAGGTAATGGTAGTAAAAATTGTGCTGTATGTTGTGTATATTAAGTTTAAGACTAATATGATGAAATTCAGGGTTTGTTAATTTTAACGAAAACGACATGTAACATAACCTTAAAGTCTCCTTTGCCGATTGTAAACTTATATCTTGTGGCCTCTTCTTTAATTCTAAAAAGCGTTCAGGTGGAAGGCTGAGGGAACTCACTCCTGCCGGAATTTCAAGAATAGCCAAGAAATCCAGGAATGACTGTTCCTTATATAAATATTATCAGGCTGATGAAACTATCTCTAGCTGGTATTGCCAGGAACAGTCAGGAGAGTGAGGGATGACTGTCAGTTCCCCATGTGAAAATTTAACCTGGCTTTCATGGAAAGGCTGAAGAAATCAAGTCTAGAGTTACCAAGAATAGCCAAGGAAACCAGGAATGACTGTTCCTTATGAGAAAATTATCAGGATTTCATGGAAAGGCTTATTTAAGAAACTATCTCTAGTTAGTATTGTCAGGAATAGCCAAGCCAAAAGCCAGGAATGACTGTTTCTTAGATGAAAATTACCCGGTTTTTATGGAAAGGCTAGAGATGCAAACTCTTGAGAACCAGAAAAAGAAAAGATGCTGGACTTTACCAGAACTGTCCTGGCTTCCATTGGAAGCCTGGAGATACTAACTCCTGGATCGCGGCCAAAAAGCCATAGATACTGGAGTCGCCTAATGTAGTAAAAGGGCCTCGTTTTCATGAAAGGGAAAGGGCTAGAGATACTAACTGTGAGGCCAAGAAAGTAAAGGTGCTGGTGTCTTTTAGTCTGATTAAGGACCTGGACTTTGTGGAAAGGTCGCTGTGTTGACAAAAGTGTTATTCCTGCATACAAATAACCCTAGAAAGACTTGAGAAGTATGCACATTGGATGTAAAGGGAAATTAATGTGGATATAGGACCGAAAAAGGTTCTTATATCAAAAACGAAAACCAACAAGAACAAATAATATAAACGTGATGAAAATATTGAAATTATAGAAAAATACAGAAAAAGAATACGCATTATTAACGGAGAGAAAAAAGCTCTTCAAACTGGAAAGGGTCACACCAAATAGAGAAATGCACTCAAAATTAACGCAGAAAGTGGTACATATAAGAAAATTTAGTCATTGATATTTTTAAACTATATGGTAAGCTTAGATTAATAGCTGTTTAAAATAAAAACAAAGTATATGTAAAACGGGTAGGTTTTGACACACTAGATCTACTTACGAAGAGCTTCAATAGTTAGAAGAAATGTCTATGGTCCAAAATTGGTATTTGACAACTTAAAAAGACTTAATGAAAAACCAACACATTGAGTATTACCAAAGTACAGAAAAACTGAGATGTAGGTCGTGAGGTTGTTTATTATGACAACCAGGGAGTCTATTAAGTCAACTTGAACAAATTGGAGAGAGCATTTCTGCTCGGGTAACATACAATGGTGTTAAAATAAATTTTCCAGTTTCCAGACATTGTACACATAACTCAAATTTATCAAAGTTGATATTAGATATAGCTACGATAAAAAGCTATGTAAGTTCAATGAAACAAGAATATATCTCATATTGGCAAAACACTCTTCAACATTCTCAAAAACTTGAATTTTATAGATCTTTTAAGACCGATCATACTTCCTCTAGGTACTTAGACTTAACAGGAGGACCAGCTTGGAGAAGGGCTTTAGTAAAACTACGAATAAGCAATCACAAACTAATGATAGAAATAGGCAGACACAATCAAACTACGAAGGATAATAGCCATTGCCCTTTTCGTGGATACAATGTAATAGAAGACGAAGTTCACTTTCTTTTTCAATGTCCTACATACTCTATGATTAGGAATACATTTTACTATAAAGTCAAGACTCTGATTCCAAATATTACCGAGTTACCTATAAACGGTTTGATCAATGAACTGATGAACTCTTCTAATTACTTTATCAATATACAATTCATAAAATATATTTCAGCTTGTTTTGATGTTCGTGACAAATTATTGTCAAAGTAACATAATTGCCTGTGTTGTAAGTTTGATTCCTAAACATAGCTTTTGCAATACTGTATGTGTTTGTATGGTCATGCAAATAAAACTCGTTGTTATTAATATTGGTGGTGTTAAACTAACAACAGGAGCTCATGAGGTTCCTGGTAACAATTAACTCAGAAAGGCAGTAAACTTACAATATAAATATTAACTAAAAGAGCAAAGTATACTTCTTCTGTTAACAGGTAGAAAAACGTTGGATGTATAATTATCTTTGATGCCGTCTTAATAACAGAAGAGAATATACACAGACTCCATACATCGTGATGTAGGTATGGACAGGTTATGAATGACATATACTGCCAAGTGAGCTAGCATACTGACCAGTAGAACCTCTTATAAAAGTTATGGCATAAAATACAGTACTGATTCAGAACTCAGACATTAGAGCGAACATTTGACTTTTGGTGATGGCATGTATTGTTGTAGTTGATCTTAATGATTAATTATACAATATATAAACAAACAAACCATAAAACACTAAGAATTAGCTCGAGAAAACAGCAAAGTACCGTATGTGTCATGCAGTGATCACAACCGATATTGTACCACTAACTAACAAACAAACAATCTTTGCAACGAGAAAGTTCTTGACACGAAAACAACTAAATTTACAATGAAACAATGAAACATTTTACTCAACTTGTGAAGTGGTTTCTAAATTACATATTGGATGCCACTGAGACGGGTGAACTTAACTTAGCTTAACGTTTTGCCACCAAATAAATCGGATACCATTCAGACGATATATCACTCACCTGCCTTCCCACAAGGTTGTTGTGAAGGTTGATTTTTGCTCTGATGTCATGCTCCCGCTTTTCTCGAGAATCTATAAACTTACTGGCGTATTTCAAACCATATTCAATGTTGTCATTACAGCCAGCCCACTCGAATCCTGTTCCTTCAGCTAGCTGAGTATTATTGCAAGCACAATTTCTGAGTACACCACGCGCACAAGCTTTTGTAATCTCGTGAACGACCCCGGAAGAGGTTATGGCATAAATAAAGGCGGTCTCTCGAGATGCTGAAACAAAGCCACATCATTCCAATGTCAGAACTGAATCAGCAAAAATAAAGGAAAGAAAATCAACACTGAGCGGACGTGAAAAACGTCAATATACGGATAAAGGCTTTAACACTGGACAAACTTGTTTGAAACTTGTTTAGTAATTTAGTTGAGGCACAAATTGCAACAGAAATTGCGACATAATTCGAAGAAAAATTCACTAGTCGTACAGGGCCCGCGTAACCTAAAGAAGGTGAAGTTTAAATTTAATCCTGGGTTAAGCCAAATTTTAAGCAAAGTTTTTTCGTCTCTGCACATGCAGTCGGAGCTAATAATATATTTTTGAACCTTTACTACAAGATAAGGTTATAATATTGCATAGCTTAACGCAACTCAGTTTCAAGCCGATAATTTTAGGCATTACGCTGTTGTTTTGAGGGTGGTGACGCTTAAAAGCATAATGCTCAAATTTTCGAGCACAATATATCTAACCCTACCTTTCAACTGACCTGGGACCACGGCCTCGACGAGCGGACTGAACGCTTAGAGACCTTAGAACCTTATATGACAGGTTATATACAACACCTTCTTTTAATTTCTCCTTCAAAGTACATGCTGTTTTTTACATGCTGTAACAGTTTATCTGGCAAATTTTCTTTTATCCAGTTTTCCCGTACGCGTGGTTAGATAGTGTTATGAAATAACTCACTATAACTGATTATTTTACCTTTTCGCGGAACTTTTTCGAAAACGCTGACATCACGAGCGACTGTGGAACAATTCCATAATTCGTCCTTTAACTGTTTCTGGCACTCCTGCACACCAAGTTTCGCTCCTTTCCCAATACTGATCGCAATATCAGGATATTCTTCGCAAAATCGTTTTTGGTCCTTAACTAAAGCAGCTCGGTTGCACATAACTTGAGCATCAAGATCGTACACTTGAGACATAAACCTAATATATGTATTACAGAAACAAATTAAATTGTCATCAAAATGTTCCACTTGTGCGTTCTTGTGTTAATTTGGAGAACAAATTTCCGGTAGAACTCGTGGTAATTCTTATATTCAGTTAATCGTTTAAACTTACCACCAGTAAGAACATGAAAGTATTGGAAATGATAACAGAAGAACAGCGAAAAACCAGGACGAGTTTCCCATGTTCTTGCTGTGTCTTACGCGCAGTTTAAAAAGACACACCTGATATAAATTTTTTTCCGCTCAAAACTATTTGATCGCAACACAATGGATTTTTCTGTTGAAGAACATTCTTGCGCCGTTGGCCATATTACGCAAGTAATATTATTGTACTTGAGAATGACAACAATGAAACATCATAGTAAGAAGTAAATTCTTATCCGATCTCTTAACAACCCGTTCAAGGAAACGCTTGTTGTCCAGTTTATTTAAACAAACCTCACTTCAGAGACGATAGCTTTGAAACAGTATATATAGAAAGAAGAGTTCAGTCTTTCAAGAAAACTACCTGTTTAATTAAACCATGGGAGGGATATTCCTAAACACTCAAAAGTTTTGCATTATCAGGACGTTTGGTTTACAAATGTATTTTCGCCTCAGGCCCTATTGTTGTTTCTAAGTTTTCCAACTGACACTTCATATTGTCCTTTTATAAAACAATTAATAGAAAGCCATTAAGTGCTAAAAACTAACGCCCACAAAAATATTTTCGGTTAATGCCTGTTATAAAAATAGAACTATTAATAATATTTTATGAGAGAACCCAATTAGCCAAGAGGCGGTTTTCAGTGAGCCTCTCTGTTTTGTGTAAACATATACACTACAAAACTACTGTTATAGGGCAGCTCAAAAATACCCGTTGTAGGAGAACATAAAATCGACAGCAGACTCTGACCCCAACAGAAAAGCGAAAAAGAAGTTAAAAAAATTCGTTGGCTAAAAGCATCTGGGCGAAGTTGCTCGAATGACGATTAGCCCAAACCAGGGTTAGTTACTATGACAACTTATTTGCTTCGTTTACAGTTAACCCGTGATTAGGGTTCACCTTGCTTCGAAAAACTCTTCCCTGACTGGTTGACCCAAGACAACGAGGATTTTGAGCGAGGCATGCGCAGACATGTTTAAAAAAGTTTTGATACTTGTGCTATTATGTACGCCTGTGCTTATGTTTGTTTCTAGGTCGTTTGAGGGTGAAATGTGGACCGGACAGGGGGGTACTCAACAAAGTTTCATACGGGGAGGCTCAGCCCCGAGGTCCAGCCCCCTAACCTTTCATATACCATATCTGACAGAGAAAGCACCGCTCTCATGTATCTTCCATTGACGAATGGTACACCTTTCGTATACCTAGTTTAGAACTTTGTACCCCTTGTAACTGTTGTAAATGCATTGTCTTTTAAAAATGAATAGATCACAAGACCAGGCCGCAGTTGTTCAAACGTTGGATAGCGCTATCCACCGGATAAATCGCCATCCAACGGATAAGCATTAGGAAAACTAATTGCGTTATCCACAGGATAGTGATTTATCCGGTGGATAGCGCTATCCGCGTTTGAACTATTGGGGCCAGAAAATTTACTCGACTTTTTCCCAGTAATGAAAGGAACCTGTTAGTCCTTTTTACGGACTGGAATGATAGATTTCTCTTTACATGTGAAATTCCCTACCCTTTCATACGCCTAAAGCCTGAAAAAGATACCCCTTTCGGACGGAGCCTCTCCGTATAGACCATTATGCGGAGTAACCCCCCCCCCGGCGGAAGGTTGACTCTTACGCTTGCTCTTATTTTAAATTATTTGGATAAAAAGTCGATGTACATAGGACTGTATAATACTCCAAATAAAGCATTGTCTTGTCTTGCTTGCGCTTATGCCTGGGTAGCTAGTGAGAACCAGTCATTAACAGGGACTGGATAGGCTGACTGGAGTAGCTTGACGTTGGTTAGGGTACTGCGGGGGCGTAACTACCTGTACGCAGAGACGCATTTGCGTATTTAAAACAAAAAATGTTGAAGATTAATAAAAGACAAGACAATGCAAAGGAAATGAGGAGTGGTTATCTCATGATACGTATAGAAAAGAAAATTTAATCCAGTCACCCGAGTGGAAACGATCTGGGAGGCGGGTTAACGTGGATTTGCAAAACTCTGCGTATCTCTGCAAAACTTCTAGCTAAGCCTCTCGATAGATCTGCGATTTTCACCAAAACGTTCGTCAGTTATCGTTTAGTTTCTTTAGTTCATGTGCTTTTGGACTGATTCTCAGAAACGAGGCTGTCAAAGAATGGAATACTGCCTGGAGGCCCAAGCTCGTCTGCTCAAATTCTAGTTCACTTCGAAGCCTAGCTGCTGTTTTTTTGAACGTCGAAATACAACTAAACAGTTGAGATATTGAAAGTTTTGTCTTATCTGATTCAACTGTTTTCTTCAACAATTTTTTCGTCTCCAATTTTTCTTGAATAGCTGCGGATTTGTGCCGAGGTCATAGGAGATGCCTACGGGCACAGCAGTGTGTAACCACATAAAGCCATGGGGGTTATGCCATTTTTACCCAAAATGAAGCGAAAATAACCTCTGTTATTATGCAGATAGTTTAGATTGTTTGGATACAGTAACATGGAAACCGTGACGTCAAGTACAACCCGACGTCATATGCACTCACCTCATTTGAAGACACACAGAGCAGAACAGAACACTTTATTTAAACTCGGGATTTACTGAACGTTTTACGGTTCTAGCGTTCGTCGAACAGCTCATTTTCCGTGTGCCGGGGAAAAAATACAAATGTAAACTAAGAAACACTTTTCTAAGACGCTAAGCAACAACATTAAAAAGACATATCATATAAATATTAAAATGTAAAAAATCAGTATTTTTAAACAAGCTAAATTTGTTTATTCACTAATATTCCCAATTTGTTTTAAAAAAAGGGTCCGTTGCTGACCTTATTTTGTCTGTCAAACTGAACAAATGACCTCGTGGTATTTATTTTCCTCTGCTTAAGGCAGCATTAACCCTTTAAGCCCAAAGAGTGATCAGCATGAAATTTCTCCTTATAATAACAATGCTTTAGAAAGCAGGGTGGTCATGAGAATTGAGTACATGATCAGGGAAGATGAGTCTAATTGATATTTCAACAAATTCTCCCCACTACTTATATTGAAAAAGTATAGGGACAACAAATGAGAATTTCAATTTTGATATTAGGGATTATAGGGTTAAAAGAGAACTAAGGGTATTGAAAAATACCTTAACAGACGCTGTAGATAACAAAGGAAAAAGCCAGAGTCGATTACAACAAAAACAATCAATCAATCAATCAATTTATTACGTCAATACGTGGGATGAGGCTGCCCCGATCATCCGAGCCAGAGGCTCAAGTATAAAACGCATGACATTTACTGAAAAATGATAATAATATCTTTGTCATCGAAATTTCCAAAATTAAATTAGAAAAAAGGAAAACCTCTTATGACAGAGGAGCGTTACAAGGTAAGATTCTTTTCCGGTTATGAATAGATTTGATTTTTAAAATGGTAGGAGTCCACGGTTCAGTCCCACACCAGACGTCAGAACGTGGTGACGTTTGTGTCGCATTTTTTATTCATTTATTTAAATTTTTTTTGCTGTTCAAGGCTTACCAAATTACTGAACAAAACCACGAAAAAAGCTATCTATTTGCCAAAGTTGAGGGCTGACTGAATACACTATTCCGGAAAAAAAAAACGGAAGTTGCATACAAGTGAGGCCTAATAGCCCTTGGACGAGGACGATAGAGATACGGACAAATTGAAAGGTACTCCCGGTACTCCAGTGAAGCAAATTATAAAGAATATAAACCTGTTGGTCATAAATAAAGTGCAGCTGGAGACTGTAATAACTGGAGTGGAAATTATAAATGAAGGTTCAGCTCTGTTTGCAGTTCGTTTGTGACCATCATTTGTGACCAATTTTTCTTCAGCAATTTTTTCTTCATCAATTTTTCTTCACCATTTCTTCCGCCAAAGTCCGACATTTAGCTTTGTTCAAGAGCTATCAACCTTGCTTAAATGCAACTTTCATTTATTTTGGGGGGGTGTTTTAAGGTGTACTAAAAGACGTCACACATGTTCACGTTATCTATCATATTTTTGAAGGAGCTTTGACGACGACAAGGGAGACGGCAACGAAAAGGTCACTAGTATAGTGAATTTGCGTTCTTTCAAACTTTGTCGCGATTCGAAACCTCACCCATGTCCAGAATGAGAGCCGAGGAAGAAGTCGTCGAGGTTAGGTTAGGTTAGAGAATTTCACACAAGTGGCCGATCTGTTAGAGGTGCACACTATTTCCTGCTCGAGTTGTCAAGAGCGGTCGGAAGCGATCAACATTTGTCATGCGCGTGCAAATTTAGTCACATGGGACCGACACAGTCCGTTTGTTTAACTTATTGTAACTTTATAGCATTTGTACTGTTTTTACTGGTTTGCGTCATCTGTATCTATATATCGCTAAATATGTGCATGGATCAATCATAAGCAGTGTATTACCCTAAATTGTCGTCCTTTCGCCTCAAAAGTGGTATTTTGAACAATTTTGAAGAAATTTTGAGTTCGCCCTTTACTGCGCCTCTTAATAGTAAAAAAAATCGGCTCATCCTTGGTGTAAGAACCTGTTAAACTCACGGGTGATGTGAGACAAAGAAGTAAACTCAATAGAACCTCGAAAAACAGAAGGCGCGAAACAAAGAAAAAGTTCGCAGGTTCTTACACCAAGGCCAACCCTCAAAATCCTTCAAAATAGTTCAAAATACCGCTTCTGAGGCAAAAGGGAGCGCCAACTTTACCATAGGTTAGGTAATACAACGTTTACTTAGTATTGTTCGGTGCATATACATAGCGGTATATCACACAAGACGAAGTAAACGGTTAATCCAGTACATTTACTGTAAAATTACAATGTTCGGTTACACAAACAGATTGTGTGGACGCCCTGCGGCGTAGTGTGAAATACTGCAAAAGGATTGAATGAGTATGGTACTCCACGTTGACTAAACACGGCCGCTTAGTACGGTATGAAGGAGGCAGGCAATCAAAATGGAACAGTATACTGTGCAATGTTCATCTAGCCTGCGTAGCATGGCGGTTTGTTTTAGTCGTGCGCACAAACAAGGCAGTGAAACCGTAAGGAGATTAAAGTGGGACCGCGCGCTTTCGCGGCTTCGCCGCTCAGCGGTACGCCAGACAAAACCGTCATTCCACGCAGGCTAAATGCGACGCAAAAAGGACCATGATGTGTCTTAGCAATGTATATTTTATTTCAACAAAGTCCGATATCAACATTTATATACCTGAAAACACGTGCGCGTCAACAAACCTTGTGCCAACAAATATTTTCTGTTTATAATTTTTGTCCTTGTCCTCTTACCTACTTTAAATATTTACATAAATAACAATTCACCTGGATAAATATTAAAGTAAAATGAAATAAACATTTCAGTCGTGTATTATGAGATGTTTTTGTCAGTTAATATATTAAATGCCAATGTTTTCGATCCAGGATACTCGAACTTTGAGCTCAGAGTAACATATGATCAGGGATTGAAATAACGGCCGGTCAACGGACAATGTCCGGTCAAAAGTTAGTTTTGTCCGGTCCTTTACGCTTCTGATGGACCGAAAATTTATCTTTATAAAGATATGTCGTAATAAATATTTGTAATTGTCTGGCCAAAAACCGGGTTGTGTCCCAGCAAAAATAGGTTTGACCGGAGAACTTGACCGGCGCCAGCCGCAAAAACATTTCAAGGCCTGATATATGGATTATTATATCGAACATCTTCTTAAAACGGAAGGTACAAACGATCATCCAATTTGAATTTCGTTAGCTTTTCTGTACTAAAAGCGCAGGCGCTCTTTGAGGCTTTGCGCAGAGCAAAAATATATGTTAAGAACGATTTAGTAACACGTAAATATTGTCCTGTTAGCTTGATCAGCGAAGCAGTTTAGTGTGCCACTGTCTAAAGCTTTCTGCTGGCTGAATTTCACATCAGCATTTTTGAATATATATTCTGACTATTTTAGATGTAAAACTGAGTTCTGTCCACTTTGGTTTGTTTGGTTATTTAATGCTTCAGTAACAGCATTCAAGATTATTCCTCTCGCTAAACATTTTTTACCATTATTGACTTTTTTTGCCGATAGAGGCAAACAGAAAAAGCGTTAAAGAAGGCGCAAACCAAAAGTCACAATTGGTTTGCGGGACGGGTCAAATAGCTAATGAAATATTGGTATTTTCTCGGTTAGTTTTTCCGCTAGAACATATCACTACCATACAAAATATTTGGAAAATAGACTGATCTGGCCGGATAGTCCTGGGTAATGATAGAATTCTCTTTACGACTGGACTGATCTAGTCGGTCAGCTCTGACAACTGGAAAAAGCCCTTGGTAGAGCACGCCTTAAAGCTGGTTTTCACTAAAGACAGAGTCAGAATCGGAGTCGAAATCAGAAGCGTAGGACTTAAAGATCTGGTGAAAACAGCGTTCTGATTCCGCTAACGACTCCGTCGCTTACGATCAACTGCGAAAACTAGGCTGTCGGAGTCACAAGAAGAAGCGGAAGATTTAAGCCAATCACGAAGGAAACTAACCTCGTGATTGGTTTATACTTCCCCTTCTGCTTGATCGTCTCCGACAATCTGGTTTTCTCTAGATCGTAAACGACAGAGTCGTAAGCGGAGTGGGAAGAAAATGGAAACGTTCTGATTCTTCCGACTCCGATTCCGTCGCGGTTATGACTCTGCTTACGACTCCGATTTTTGATTGGAATCATCCCATATACAGTGGAGTCCACCTTTCACCTGTCCGGCGGCACTGTCCAGTTAAAATAGTCAATGATTTTGGCAGCTGGAAACCTCGTTCAGTGATAAGGCAAATTTTCACAGCCTTTAGTTGTTCGCTTTGTGGGAATTTCACTGCACAAATTCACTTCATGCATTTGCAATGTTTTCTCCTTGTAACAGCAATGTTTCTGTTCCTTATTCTGTACATTAGAGTTTCTTGTTTTCTCTGTCGCCTCTGCTGAGACTGTTAGTAGACAGGCTAGACGCACCTCGCTTCCTGTTTTTTCGTTCCTTTCTTCTCTTGTTCCGTTTATCACCGAGAAGTTTCTTAGCGGGTCTGTTTTGACTATTGCTTTGCGCGTTTGCCACAGATGCTGTTAAATGAGGTCCGTTTCCATTGTACACATTATCATCAGGAGATTTACATACATGCTTATCAACAGTCCGTCTGCACGTATGGCACTTAACATAACAACACCAATTGAATTTGCACGAACATTTATAGACCTCTTCAACCTGAATGGTGTCAAAACCGCGCCCGCAGCACAAAATCCCGCAACTGCCGTGTCCCGGAGTGCTCTTGTTACAAACCCGTCCCGTAGTACCCAAAGAGCCTGTGTTGGTATTAGGGACACAGTAATCCGGGGACTCTTCTAAGAAAACGAGATTATCACGTGGAGGATGAGCTGGAGATCCATCTGCCATTATTTTTACAAGTTCGTTGCCGCTCTGATCTACGGTAACTTGTACACCACTATGGTATCTCTCACGGAGAAAAGCACCCACAACACCGAACTGGGACATGACTTTCCAGCATGTTTTCACTTGGCACGAGCCGGAGACGCCATGGCATTTGCAATCCAATTCTGTGTGTTTCTTTACTGCCTGCAAAAGAAAAAACAAATCGGCTGTTAATTTGTATTATCCTCCTCTAAAACTATTTACATCGTACGGAGATTCAAATAACTTGAGGAAACCCTTCTGAGGTGAGTGATTCACGCTTTAGTGACAACCTTTGTTGCTGAGAGATACGACTTATGCCTAACCAAGTATGCGCACGCGCTCGTGAGATGTGTGCAGCTGTCCCAAACAGTAGAGATATCGCCAATCTTGGACAACATAGGTAGGAAAAGTTAGTCCTTTTAACATGAAATCAAATAAGAGGCACTCGAAGATCATTAGAACTATTATACATTATCGTACATTCCAAATATTTCACCGTTTCTGATTGGCTCAAAGCCCACAGCTAGTTCTTCATAATCAACTGGCGTTGACCAAATTTGGAAGATGTTAGCAATATACCATCGATTCGATGATATATTGACTTGGAAACGAAGTTGGTATAATGGTATATTAATTTGGAAAACAGGTTGCATGGCAATCGATCAACCTCGTTTCCTGGCGCGGCGGCCAAGCTGTTTATTCACGAGTGAACTAAACGTAACTAACAAAAGACCAGTGTATGGCGATTTAGTGACCAATCATCTCATCATCACCATCAACTAACGGGAAATAACTCACTCTGAGTCTGGAGATGACTACCGCAAAGGTTGTAGAAACGTCAGTCAGTATCAATAACAGTTCTATTCCAGACAACGCTTAAACGGACGATCATATTCTACCTATTTGGGTTCAAATCATTTACTAAATTAAACAATTGTTCGATTTGGTTTTTATGATGGGCGGAAGTTCAAGTTTCTAGGCAGAAGAAAAGAGTAGGTCTCGCGGTAAGTGTTATCAGCACAAAGACTGAAGGCTGAGGAAAACACCTTCATTATTCCGGATGTCACGAAAACCGATTTAATAATGTTGTACCACAGGACTTCTTTGGATTCAAAGATCGTATTCAACATTTGCCATGACAACTTTGAACGTGCAAGAGATGGGAGGAGCTGGAATCGGCTTAGTTTCGTTAGAATTTTTTTCCCCGAGCCTCAATAAAGTATGAAAAGTGTTTTTTTGTTTTTTTTCAGTGATTTTCAAGTGCCCTCAACCACTTACAACTAGTTTTAGAGAGACTTGACTCATGCAGCCACAAAGGGCAAAATGGGTTACTAACAAATGTTCGTGTTATAGGCTTTTCATGGGCACATTGCACGCGACACATGTGCATCGTAACGTGAGATTTAAATTAACTACTTCACATATTTTGTTTGTTTTTCTTTCTGAAGGTAAACATATCGTAGTTACAACAACAGAGGATAGAGCTGAGTTTATCTTGTTTAGGTTAATGGCATTAAATTCCTATTTGTAGAATTTTGTACTATGAGTTTGATGTAATAACAAGTCTTGAGGAAACTAAGCAAAACCACAAAATCCTACTTCTCTTTGCTGAGAACGTGCCAAACAACTTTACGTTGTTTAACTTTATTACCTTCATTGGTTAGAGGAAAAGAAAACTATGTCAACAAGCTAAGCCCTTTTTTCTCGGATTAGTTAAAGAAAGTCGACAAAAAGAAGATATAAAAGAGTTAAGTAAAACGACCGTTTCGCGTGATCTAAAATCAAACATACAAAAGTTTCATAAACAGAGCATTAATTAAAGTTCTTTATATTTTTATCGTTGTTGTAAAGACCCGGGGTGATCTCAACAGCAAAGAGTTGAATCTCATGCAGTATCAGTAGCGACGGGAAATTCAATTAATTAGAACTGACGTAGCAGTTTCTAAATCTCTTTATATTTTATTACAGAAGACAGTCAATATTTGTAAGGAGTATCTTATTCATGTTATGGACTTGCGAGCCGTCGGCAAATAATACATTACAGCTAATACAAGCGTGACTTGACAGGATTTACGAAAACTTTTCCCAAATGTCCTCAAAGAATCTTATACCGGTTTGTTCTCTAAAAGAAGAAACTCCCGAGTAGAGGTTCGCGGATGCTAGCCATGAACTTCTTACAACTCAACATAATTACCCAGATTGAAACCAGCGACAGGAGAAACGTGAAGGCATTTGCCTTAAAGCTCAAACTTTTCTTTCAATATCTGATAAGTTTTGTTGGGAAATTGCCTGCGGTCAATTCAACGTTTCGAAAATGTCCTCTTCTCAATTAACAGGAAACTCGAACAAAACCGCTCTTGAGAATTAAACCGCATCAACACTCCAATCTAATACCTATTCACGCTACTCCACTGCACGATATTTGCTACAGATGTTTCTTCGTAAAAGTAGGCGTAAAAAATGCCTACGCGATTTAAAAACTCCAATGTTTTCATGAACTGAGTAGTACAGTTATAATGAAGTACTACTTGACGTAAGTTTGATAAGCCAATCTTGGTACAATTAAGTAATGTGGCAGCGCGAGTACGTTATTGAAATGGCCTCGGATATGTTTTTAAGAACGAAATCTTTGCATCCTATATCTCAGCCTCTTAAAATGGTCATTCTCTTGACTTTTTCCACGATATCAGTCCGGGTTCGAGTTTGGTGATTAAGAAAAACACAAAATGCCGACAAACTTGCAACATTTTCGTAATTCGTGGACTGTTGCCGGAGAAACAGGCGTGTTTTCAAAGGTTTTATTCGGCTGTTTCTTGGAAGTAAAATGAGTTTTTTAGCAAAAGAAGAAGTCGTTTTCCTTCCAAGAAGCAAAAATGCGAAGCAAAGGCGGGGAAAAAAGGTTGTACTACAGCTATGGTTGAAGTTGCAAGTTCCAGCACAACGTTCAAAGACTATCAAGCTATGCTTAGACTGGCAAAATTCATTAGTTTGAGGGACTTTCTTCACCTCTAAGTACGAGTTTTCTAAGTTTAAACTGGTCGAAAATTTCTTGACATTTTCTGTTTTTTCAAGCGTATCGAACACTCTACAAGCTCTGAAATACCACAGTCAGGAAATAGATTCAACAGAAAAGGCGCCATATCGGTTAAAAAAATACTACCGAGTCAACCAAAGTCCACGCTCTTCCTGTTTTTTTGATGTTTATCTAAACAAACTTCATTGAAGTTGAGTCGTGTGATTCGGGATTAGAAAAATTCGACAAAATAGAGGTAAGACATAAGAAATACTACAAACTGAGTTTTTTTAACTTTTACACTTCTTCATATCCTTTTTTCTTTCTTTTTCAATTTCTTTTACTTTTAAGGACATACTTATGAAAAATTAACACTTATATTTCAGTTTTTACAGCCATATTAGGGAAGTACGAGATTAGCTTTCAAGACAAATGTTTATCCTGGTGTATTGTTTATAAAAAACACTCCAGGGAAATAGATGAATTTAAAACATCCATAATAATTACTGAAACTGAGCCAAAATTAATCCACGATGAGCAATAACAAACCCGTCAATGCACGAACTTAGTTAAAAACGAATTTGTCGATACAAATTTTATTTATTGATAAAAATGATGCGACCTCACACAACCCGGACAATTCAAGTAATGAATAAATGTTTAATACTTACTCTTCGCCCCACAAAGTTGTTATGAAGGTTCATTTTTGCTCTGGCGTCCCGCTCCTGTTCTCGCGAATCGACAAATAGTTTGGCAAATCTAAGACCATAACCTATGTTGTCGCTGCAACCTCCCCACTCAAAACCTTTATGACTTCTTCCTTTACGTTTGGTATCGCAAGTACAACCTATCAGTTCTCCGCGGCTGCACGCCTTTGTGACCTCGTGTACAACCCCCGCAGAAGATATGGCGTATACGAAGGCGCTTTCTCTACTTGCTGTGAAGACAAGAAAAAAGTACAGCTTCACAAAAACCACTCAAGCAAAAAGAATCGTTTTCGTTTTCAACTACTCTTTGTCTAGAAAAATCTTGTGAATAAATCAAACGCCTGAGAGAGTACTGCATGAAGACACTTGAGAGTAAGGAAATTTTTTCAAGGATCCTTGAACGGACCTCATGTGAAGGTATTGAGTTTCGTGGATGCGATTATTTTGTCAGTTTTTTATTTTAAATCATAGCACAAAATAAAGGGATAAGATAACAGTTTTCACCAAACTGACAACCTGTACGCTGCTAAAATTACACCTCTCCACCAAGAACTACGATTTGGAGTTACAATCTCAACTACTCTCTTACTGAAGTAGCTTAAACCGAGCACTTCCCTTCAACGATATTATCCGTTTTACCTTTTCGCATAACTTTTCCAAAAACGCTAACGTCTCGAGCTACTGTTGAACAATTCCATCTCTGATCTTTAAACTGTTGCTGACACTCTTCCACGCCAAGTTTGGCCCCCTTTCCGATGCTAACCATCACATCGGGGTTTTCTCGACAAAGTTGACGTTGGTAAGTGACCAGGCCGGCGATGTTATTGCACATTATTTTCGCCCCCAATGCGTATACTTGAGACATGAACCTAACGAAATAAACGAGCAATTGAAATGCCAAATTTCTGGCCTGAAATCAAAGTGAGCAGAAATTGAGCAATTCTCGCCGCTAATCTGGAGTATAAACTTCTGATTGGTGTAATCTTCTTAGATCAGAAGACTGAATTTAACTTACCACCAGTGAGAAGATGAAAGGACTGGAAATGTAAACAGGACGAATATTAAAAACCAAACAGTAGAAACTCGCATATTGGGTAAGTTTTGCAAGGGAACTTGTTCTCAATCCGCACTTGATGACCCTGTGTGGTTGATAGCCAACACGGACTATTGATAAATGTCGTAAGTGATAAATAGCCGAAATATATCATTCGCTCAATCCCTTGGAATGCATTAGGTATTAAAATTACTTCACAATAGAATAGACAACCTTTTCTACGTAACTGAAGAGACATTTGATTGGCTTACTCATTCAAAACTAAAGTTGAATTGGGGGGCGGTCCTCTATGCCCTCGACAAACCTTAAGTGCCATTTAATATTCATGTGCGAACCTAATTCGGCTGGGCACGAACCATAAATCTTCACCTTATATCGTTGAAATTTCCCTCAAACAATGTTTTTTAGAATATTGCAGCACTTTTATGTCCTTATTAGGGAAACAGCTCGATAAAATGATCTTAAGTATGTTAAAAGAAATGTGTGTAATTGATATTGAATGAGGTCTTTTTCATTATCGCGAAGCTAACTTTGGACAATAGAGGTTTTTGATCAGTTTGTTTGTATATATAAACCACTTAGGTTGTTTAATGTCAACACAGCTATGTTTGCCTCACGATTATTTCGTTTACACACAACTTGGCTTCCAGACGTTTTGGTGTTTTGAAGAGATGTCGAAAGCACGCGAGTGAAACTATTTTTCTTGCGCCCTGTTGAAACGTGTTTATAAGTAATTTATTTTCTTTTTCGCTTAGTCGCGCTGAATTGTTAAGTTTTATTTTGTTTGCCGCCATCTATTCTTTTATCTCTTGTGAATTGTTAGCGGAGCGCTTTGAGTAATTAGTTTTCTTCTTAGAATTGTTAAATGGTGTCCCAATTCACCTAATGATCGTGTCAAAGCCATTAAAGAGATATTTAGATTTCTAACTAACTCGAGAATCACAAGAGAGATCAAACTTCCCGACTTAATTGAGACTTGCACACTTGATTTTGGCCATTGAACGTCAGCCTTGATTTTTGCTCATTTTTGGCTATTGAACGCCAAGGACGGAACAAAGACGAGTGAACATCAAAGACATGCGTTTGTCCAGTGTCCACCGATGTTTTATTGTTTGTTTTGTCTTTTCCTTTGATAATAAGGCCATGGGATTACTACCGATTAGATTTAACGCTTGCTCTGGCGGAAACTATTTACTGTAATTACCTGGCGGGAAAAATGTCATTAGAAACTTTGATAGTACTAAAAATACACAAAGCAAAGTGTTATTTCTCCGTACTTTAGACTGAAATGGCGTCAGTTAAACAAGTGTCCGTTTTTTTCTGGCGTTTACACTTGAGTTGTAACAAGCAGGGCAAACACTAGAAAGAGCACGTATTCAGTGAAACCAAAGGAAATGAAGGAATAAAAGACGAGGGCCGCACAACGAAACTCGAAATAATTAAAGGCGGTGTTGGAAGAAAGAAGTGGGATGTTCATGAACGACGCCTCGCCTATTAACACGAAATGAGTTTTATTATCCCTAGATCTTGAGAACAGAACGAAAAGCCTTTCGAAATTTGTTTACAAGTGAGCCTAAAACTGAAGCGATATTTTATGTATTCTTACTCTATTTCCGGCTTTTACTCAAGGGAGTCAGGGCAATCAGATCAGACAACAACATGGTTCTTCAGACTAACCAGCAAGAACTTTAAATTACTCGATGTATCACTTCATCATTTTGTCGGGATTATTTGGCTGCGATTGTCTAGTCCAGAATAACTATAACAGAGCTTCTTTAATGTAGTTTACAATAATCAGCTTCTAAACAACTAAATCAGAATTCATCGGATAGACAGGTTATGTTCCACTTTGTTTTATGTAATTTTTTTACCTTCCGCATCCATGATGATCCTATTTAAGTGCGAATTTTAACGCCAAGAAAGTAGACAACTTTTATTAGAAACACTTAAGTTAAACCCAGGAGTTTTGATTTTTCACAAGCTTCCACAGAAATTCGGAAACCAAGGAACCGGGACTGATTCAGTCGGTCTTCTCTACAAATTTCGCCCCGGCTTGATTTATAGTTTCGAATAGTTCCTAGGATTAGCTCAGTGACGACGTTCATACCGTCTACGACTCTATATCTCTTGACACTAAAAAGGTTTCTTAATGACCACTTTTTCTTGTAATCGCATAAGAGCTTATCTCTTCAGTCGCCCACGCGTATAAATAGTAAAGTTCCCAGAACGAACGTTGCAGAGAACGTGTCGCCACTCACTTTTTCATTTCATCAACTGCTTTATTACAAATGCGATCTTCACAGGTTGACAACTGATTACTAATATTTTGTCGGAATAATTCGATCCTCTGAAGGAAATTTTCAATGATCAACCGTTGTGAAAGTAAAGTATCTGAAAGTTCATTCTCTGATTAAGCGCCTAGGAGTCCGACGAGGATATGACCATTAAGGGCGAAAATTGACCAAGTCTCAGGTCGGAAACTTGTAATGGATTTAAGAGACAGATCTGAATCTTACCCGGGATCTTGCCCAGAGAAATAGTTCAGTTGTTCATGAAAATTAAAGTAGGAATTGATCCGAGAGGGAGTCAAAAATGGTTTAGACCGGTAAAAGAGAGCGCCAGGGAAATACAAGGGACGGCGTCTAAACGTACGGGAGACGAAAGAGCGAAAAATGAAGGGTGAGTTTCGTTAGTGAACACACAGACTGACTATTCAAGGGTAGAAATCATTCATATCACTTTGAAACCAGTTTTCGCCTAAAAGCGGAAAACATTTTGGGGAAGCGGATTTTGCACGAGACATCCCGCCCCAGACGTATGTAGACAAGGAAGGAATGGACGGAGTAGACTGCGTCGGATGGCTTCGCCGGAACACGCCTTCAAGTGGGCGGCTTTAAACAAAACTGACGTAGCTGTGTTTTTTCGTTGATGCTCAAACTCTACATCACTGATCTCCCAGTGTTAATCTTGACGCATTTGTTAGGTTGGGCGAAATATCACGGATATCTTACATCATTATACCATGTTAGGCGAGTGGAGTTCCATCTGCCCAAATATGTTGCTACTTCGCGATTTAGTCCGCAGTCAACCATCCTCTCATCAGCTTTTAACTGAATATATTTTAAAACTCTTTACTTTTGTAAACGTTCATTTGTTACTTTATTTTATTGTTTTTACAAGACCTTAGTAAGCACTAACATCAGCACACCAAGTTCAAACAAACCTTATTAAACCAAGTTTAACAAAACGAACTCTGTGTCAAAAAAAACTCAATCACTGACTTTTAAAGGGAGCATCTTTTATGACGGATGCAATTTTCAAACCGTGTTCAACTAAGCTTAAAAACATGTTTAAAAGCCCGGTGTGATTGATGCAGTAGGCCTCTTTTTCTAATGTGTGTGTTACGTTTCAGTAGCAAAGAGCTTGGGGCATCCGGATATGGAGAGGAAGACTCCCGACTACAAACTCCGAGAAACTGAAGCACTTACAGAAACACTTACTTCAGTCTTCCCTCTTTCCCCCTATTTCTTAAACACTTTACTAACACAAGCTTGTCAGATTCTCTTCCTCGACCACCTCTCCAAGGAGAGAAACTAGGAGGGGGGCTACAGGTGTCCTGCAGTTGCTTGAAATAAGAATGTGTTTTGAACAAATTCTCCATAATTCTGATAAAATGACAAAAATTCGAAACACAAAGAGCATGTGCGATTCATTTCACTTCCAATTCACGCAAAGATAAAAATTCCACCTTATTAAAAATAGAGCGCGCCAATATGAGTGTTCCGGTGTTTCGTACTGATTGACTTCTAAGCAACACCGCAAAATTTTGAGAGATGACTAATGAGTCGGTAACTGCAAGTGTTTTATATATATATGCTTTATAGATAACAAGTGGCTTTTAATTCAACTACGACATGGGAATATCCTAATTTATCACGTCGAGACATCATCAGCCATTACGTAAGTAATTATCTTTCCCAAGTATTGTCCCTTCATGAAGTTACCCCTGTACTTGGACTACCTAGTTAGCAAAGTGAAAAAAAAAAAATTGAGAAACGAAGCCATTGGTAATTTTGGAAGAAGAAAAAAATTGAAATTATAAAAATAGAAAATTGAGGCGCAGACATAGCTCAGTGATTTTCTGAAGTGATTGTATTCACCGCAAATTTTTAATTCTTGTTAACCTCATATCCTGCGGACCAGATCGAGTCACCTGAAAAAAATGTCACGGCACCACTTGCGTACTGAAGCGCTCGGGCTTCGAATAAGTTTGGCTCTTACTTGACGTACTGTTTGCAATTTAGTGTAACGATATACAAAAAACTCAAGAGCCTCCTCATTTTCACTCGATTTTGCTTCAGTGCCCACACTTACAATGAATCGAAGTATTCCATAGCAACTGTTGTATGACGAGTTACGACTGCCAATTTTACAGCATTTATGTTAATATTATTACACTCGTTTAATTGCCTTCTACTGTTTAACTCAGCAATAGAGAAAGATTAGAGAATTATTTGGAATAAGCTCAGATCAAGGGCTCTTTTGGAAAAAAACAAATAGTGTTTATTTGGGACCCAAATATTATGTGAATGCCAATAGCAGCGGTACAATATACACAGGTTTCGTGATAAGAAGAGGAAATACGTGACTATGAGACAATTTAATAGCTGATTTAGTGATAATTGACGGGCGTCTTTTTTTTCAGTCCTGACAAGGAAAGAACACCACGGGGTCATGGACATCGTATTCTTGCGAGGTCATCAACAAAAAGCAGTTCAACACGCAACCGTTCTATATTTTGAAGCGTGGGAAAACACGTCAAAAGTCTGCGAGCTATTGCAGCTCATAGCGTGTGAAGTCACGCGCGAGAGCATGCTCGCAGGTTTTTACACACGTGGAGCGGCGGGGTGAACGATATTAAGCGCGGGTAAACATGCGACTGTTTTAGCCACAGAAATTTACAAGTTCCCAAACGAAACAAATGCTACAGTTTCAAGTGAAAAAAAATTAATAAATCTTATCCAGCCGGGAAAACAATGTAACATTGTTGCCGAGCTATAAAACTCGGGAAATTGTGTGGCCGGACAGAATAAAAAAACGCGGCTTTTGCGGGTTAGTTCAAGGAAATAGCCCTGTCTGTTTTTCATTTACTTAGTAATGGGATCGATGCGATTTCTGATTTAGCATCTCTCC